GGATGGGGATGACCATGTTCCTGGTTGTTTGGAGGTGAGAGGACGCATTGCCTAAAGGAAATGCATCCTCTCACCTAGTGACTTCAAATTTGAAATTATTGGATATTTGGAAATGTGTACATGAGCATTGTAAGTACTTACACGAGGTAAACGTAGCTACGCGTCACCTAGGTTTTCCCATACAAGGCTTGGGTATCTCGTACGCATCCGGTTGAAGACAATTTTTCCATAGGTGTAGATTTTTTGAGTATCTGGTAGGTGGTCGTCTGCATTCAGGGCATGCCAGAGGTGCTCAATATGTTTCCTGGCATCTATGTTGGCCTCATTATGACCATTATACCACTGCCAGGAAATCGGTATACTAGCAACAATTAGCACATCCAGGGTCGCAGTTGGGGGTTATTTGTAAAGTTTGAACCATGGCCACTGTTGTGTTGTTGGAGTCTGCGCTTTATAGAAGCTGTTTCGCCAACATATGCGAAATTGCGATAAGATTGGCTGACCAACATGTACACCCATATTTAAACAAATTCTTAAAAATATGATTATTGTAACAAAAAAAATTCATGAATGCATGACAATGGAATGATTTGTCTTTCATTATAATCTTGGCTGTTATGTTGTTTTTTGTTCACCAGAGCACTCAAATCTTTAATTTTGAGCATATTTTTATGAGGCCCTCTGGGTTATTGGCATGGTTTTTACCATTCCATATTTAGAGGCACTCTAGGGGGAATTAGGACCTCAATAACGTGGAGAAAAACCGCCAGAGTAGTCAGACTTTCAAGCATCATTGTACAAAATTGACAAGAATTTAATCAAAATTTATACCTCAGAGATATAAATTTGTGATATATAAACTGCAATAATCAATAACTAATTTTACTCTAAAAAGTTTTTAATTAAATGAAAAAAAATCATAAAATCACAAGACAACTCACACCGCCGGCAAGCCTTGTCGTTATCATTGTGTGCATTTGTGTGTTACCGCGGGTGCCGACTTTCCTCAAATGCACCACCCCGTATATGCGCTATTGTCACCTATGAGTATTAGGTCAAAGACTGTCGTATTTCACCTCATTGGCACTATGGTCTAGGAGTAGGAGTAGGAGTGTTTAACTTGTTACTTTAATAGACTAGGGCCTTGCAAGAATGTGCTCAGGATTGAAGATTTTGAGCGCTCTCGTGAATGAAAAATAACCAAACAGCAAAGATAATAATTAAAGACACATAATTCATGAATGAGATTTTTTTTGTTACAATAATCATATTTTTAAGACTTTTTTTTAGTATGGGTTGTGTTCTGCTAAGTTTCACTAGATCTACACACAGGGTGGTTCAGCAGTGCAAGTGGTGCAGAGTCACAAACAAATTTTTATTTCATCATTAACTTTAATTCATACCGGTATATAATGAACATGTTGCATGTTGTATGTGCGTGAGATTAAAAATAATAAAATAAAATAACTTCAGTTTACTTACAAACACACCAGGTTACTTTGCAGACATGTTTCACAAATTGTGGTGCCCGGCGGGTAAACATGCGATGGCGTTCTGTGGTTTCCTACGGTGAAAATCGCTATTGAATAATGCGTGAGAGAAGTAATATTTGGGTTATAAATCGCCAAAAAATCGCACGAGGGATACTGGCTTATAAATAGCCAATGGCTTATAAATCGTTGTATATACACCGTAAGGGTAAACGCGATCATAGAAAACTGGAGCTCGAATTATAAATCGCCAAAAAATCGCAGAAGGGATAATGGCATATAAAAAGCCAATGGCTTATAAATCGCCAATGACTTTTCTAGCCAATGGCTTATAAATGGCTTATAAATCGCCGATGACGTCATCAAATCAGACAACTTGACAAAAAACAGATAAATTCTCCTATACCTGCTAGTCATTTAATTTCAAGGAAGTCATATGTAATTAAAACTGTTCAGTGTTGTATCCATGTATTTAAAGCGAAAAAGGGTAAACGTGATTCATACAAAACTGGAGCTCTTTATTCACAACAGGTTCTTTCCTAATGAAAGCATTTACAGTGTTCCGATAGAGTGTTCGATGAATAGCGTCGCCTTCGGCGTTCCGGGAACTATGCGTCTAGCTACGTTTGTGCTGGCGAAAATGAGACAACCGGAGCAATATGTGACATAATTATTACATCTATAACTACGAGCTAGCGTAGCGAGCGAGCTTTAGAGGAAAATGCTTTTAGTCGCTTGAAATTAGGGGCACGTTTAATGATGAGAGGAAAAGGGGAGATTTATCAAAAGGGTTAAGACACTTATTAGAAAAGAAAAGGAGCACGTGTCAAAGTACAAAGGCTAATTATCAGAGGTGAAAATGGGGCACTTCTTACACCTAAAAAAAAATAGGCATGCACCAGGAATGAAAAGGAAATGGGCATTTGTCGATGGAAAAGAGGCAGCCATCAGATTTTGATAGGGGGCATTTATAAGAAGTGAAAAGGGGCATTTATGAAAAAAGGGATACGTTCTTCAGGGGTGGATCCAGGAATTTCTACCCCGGGCGGCACATTGGGGGCACACGGGGGTTAAGAGGACATATATATATTTGTGTTGGTCCCCCAAAAATCGCAACGACACAGCCAGCCGCTGAATAAGCGGGGGGGGGGGGGGGGGGGGGGGGGGGGGGGGAGGGGGAGAGGTAAGAGCACATTTTTGTTTTGCTCCCGAATATTTGAAAATCGGGCCAGCCGCAAATTCGCTCAGTGGGGGGGGGGGGGGGGTGGGGTGGGGTGGAAAGTGCGCACTAATTTTTTTTTTTTTTTTTTTTTTTTTTGGTCGGGGGGGGGGGGGGGGTGGCACGTCACCGTTTGTCAGTACATTTTTGGCCAATTTGGGGCTGATTTCAACACTTTTTTTGGGCCGGGGGGCACATGCCCCCTGTCCCCCCTTGGATCCGCCACTGTTTTTTTTATTAGAAAGGAATTGGGCACATATCATTGTTAAAAGGGTAATGAGAAGGGGAAGTGGCTCTTATTAAAAAGAAAAAGAGGCACATGTTAAAATAAACGGGGCACTTATCAAAGACGTAATTATGAGAAGGGGAATGGGCACTTAATAAGGAAAAAGAGCATTTATTAGGAAGGAAAAAGGAGACGTGTCAAAATAAAAGGGGCATTTATAAGAGATGAAAAGAGCACTTATCAGGCGGGGAATGGGGACTTGTCAAAGTAAAGCGAGTATCTCTCAGAATTGAAAAGGAACTATTTTTATAGATGAAAAGGGGCATTTATGACAAGGGAAAGTAGATCTTTTTTTAAATGGGGGCACTTATCATAAGGAAAAGGGGCACTTATTAAAAAGGAAAGGGCCGGGGCACATGTGAAAATATAAGGTGCGCTTATCCAAGTTAAAAAGGTGAAGTTATTAAAAGGAGAAGGGGCACTTTTTACAAAGGAAGAGGGAAACTTGTTAAAGCAAAAGGGGTTCCTCTCAGATTTGAATAGGACAATTATCAGAGGTGAAGGGGGCGCTTATTAAAATGAAAAGGGGCAATTCTCGCGCCTTTAAAGGGGAATTAACTTACTAGAGATTAAAAAAGGCATTTATGAGAAAGGAAAATGGGAACTTGTCAAAGGAAAAGGGGTACTGGTTAAATTAAAAGGGGCACTTGTCAAAGTTAAGTACTTTTCCTATGAAAAAGGGGCACCTATATAGGGTACTTGAAAAATGGAAGGGCACTGTGCCCCCTCGCCCCCCCCCCCTCCCCCGGACGGCGTATTTTTTATTTACACGACAGCGAGGGGAATTTCTCGATTAATTCGAATGAAACCGCTCGCGAAGAGTTTAAACTAGAGTACGAGTACTTAGCAGCAGTACAGTGTATTATATGTGTTGTACTCTCATACCCGAGAAGGGGGTCGAATATGAGTCAATAAATTCTATTCTATTATACTAATATTATAAAGGGAATTGTACTTAACATGTAGATCTAGAGAAGGAAACGATGAAAGACAAAACAAAATAGATGTCTTATGCAATATTGAATAAACAGTGACGGCAGTATGATATTATATGCTAGTAATACACCATGGCACAGAGAGCGTGAACATAATAAACATGCCCTCGACCACGTTCCAACAACAACGTGTAAATAAAAAAATACACCCCCGGGAGCGCTGCCTCTGAACCTGGCCTTGGAATGGAAGAATGTCAGACAGTTCATGTCGATAACTGGCGTACAATATAGACATAGTCACCCTATAATGCGACGCCAATAAAACATTGATCTAATCATCTATTCAAACGTAGAGAGAGATCAAGGTGTATAAGTCTATCAATTCACTACAGCAGTGTGTAGTGAGGATTGTTACAAGATTTCGTTAAATAAGGTCTAGTATTGAAGACTAGTTAATTCAGTCTGAATTCATAGACTACCAATGTCAATGTATTATGCCTGTACGTACCGCTGTTATCTAATGTCATCAGAAGCCCCTTTGTTATATAATACTCTTTTCACACTGGTTTTGCTTAACCCCGTACTTTGCTTAGCCCCGTACTATTTTTTTTGGCTTTTCACACCCGCTGTTTTTAGTCCCGTACTAGCGCCTATTCCGGAATAAGAAAATCCCCGCTGTTCTCACAGCATTTCGTTATTCCCGGATATCGTTAATGTTATGATTGGACATACTTCGCATCTGGCCAGCTGTGAAACGCTCCATTGCGTAGTACCGGACTATTTTTCGTTTCTGTTCTCATTCATTTGCTTAGCACCGCAATTGCGGGGTTAGCAGGAGTTAGCACCACAATTGCGGAGTAAGCCCTGCTATTTTGCAGGGTTAGTTAACCCCGTACTATAGGTGGGGTTAGCCAACTTTAGCCCACTTTGGTAAAAACCAGTCTGAACAGAAAGTGGAATAGGCTTAACCCCGTACTATAGGTGGGGCTAAGACCCCCCCCCCCCCTTAACCCCACCTATAGTACGGGGTTAAGCAAAATATTGCCAGTGTGAAAACAGTATCACAGAAGCCCCCTTGTATAGTGCTAAATGGAAGTACTTTGCATACAATGTATGTGCATGCATTCTGTGTGTATGCACTTGTGTTGTAGATGGATTGCATAATTATTATGTGTAGTTGCCATATACCATCATTGTTCCAGTGAATGTTTCAACAGTGAAGTTGCAAGTTGCAACCGTCTTCAAAAGTTTGATTTCCAGTGATTGTGGAGCATTTTACAGACCCGAATTGGTAAGAACTTAGTTAATGTTGAATTGTTTTATGAAGTAATGTAAGCCTAGGAGAGAATATTAGTTATCTTTCTTGTTTGTTATAATAGTTTGGAACTTGGAAGGCAATAAAAGTTATGTGTGTGCTCTCCCAGTGTACTTAGGAGATGCGTGCATTGTACTAGATAACTCTCTCTCTCTCTCTCTCTCTCTCTCTCTCTCTTCTCTGCATCGCTATCCACCCCTCTCTGATCTCACCCTTTCTCTCTCTCTCTCTCTCTCCCCCCCTCTCTGTCCCTTTTTTCGGCTCTCCATGCATGTTTGTTCTATTACGTCTATGGTTACAGTGTCACTGTGATGGTGATGACTGTATTAGAATGTATTTTAAGACGGGTACTTTCTTGTCTAGTAGGATAATATTCTTTATACTTGTAGTTGTTTTGTTGCAGTATATATATGTAAATAGACTGTGTAATTAGTTAATTACAGACATGTAAGTTGACTTATATTTTCATTGTCTAGCCAATGTTTATAACTTGTTGCTTATGAAACAAAGAGACAGTTTTGGAGTGCATGTAGTCAGTTTAAGTTATATGTATAGGTCCAATCACCTTGTTAAGCTATTTTGATATGATATGCACATGTATTGTTGTAGTGTCTCATAAGTATGAACATTATGTAGTTTGTTTCTCTTTCTGTTGTGTTACAGATTGTTATCTGAAGGTTGGGTGACCATACGACCAGTGAATAAACGACAGTTCGTGAACTTTAACTGAATCTTCGTACCTCGTCATTTCAATCTTGTGAATAACAACTTTAGGGTGTTCGTGTAATTGTCGAAACTCCTCGGTTTGCTAGTTGTAAACGGAGGCAGTCACACAATATCTCTTGTCAATATTGAATCGCATGTGTATTGCCCCTAACTCTCAGTGTATCAAATCTCCATGTAAGGAGAGGATCGAATGATTTCAAAGCTGTGATCATTTCCAAACTGAGACATTGTCAATTAGACCTAATAGCTTGAAAGGAGCATCATTGCATCCAGCAATACTAGTTTCACACCTGGTATCTAGTGACCTAATCTATCGGCCTACTTCGACGTCGAACGTGACTTCGAAACGGTCGTCTTCCTCGAAATATGATGTCTGGATTAAAACGATACTTTTCGCTTTGGCGGGTGTCGATGGCGTTGTTTACATGCCTCTTCTTTGAGGGTGTTCATGTGGGCTTGCCGGTGGTCATCGACGATATCGCAGAAGAGCTTCATACGACCACTGCCATAATCGGAACTACGATGGCGATCTTTGTCGTTCCTTTCGGTATCTCAGGTTAGATTGTCTTTTATAGTTTTACGACTCTATTCCATAATAAAACGGCAATATGAGCATCGATGTGACTTCTTCCCAACGATTGCTATGGTCATGCGATTGCATTGTGAAAGAAACGTTGTGGAATCGATCAGAAAAGGTTGATCATCTAGCATCTAGCATCTGCAAGGTTCTGGAATCATCAAAATGATAAAAAATTTGGCCTATTCTTCGTAAAGTTACAAGCACTATACACAGAAAGATGTATATGGGACTACCCTATATCTCTCACAGACCATGAGAGAAACAAATTTACCAAATATATGAATTAGTAGGCGGTTTCCCGGCAAATTTTTTATCATCATGTATTAGTCAAAACATATTCTTTCACATGATTGGTAATGAGAGCTTCCATTTTATTTTTTGAAATTGGGGCGTTTCCAATACTGGTCTTTACCTTTAAGAGTATAGTACTTGAGGACATTGTACGGGCACGAGGTACGCCTTTTGCTCTAATATATCAACTCTTCACTTTCTAAATTTTGTTTCTAATGCCAATTTCAGAAATTGCATATTCGTGTAACTTTTGCCCGGATATGAGACTAGTCAGAAATCTCGTGCCCAAATAATGATGATATTCGGGCACCTCGATCGCTGCTTATTATGTACTCATAAACCGCACCTTGTCTCGAGGAGAGGTTTACGTGTGACTTTAGGTAACCCATGGTTAAAGGTAAATACCAGTATTGGAAACGCCCCAATTTCAAAAAATGAAATGGAAGCTCTCATTACCAATCATGTGAAAGAATATGTGTTGACTAATACATGATGATAAAAAATTTGCCGGGAAACCGCCTACTAATTCATATATTTGGTAAATTTGTTTCTCTCATGGTCTGTGAGAGATATAGGGTAGTCCCATATACGTCTTTCTGTGTATAGTGCTTGTAACTTTACGAAGAATGGGCCAAATTTCTTATCATTTTGATGATTCCAGAACCTTGCAGATGCTAGATGCTAGATGATCAACCTTTTCTGATCGATTCCACAACGTTTCTTTCACAATGCAATCGCATGACCATAACTGGTCTTTACCTTTAAGTTTATTTTGTGGTTAAGTTGACCTTGCTATCAATAATTGTTCTACCAGAGAAATAATTATCAATGTCATCTAAAAAAAAGATCAAATTGACCATTATCCCGCCATTGTGGAGATATGACGGATTCTTCGCGCTTCTAAACATTATTATAGTTTCCTTTATTAAGTCATAATTTATCTCACCCGGTTAGCAATTATTATTTCTGATGATCATTCCTGCTAACATATAATATAGGGGCTTGAGCCATTAGTGATCGATGAAGGTAGTCGTACTCGTTGTCATGAAACTATTCATCGTACATTACATGTGGGATTTTCACAAATATACACAGGGTAATTTTATGATGTAACTGAAACAATCGAATACAAAACAGAACAAAACAAACAAACAATCAAGTACAACAACAACAACAACAGCAAAAATTGTTGTAGTTGTGGTCGTTACGCAATAATAAAGTCTGACAAGGTTTTTACGGGAATGTCTCTTTATTCGTATTCTTCTTTCCAATCTTTCATTCCATCTTCCAGGAATCATTCCTTCGTTCTAGCATTCCGTGAAAACTCTTTGCCTCCTTATTCTGCTTCTTCGGCATTAAAACACCCAATGATGCAATAAATTAGAGAAGATTCTCCACAAACAACCAGCTACACAGTTTACAGCTACCACCATCTAGCATGTCTATCTAGTCTATGAACAAGTGCACTGCTATATCAGGCAAAGGGTATAATGCACACAAACACACACAGCACTTTTATGGAGTACTGTGTAGTGTACTTGAAGGACACTTACAATGTCCTACCTAGTCTTTTTTCAAGGCAAAGGTTACGAATTGTGAATCTGTTTAAACTAAATTCAAATGAACATTCATTACAATGGTCATTATACATTTTGCTGCCAAGTGAGCACACATTTTAAAGGGCACTTTCTTCTTTTTAATTTAATGTTTACTAAAAGATTTTTGATAAGGTTTGCCGAGGGGTCGTGCCTCCACCCGTTCCACCACTGATTACGGTGTATTGACAAGAGTAATGCTATAATTATTATAAACGCGACACAAACGTAAGTTTTTGCGGTTCAGAAATTATGATGAGTTGTTATGTGGGGAAATTACTTAAACAAGAGTAAAACCAAAGTTAAAACCACAAGATAACTAGAAGGAAAGCTAAAAGGTAAACCAAAAGTAAGTCAAAGAATTTGAATCCTCTCTCGATCACAATGCAGGTCCTCTGGTATCATACGCCCTCAACATTGTAGGATGTCGTGTGGTCATCATGATAGGTGGTGTTCTTCTATCTTCAGGGATATTCCTCACGGCGTTCGCACGACATATTGCCTTCGTTTGGGTTGGTTACAGTTTGCTTGGAGGTAAAAATAAATTTTGCTGAATTACAATTTTGTTCTCCATCCAACAAGAAGAAAGAGGAGAGAGATAGAGAGAGAGGGGGGAGAGAGAGAGAGATAGCAGGGAAGAAGAAAAGGGAGGAACGTAATATAATTATAAAGAGAGAGAGAGAGACAAATGGGGAGAGGAGGCCCAGTTTTGCACACGAAGCGTCATTTTGAGGCGTTAATGTTACTTGCGCTAGTAAAGGTTATTGTAAAGAAACTTCAAAGACCGAGAAATAAAATTACATTTTCACTCATTGAAGATAAGTATCTTAAGTTGTCATTTTTACCTGGCGCAAAAATGACCCCACTAATCGCTGACGCAGTAGCTACGTCTATAAAATGACGTTTCGTGTATAATGGCCTGATTTCGATTGTGTTTGTATCAACGTCAATTAATTGAAATGGAAATGAAGAAATTTAGCGCCTTTTCTACCCAATGCTTTCAATAGGCGTTTTATTTTGCATTCACTATTGTTTCATTTTTACACGATGTGTCAAAGATCGCGCCAGTTGCTGACGCAGTCTTATGCTAGCGCCACGAGCAACATGCACTACTCTCTTTGGTGTCATCAAGAAAGATTGCTATTAATTTGATTAACTATTTGATTTTACGTTTATGCGATGTTTAGGGATTGGAGGGAGTGCTTTGTACACAGCATCTACAGCTACCATTCGACAGCACTACTCTGACCGTCACTACGCCCTAGCTAATGGAGCTGCAATAACTGGCATCCCGATGTCGATGTTTGTGTTCTCTCCAGTAATCCGGACCCTTGCTTCTGCCTACGGATGGAGAGGGGCTTTAATAATTGGCTCGGCCATATCGCTCAACAGTGTCGTCATTGGCGCACTAATGAAACCCGATGTCGTCAGAAAGCGAGGGCCCCTGGTCGGTGATGTGTGCCATGACTACCACGTCGACGATAATAAAGGTGATGTTGACAATGGGACTAACAAGCTACTGCTTCGACCATCCCCATCTGACCATCAACCTACTGCTACCGTTCTGGATTTTCCAGAATCACACGACCAAGGAAGTTCTTCAGGAGTTGGCAAAGACTGTAGTGGATCGCTGAACAACCAAAGTTGTTATCTGCGAGCACCACTGGGCATTACAGTGCCATGTAATGGTCAAGAGCAACATGGTGATTCGGATGAAGATATAGACGAGAATAGGGAGAAGATTCAAAGTCTTGCGACTTTTAATACAGATGGCCACATCCATTCTGGAGTCTATATCACGGATGAAAAAGAACGTCCTCAATCTACATTCCTCGGAATAGACCATGGTTCTAACTGTAGTCCATCTAGTGTGAATGATGTGCGAAAGGATGACAAATATCATAGCCTAAAGAGTGTAAGGGTTATTAAATCTACATTTAAAGTATCCAATCTTTTCAAGTTTAGCGCCAAACCCCTCACGAGGACAACCAAAATTTGTCACGTGGCACTCCTTGTCGCTATATTTTTCCTGGCAGCTACTTACATGGCTGGTTCCATTTTCATGGCCCCTGCTGGGACTCACGGAGGACTCTCCCCCATGCAAGCAGCCACACTTCTTTCCGTCTTCGGGGGGTCTCAGGCTGTTGGTCGTTTCTTCAATGGCATTCTTGTGACGAAGGGTTACGTGAAAGCCGTGCATCTCTTCATAGGCGCGCAGATACTGATGGCATCAGCCTCTTTGGTCCTCGGACTTTTGATGAAGGTTTACGTGGTCGCCATCTTGGCATCACTGGCGTTTGGAGTGTCCGCTGGGGCTATCATCTCACTCAACGTCGTCATGCAGAGGGTGATCGATGACAGTGCGACGTCGACCTCGTTAGGATGGCTAGTATTCGTCGAGGGTTTCGGTGGCCTCTTCGGCAATTTTGCATTAGGTAAGCCCTTTCTCCGATTGACAATATTATCAATTTCATTTGCCTTATTCTGATAGATTTTGTTATGCCTTTGTAGTGACGAGGTTGTTTACATATGCATTTTAAACCTCGCGTGCGTCTAATAGTTTTCTAAGGATGGATTTGGTAAGACTATGATGAGAAGCAATAGTGTAGCGTGGGTTCAGCCATTCAGGGGCCCTGGTGTCACGGGAGAGCGCGCCTTCGGTCTTACGACTCGGGGGGGGGGGGGCGTGAGAACCGTGAGGCCGCCGTGTATATAGGGGAGGGTGTTTGGGATGATTGTGTTATATTTTCATACAGCTTTCCCCATCTTGTTTGCTCATCCTATCGTTCCCCTCTCTCTCTCTCTCTTTCTTTCCTTCTCTTTTCTCTTTCCTTTTCCATTCGCTTGAAGGGACAGGTGCCTCCGTCACTTCTGTAATGGCTGTTCCTACACCACTGGTTAGAAGCTATTATTAACATTCATAAAAAGTCGAGAATCTTTTAAAGTAAACGATACATAATTCTCATTTTTCCAACAGGCTGTTCGTCATACAAGTATTGTTGGTTTGTTCGATAATTCCTTTTTATAAACTTTTGTTTCTCTGCAGGTTACTTGACTGGTAGCTTTGTGCTCATGTTCGTTCTGGCTGCAGTCTTCACATCACTGGCTGTTGCCCTTAGCGTTATCATCCTTATACTCAAGAAGCGGGAAGCGGTGTCCAACAAAGCAATTTAGAATTCCTGGCTGATTCAGCCTTAGAGAAGAAAACAAATACAGTGTTGCAGGATATTAACCCTACTATATAATACAACTTATTAAGAACGCATGTGTCTTTCAAATTATAACTGATGTAGTGTTTTTGTTAATTAAAACAAATATTGTATAATTATTATATTGCCTATAATCGTCTTTAGCAATCGTCACCCATATCAAACTAGCTTATGCCTATACTTCAATTCTTCATGATTGTACGAAAGTAATTCAGTCATGAAGTAAAATTTGCGACAACATTTTTTATAGCAGTTGTGTAGGTGGGAGGGGCATGTATCCCCAATTAAATAACGAACAAAAGAAAAAGAAAAGAAAATGAGGGGGAAAGGGTGGTATGTGACGTGAAAAGATAATTGATGGTCTTCTTCCTGTGACCCTCCTCCTAATAAATGGCCTTAACAAATATAAAAATCTGGATGTATGTAGCGCCTAATTAGAAATACTGTCACTAAGCACTTTACAGATATTAAATTAGCACTTCATCCACATTATTATTAAGACTTATTCTTCCCCAATAGTGACATATATTCATAATTATATAATGTTATAATAATGTCTCCGAAAGAAATCTGGTCACCTCCTAAAAGCTGGATTTTGTATCAATTAAGATCTAGATTTCTGCCTCTAAGTGTCTAAGGACACTAAACGAAATCGACGAGATGGTTGCCCTTTCTTTCAACGTTCCGTTACCTTGGTAACGATGCTCACAGGGACCAGTCAAAATGGCGCCGGTCTTTACCGTGCCCTAATATTAATGGGGGAAGTCCACCCTGATATTATTGCTTTTAACAGAGAAGAAAATGAGAGAAACGGGTCAGTGAAAGTTTGAGCAAAAAACGATTATAAATAAGAAAGCTATGACATTTGGAAGGTGCGATTAATAATTAAAGACAAATTGGTGACATTGTGACGTATCTTGGGAGCTCCCCTCCCATTACCTCAGTCCTGAAAAACTTATGTGTATTTTCCCTTCAGGAAAATTTTCCATCATACATGTACACTAACCCTACATATAATTTATTGCAAATGTGTTTTTATTCAAATACGGTGAGAAATAAATATATTCCGTCATCAATAACTAAGAAAATGAAAGTATATGACATTTTGTGTAGAGACTAGAAGCATATTCTGAGGACGGTTGAAAGAATACTGGGTGTTGAGAGGGTAACCTTGATCTTTCATGATTTTGTTTTTTTTGGACATGACTCTCTGTTCGAACAAACAGTTCATATCAGTCAAATCATGCCCTATCACTCTCTTGCCGCTCGTCGCAACCGGTCTAAGTCCGGTTTTTCTGGGTCCCATTTCCGTAAAAACAAATCATGTTGTATGTTAGAATGCTTTGTATTAATGACTTATAGAACAAAACCAGAATTGTTCTGTCAACGTGAATATTTTTCATCATTCTCAGAAAGTAGAGTCTTTGGTTTCCCTTCTTACACAATGTTTGTGTGTTTTTAGTCCAGTCCAAAATGTTGGTAACTATGCTTCCCAGGTACTTGTACTCCTTCAACTGTTCAACCTCATTATTATGAAGAAATAACGGATCGTGTTTATTTGATTTTTTCCGAAAGTCAAACACCATTTCCTTTGTTTTAGATACGTTTAAGTGGAGGTAGTGCGCATCACACCACTCAATGAAAGCCTTCACCGTTGTGACATAGTCATTTACATTCTCATCAGTAAGATGTCCAGTGATTACCATATCATCAGCATAGTTTATGATATTACAATTTTCATTGTCACTGATAAATTTACTAGTATACAGGGAGAATAATAATAATAATAATATAATTATAAAGAGAGAGAGAGAGAGAGATGCATTAATGTTATTTGCGCTAGTAAAGGCTATTGTAAGGAAATTAGTGCATGCGCCACTACTTTCTAGGCAATGTTTACATCGTTAACTTCAAAGGCCGAGAAATAAAATTACATTTTCACTCATTGAAGATAAGTATCTTAAGTTGTCTTTTTTACCTGGCGCAAAAATGACTCCACTAATCGCTGATGCAGTAGCTACGTCTATTTTACGTCTCTCTTCCCTCTTTCTCTATCTATCTCCCCCTCTCTCTATGGTGACAGGTTCTCGTGGTGTGATTACTCATGCTACTAAGAATAGATTGATAGATGGTGACGGTACCTAAATGTAAGGTGAGGTATAATTATGTGCAACTAAAGGACATAATTTGGAAAAAGACAGAATTACATGAAATGCACACACAATATTCTATGAATTTATATAAATCATAACAAATCAAAGAATTAAAGGCGATATTTCAAGTTCGGCCACATTGTGCAGTAATATAACAAAGACCTTGATTATAGATATAAAGTTTTGAAATATTTTGGGGATTATTTTACTTAACAGTATAATAACTTACGTATAATATATCTGAGGTTATATTTTCTATAAATTTCAGAGTACTCTATTTAGTGATACAAAACTAGGCAATAATATCTTTCTTCAAGCATTTTTTCTAAATATATGCTTGGTAATTTTTTTTTCTAATCCAAACATATCGTTAAATTATGTGTACTTCCTCTATATTACTAGATTTAGGTTGGAAATAAGAGTGTTACAAAACTGGGTGCACAAATACAATCTTGTTCAAGCATTTTTCAAAGTAATTTTGTTATATATATGAAGTATTTGGAAGTGACAAAAGAACTTTGCTGGTAATCATTACAAATCCACTTTTTTTTTTTTTTTTTTTTTTTTTTGGGGGGGCCTATCGAATGTTCACTTATTTTGTTTAGGCATGTTCCAATTGGACGAATTCGGAATGAGAATTTGCCCATGATATCGGGGAAAGAAACAAATTTTCTAGTAATCATGGCACAATCAACAATAATAATAAGATCTTACGGTATTATCAAATCTCTTCATAGTGTAGGAAGTGATTTTCAAAATAATTTTATCATATTTTTGAAGTATTTTCTGTGTAAATTGCCAAATTACAATATAACTTGAAAATTTAATATGAGGTGTATGTTATCTCTACATTAGTTGTAATTTTGGTATACCGTATTTTGTATATGCCGTAAGAGGGCATATGTCTCTAACTAACAATGCTCTTGACCTAGAAAAGTTAATATTTCTAAGGCTCAATGGAGGGGTGCTAGGCTGGATGAAGTTAGTGCAAGTTTAAATGATGGAGATAGATGAAGTTAATATTTCTAAGGCTCAATGGAGGAGGTGCTAGGCTGGATAGAGGGGGTGCTAGGCTGGATGAAGTATATAGTATAAGTTTAAATGATGGAGATAGATGGAGTTAATATTTCTTATGCTCAATGGAGAGGGTGCCAGGCTGGATGAAGTTAGTGCAAGTTTAAATGACGGAGATAGATGGAGTTAATGATTAATGTAAATATGTAAGGCCCAATAAATGGAGGGGTGCTAGGCTGGATAGAGGGGGTGCTAGCCTGAATGTAGTTATTTCAAGTTTAAATGATGGAGACAGGGACGGATCCAGGGGGGGAGGGGGGAAAAAGAAAAGAAAAAATGTGCTCTTACCCCCCCCCCCCCCTCCCCTCCCCCTGCTTATTCAGCGGCTGGCTGACTCGTTGCGATTTTCTTTGGGACCCAAAAAATATATATATATCCTCTTACATCAAGATCAAGATCACACATGCATGCCGTGTCCCGCATAACTTGCTGCTACTCAAAAACCATACAATAGTGATGTAGCTACAATTGACCAAGAGGACCCACAGCACAATCACGAAATAATCCAAGACTCGTGGAGACAGGATGCCCACTTGCCAGACCTGGAACACCTGTATCGTTGCAACACAAGCAGATCAGCAAAAGAGCAAAGGAACTACCTAATAGAGTATATCAACTCTTCTGTGAGGCAGTGTGCCATGGCAAGATGAGTAACTGCTTATCCATTTTATACTAGTGTGACTCCAGTGGCGGATCCAGGGGGTCCGCCCCCCCCCCCCTTGAGAAAAAATTCATATAAAAACGTGATTTTTACCTTTTTGAGGGATTGGCCCCCCCCCCCCCCCCCCCCCCTGAGCGACTTTTCGACCGGCGCGATTTTCAAATTTTCGGGAACAAAAAAAAAAAGTTGGGCCCCCTCCCCTGAGAAATCCTCCCCTGTGTGACTCTGTTTATGGCGTTTAAAGCTTCCTCTACCACGCCATTGATGCAAACATCATAATTAATATTTGTTGACAACGTGTCATTTTTTTACTTTGGTGTGCTATGTTTTTTGCAAAATATACAAAGTAGTTGTTGCATTTTTCTTAAAAACAGTCGGATTTATTGTGAATAAATGCACAATATTTAAAAAATAATTTTGAAAAGACAGTTCAATTTTTTTTTTATAAACGAACTGTTCAGTGTACAAAGAATTGTACATGTTATTACATGTGAACATAACTTGATATTAGTATAAAAATAACATTCTGACAAACTGTGACATATCCCAGGGGCAGTGGGTCTCTTTTTCATGCGTGAAATAGGGCTGAAACGCCAATTTACGTAAAATAGTGAGTGAAAAAAAATAACATTTATAAGCCTGCCATAAGTTTTAATAGTAAAAAGTGGCATTTGGTACACGTTTTTGACCGTTAAATTTTCAGTTTTTTAGTAGGTATTAACAACTGCTGAGGTTATTTTGCAGTAATGTTAATTTGTTCGAGATTTTATTTTCCAAAAAATGTATCATTCAAAAGGGAAATAAATGAACTTTCTTTTGATGTAATTGCAAGGTCACGTGATGTAATTTGATACCTCAAAACGCCCACAAAAGAGAGCGCTTATTTTAATGAATAAATGTGGGCAGAAGTCTGATATTTGTTGACCATATCCCTTTTTCACTCATTTGTAAAATATCATTCCATAACAGTTTCCTGAAAGTTTGAAGACGATAGCTGTTGTCCTTTGTCCGTAGCGTATATGTGTGTGCAAGCGCGTACGCAGGGGGGGGGGTTAAACCCACCTCCTTCAGTTTTAGTTTACGGGTATGTTTTTTGTGAACCCCCCCCCCCCTTATGAGTTTTGATTTTTTTTTTTTTTTTAATAAAAAAAATATTTAAAAAAATCCTAATGGACGACCTAAAAAAGATGACCTTACCCCCCCCCCCCCCCCAACGAAACGGAATTTCGATTGGTCAATTTTTCAAATTTCGGGACCCCCAAAACAAATAAAATGTCCGCTTATGTAAATGAATTTTTGAAAGTTTTTATCTCAATTTTCTGCATTGCTAAATATTTCTTGCCATCTCCCCTCATCTGTAATGATAAGGTACCCTTTGTCTGTCTCTTCCCCTCTTCAACCCCCTCTCTTCCTCTCCTTCTCTCTCTTCCTCTCCTTCTCTCTCTGTCATCACTCCAACTCTCCCTCTCCTACACCTCTCCCTATCTCTTTCTTATTTTAACAAAAATTTGAATTTGATCAATGAATTTTTATGAAATGTCTATATGTTTCATTTTTGATTTATGTCATATTTTGTGTTATTTCAATTTGAATTGCAATTGTATTGTATATATCCTTGTGAATTGGATCGCAATTCAGCCATTGGCTGCGATGATCTTTTTAATAAAAACCATTTCTATCTATCTATCCCCCCTCCCCCTGAAAAAATCCTGCGTACGCCACTGTGTGTGTGACAATGTAATGATATAAATGTTAGTCATTTATTAGATTTAAAAGAAAAAATTCTGACATACACACTCACTTAGTCTCAGGGGCGGATCCACGTAGCGATTTTTCCGGCCCGGCCCCCTCCCCCCAGCCCCCCCAAAACGATAAAAAAAAATAGGACAATACATAAAGTCAACCTTTATAAAACAAAAAAAACAAAAGCGCCCCCCCCCCCCCCGCTTATTCGCCGGCCGGCTGAGACGGCAATAAATTTTGTATTAAGATTTGGCTACCCCCCCCCCCCCCTTGACGCTGGCTGGATCCTCTGCAGGCGTGGATCCACGGGGGGGGGGGGGCTGACGGGTCAACAACAAAAAAAGAATTAAAACAATACAAAAATTTCACGAATTAGGTCCAAAAAAAGAATAGTGGTCTCACCCCCCCCCCCCCCTCCCTGCTTATTCACCGGCTGACTGAGTCGGCGCAAAATATTTCCTGAAAAATTGGACCAAAAAAAGTGCCTCCTACCCCCCCCCCCCCCCCCCCCCCCCCGCCCCCCCCCCCCCCCCGCTTATTCACCGACGGCTGAGTCGCAACTAATATTTTCTCACGGATTGGGCCCCCCTTCTTCCCGCAGCCTGGATCCGCCATCTAAACATACAAACAGCCGGGACCACAAATTACAAGCAAATAAACCGACACAAATACATACAGATTTCCACAAATAATAATACCATTTCGCATGAGGCATCAGTTTGTGAATCTTATCTCTGTTTATTTCATCTGTATATATAACAGCCTGAGATGTCAACATCACTAATTGAATAAACTATAACAAAACAAAACATGTCAGTCTGAAATGCCTTGTATTAGTACAAACAAAATTACAAGCAAGAATACAAAATAAAGTCAAAGAAACACTTTTTTTTCATGAAAAGAATAAATGTGAAAACGCACACATGTAAACAAAAATAGCATTTCTCTTCAAAATAGTGATCAATACCTGCCAAGTTTACATCCTGGTATATACCAAAAAAATCTTTACACGTTTGTAATGCTTCGTCGGACTGGCGTAGGGTAGCGTATTATTGCGTAGGCTTGGCATACAGTTGCGTAGGCTTGGCGCACAGTTTCGTAGTGTTACGTAGACTTTCGTAGAAATTGCGTACTTTCTGCGTAAAGCCTCTATACGCCGAAGGGTTGGGTTGCGTACGATCGGCATAGTCGGTACGCAACTCTACAGCCCCTTTCACACCGGATCTGCGTAGAGTTGCGTAGCGTTGCGTACTGACTACGCCGAAGTTAGGCTGCGAACTCATGAACACAATTGATGCTTCGGCGTAGTCCCTGCGTAGGTTATGCGTAGGCTTGCGTACAATGGCGTATTGTTACGTACCCTGTGCGTAGGCACCGCGTACCTACGGCGTATGCAATTGGCGTAGGGTTGCGTACGCTTGCGTAGGCCTGGCGTAGGGTTAAGTACGCTTGCGTAGGCCTGGCGTAGGGTTGCTAACTGTGTGCGAAAGTGCCATGTAAAAATGCAATAGAAGCTCGTAGGAGCCGCGAGTGTAGCCATTGGCGCTTTATAAACCTAGTTTTCTGCCCCTCAATCCACTGTTGCCTGCTGTCCAGAACACATCACTGCTGTTGGAATTACTGTTGACTGTTGTAATAACACAGACAGAAAAAGATCATGAGTTGGTTAGGCCCTCTGCAAAAAGGTACTACAGTACTCCAGCATCTGGATGCCCTAGAAAGACTAATTAGTCAGGTGGCAGTACATGAACGCTTGGGAGAAGAACAAGAACAGAGGAGGAAAGAAGCTAGAAGAAGAAGTGTGTGGGTAAAACCTTGGATCCAGCGCAGGCCCCTGCAGGGGCAATATGAACAGCTGATGAAAGAACTGCATGCTGAGGATGTTTCTGCATTTACCAATTTCATGCGGATGGGGCCACAGGATTTCCATGAACTTCTGACACGAATTGCACCAAGGATTACCAAAACGAGATACCAACTACAGGAAGTCTCTGGAACCTGGTTTAAAGCTGGCTGTCACCTTGAGGTTTCTGGCAACAGCTACAACACACTTCAATATGGATTCCGAGTTGCCCATAACACTATTTCTGTGTTTATCCCACAAGTGTGCCGGGCAATAATCGATGAATTATCTGACGAAGTTCTCATGTGCCCAGATACTCCAGAGGGATGTAAACAATTCGCCTCGACCACAACCCTTGCCCTTCTTTCCTGGCATTTTTGCAGTAATAAAAGCAGAAATAAATAAATCCTGCAGATATAGTTCAGCAGCGACAATAGAGTCCAGCGGGACGAATAAAATGTAGCACTGCAGGAATAGTAATGAAAAGTCCAGCAGGGATCAAGCAGACATTGTGGCTAGGCTGCGCGCAGGTTGGATCTAGGACGTCTTTATACGTACGTTTGTAATTATGCTTCGTCGGACTGGCGTAGGGTAGCGTATTGTTGCGTAGGCTTGGCGTACAGTTGCGTTGGCTTAGCGTATAGTTGCGTTGGCTTAGCGTACAGTTGCGCAGTGTTGCGTAGACTTGCGTACAAATTGCGTACTTTCTGCGTAAAGTGTCTACGCCGAAGGTACGCGAAAAAATTTAAACATGTTTAATTTTTTGCGTTCATCGATCGGGTACCCATTTGCGTCCCTCCGCGTACAGTTGCGTAGGCCGGCGTAGGGTTGCGTACGATCGGCATAGGGCTGCGTACGATCGGCGTAGTCGCGACGCAACTCTACGCAACTCTACGCAATGTCCGGTGTGAAAGCCCCGTGACGGTGTCCATGAGCCTGGTCAGACCCCCACTGTTTCTCATCCACATGTCGCTCGGGTGAGATCGAAAAATTTCTATTAAGACGGGGCTTTAACTCTATACTTGCAGGGGAAGTACCCCTTGACATTATGTTGGTTTTAATACAAGTAGAACAATGAGAGAAACAGATCGGTTAAAGTTTTAGCCAAATTCGATGACAAATAGGTAAAGTTATGAATTTTTTAAGTTGCGATAAAACAAACACAAAGTGGCAACGCTGTTACGTATCTTGCGAGCTCATGTCCACTATGCTCTCTAGTCTCTACAGAAAATGTCATATACTTTCATTTTCTTAGTTATTGATGACAGAATATATTTATTTCTCACCGTATTTGAATAAAAACACATTTGCAATAAATTATATGTAGGATTAGTGTACATGTATGATGAAAAATTTTTCTGAAGGGAAAATACACATAAGTTTTTCAGGACTGAGGTAATGGGAGGGGAGCTCCCAAGATACGTCACAATGTCACCAATTTGTCTTTAATTATTAATCGCACCTTCCAAATGTCATAGCTTTCTTATTTATAATCGTTTTTTGCTCAAACTTTCACTGACCCGTTTCTCTCATTTTCTTCTCTATTAAAAGCAATAATATCAGGGTGGACTTTCCCCATTAATATTAGGGCACGGTAAAGACCGGCGCCATTTTGACTGGTCCCTGTGAGCATCGTTACCAAGGTAACGGAACGTTGAAAGAATGGGCAACTATCTCGTCGATTTCGTTTAGTGTCCTTAGACACTTAGAGGCAGAAATCTAGATCTTGATTGATACAAAATCCAGCTTTTAGGAGGTGACCAGATTTCTTTCGGAGACATTATTATAACATTATATATTATGAATATATGTCACTATTGGGGAAGAATAAGTCTTAATAATAATGTGGATGAAGTGCTAATTTTAAGATAAACTTGAGTTCTGGTAATGCGATTGCATTGTGAAAGAAAAGGTGTGGAATGGATCAGAAACAGTTGATCATGTAGCATGTAAGTAATGATGTGTAATGCAAGGTTCTGGAGTCATCAAAATCATCATAAATTTGGCAGAGTCTTGGTAAAGTAACAATCACTTACACAGAAAGATGTATATGGGACAACACACATGGTGTCGGGGCTAGTACTACCCTGATTTCCTTATATTTCTATGCTCATTACTCAGCCAGTATACATTTTCTTCCAAAATTGTTTGGCACATGACATTTATTTGTAATCTTGAACATTCAGTGTAAGTTTCGTTAGATTCTGTGAGAATTCATTTTCTTTTTTTACCAGAACTCAAGTTTATCTTTAATATTTGTAAAGCGCTTAGTAACGGTATTTCTATAGGCGCTACATACATCCAGATTTTTATATTTTTAAGGCCATTTATTAGGAGGAGGGTCACTGGAAGAAGTCCTTCTATTATCTTTTCATGCCACCTATCCCACTTTCCCTGTCTCTTCCCCCTCACTTTCTTTTCTTTATTCTTTTGTTCATTATTCAATTGGGGATACGTGCCCCTCCCCCTTCATGTCCTTCCAACTACGCCACTGCTATAGAAATGTTTTCGCAAATTTTACTCCATGACTAAATTACTTTCGTACAATCATTAATGAAGAATTGAAGTATAGGCATAAGCTAGTTTGATATGGGTGACGATTGCTACAGATAAAGACGATTATAATAATACAATACTTGTTTTAATTTACAAAAAACACTACATCAGTTATAATTTGATTGGCACATGCGTTCTTAATAAGTTGTATAATATAGTAGGGTTAATATCCTGCAACACTGTATTTTTGTTCCTCTAAGGCTGAATCAGCCAGGAATTCTAAATTGCTTTGTTGGACACCGCTTCCCGCTTCTTGAGTATAAGGATGATAACGCTGAGGGCAACAGACAGTGATGTGAAGACTGCAGCCAGAACGAACATGAGCACAAAGCTATCAGTCAAGTAACCTGCAGAGAAAAAAAGTTTATAAAAGGAATTATCGGACGAACCAATAATACTTGCATTACGAACAGCCTGTAGGAAAAATGAGAATTATATATCGGTTCATTTAAAAGATTCTTAACTTTTCTTGAATGTTTATAATAGCTTCTAACCAGTGCAAGCGCGTAGCCAGGATTTTATTTGAGGGGGGGCGGTAGTGAGCACACGAAGCGCGCTCCCTAGGGGGGTGGGTGCAGGGAGGGGGAAGCTTTGACGTTTCATTAAAGAAAGAAGACGATTCGTTGTACCATTCTCGACTCTTAATCCTCGTCTGAATTCGGTTCCCCCGCCCCCTCCCTCGCGAAGCGTGGATGCTTTGATGTTTCATTAAATTAAGACGATTCGTTGTACCGTCCTCGACTCTAAATCCTTGTCAGAATTCAGTTTCCCCTGGCCCCCTCCCGCGCGAAGCGCGAAAGCTTTGACGTTTCATTAAATTATCATATAGCTCCGTTTAGTTTAGTTTTTTTTGTTTGAACGAAAAGCACATTCACCCCGACGTACGTTATCACTAGCTCTTTAATTGGAACCCTCATGTCCCATTGACTTTTGAAAGTTTACCCACCGTAATTTGGTAAAAATAGGTCGCCAGCTCGCCATTGCCTATATAACACATGTGCAACAAGTCGAACTTTGGACGCACTCGATTGTAAGGTTAAGCACACGAAAGATAACAAGCATGAATTATCATAGATCAGTTCTGACTTGTTCCTTATGTTAATTTCAGCCAACCCCCACCGTAATTTTTCCATTTAGTATAGGCAAGCATTTTGCCGAGGTAAGCAATAACAAGAATATTCATGAACACCATGGACAATTCGATTATTAACAGAGGGGTGCAATTGTGCACCACATCAAACTCCCCTACTTTCAGTCAAGTATTTCATTGTATTATGTAGTTTGGTAGGTTTATTTTACTAACTGTTTAATTATCAGATATCAATGATAGTTTAAAGATATGGAAAAGGTTCTTGTATTTTATATTTAGCAAAGCAATCTTACATACAAAATCACTATCAAGTGTCGTCTGATCCGCCGATTGCCGTCTGCTATATACGCGAACTAGCTTCGTTTGTGCTGGCGAAAATGAGACAACTGGAGCAATATGTAGAGAAAGAAGACGATTCGTTGTACCGTTCTCGACTCTAAATCCTTGTCTGAATTCAGTTTCCCCCCCCCCCCTCCCGCGCGAAGCGCGGAAGCTTTGACGTTTCATAAATTATTACAGAAAGAAGACGATTCGTTGTACCGTTCTCGACTCTTAATCCTTTTTCTTCCTACGTCCTCTTCCTTTCTTCTTTCTCTCTCTTTTTTTTGGCCGGCCTTTTTTTTTGGGGGGGGGGGGCAACCGCCCCAACTGCCCCCTGGCTACATGTTACCTGTGGTGTAGGAACAGCCATTACAGGAGTAACGGATCGAGGCACATGTCCCTTCAAGCAAATGGAAAGAGAAAGAGAGGAAAGAAGAGAGAGAGAGAGGGGGACGATATGAAAAGCAAACAAGATGGGGAAAGCACTATGAAAATATGACATAATCATCTCAAACACCCTCCCCTATACACGGCAGCCTCACGGTTCTCACGACCCCCCCCCCCCCCCGAGTCGTAAGACCGAAGGCGCGCTCCCCGTGATACCAGAGCCCCTGAATGGCTGAAGCCACGCTACACTATTGCTTCTCATTATAGTCTTAACAAATCCATCCTTAGAAAACTATTAGACGCACGCGAGGTTTAAAATGCATATGTAAACAACCTCTTCACTACAAAGGCATAACAAAATCACCAGAATAAGGCAAATGAAATTGGTAATATTGTCAATCGAAGAAAGGACTTACCAAATACAAAATTGCCGAAGAAGCCACCGAAACCCTCGACGAATAGTAGCCATCCTAACGAGATCGACGTCGCACTGTCATCGATCACCCTCTGCATGACAATGTTGAGTGAGATGATAGCCCCAGCGGAAACTCCGAACGCCAGTGATGCCAAGATGGCGACCACGTAAACCCTCATCAGAAGTCCGAGGGCCAAAGAGGCTGATGCCATCAGTATCTGCGCACCTATGAAGAGATGCGTGGCTTTCACGTAACCCTTTGTCACAAGGATGCCACTGAAGAAACGACCAACAGCCTGAGAACCCCCGAAGACGGAGAGAAGTGTGGCTGCTTGCATGGGAGAGAGTCCTCCGTGAGTCCCAGCCGACGCGATGAAAATGTTAACAGTTACGTAGGTAGCTGCCAGGAAAAATATAGCGACAAGGAGGGCCACATGACAAATTTTGGTTGTCCTCGTGAGGGGTTTGGTGCTAAACTTGAAAAAATTGGATACTTTAAATGTAGATTTAACAACCCTTACACTCTCGAGGCTATGATATTTGTCATCATTTCGCACATCATTCACACTAGATAGACTACAATTAAAAACATGGTCTGTTCCGAGGAATGTGGATTGAGAACGTTCTTTGTCATCCGTGATAGAGACTCCAGAATGGATGTCGCCATCTGTAATAAAAGTCGTAAGACTTCGAATCTCCTCCTTATTCTCGTCGATATCTTCATCCGAATCACCATGTCGCTCTTGATCATCACATGGTACTGTAATGCCCATTGATGCTCGCGGATAACAACTTTGGTTGTTCAGCGATCCACTACAGTCTTTGCCAACTCCCGTAGAACTTACTTGGTCGTGTGATTCTGGAAACTTCAGAACGGTAGTAGTAGGTTGATGGTCAGATGGGGATGGTCGAAGCAGAAGCCCATTAGTCCCGTTGTCAACATCACCTTTATCGTCGTCGTGGTCATTGACGTTGCCTTTTTCGCCTTCATCACCGATCAAGGGCCATCGCTTTCTGACGACATCGGGTTTCATGAGTGCGCCAATGACGACACTGTTGAGCGATATGGCCGAGCCAATGACTAAAGCTCCTCTCCATCCGTAGGCAGAAGCAAGGGTCCGGAATACAGGGGAGAACACAAACACCGACATCTGGATGCCAGTTAGTGCAGCTCCATTAGCTAGGGCGTAGTGGCGGTCAGAGTAGTGCTGTCGAATGGTAGCTGTAGATGCTGTGTACATAGCACTCCCTCCAATCCCTAAACATCGCATAAACATAAAATCAAATAGTAGATGAACACAATTAATAGCGATCCTTCTTGATGACGCCAAAGAGAGTAATGCACGTTGTTCCTAACACTGGCATAAGACTGCATCAGGCCCGTTGTATACGAGACTTCCTTTTGTAGACATAGCTACTACGTTTCAAAGCCCTATCCCACTGAGCGGCGAATGCTTACATTTGGATTCGCCAACTTTTCTGACGAATGTTGGCGAAAATCAGCGACTTTTAGTGACGTTTAGCGACAATTAGCAACATTTGAACGAATTTTTCCGAAAGTGTTTGCGAAAGGCAGTTGGCGACTATTAGCGACTGTGAGCAAATGTTAGCGACAGTTTTTGGGAAGATTAGCAACTATTAACCAATCCTTTGCCACTATTTGTAAACGTTTGAAACCTTTTGCTAACTCTGGCCGGGTCGCTACTCGCTAGCATTGGCGAAACGAAGACAACTGGCGATAACAAAGAGTGACACCGTCTTATACCGTTTGCAAAGACTTACAACTGTTTTGTAAAGCTTATGACTCTTTTGCAAACGCCTGCAACTGTTTGCGAAAAATAAAGACAAGAAAAAGTGTTTGCGATTTTTCTCGCAACCTTTTGCAACCTTTTACCCCGGCCCCCCACTCCGGGGTCGGAATGACCGCATGCGTGTTACCAAAATGTCCGGTAAAGGGGGTACTTTTCGTGCAAAGTCTGGCCCGAGAATTGTAAAAAAAAAAGGGGTGTATTTGACTTTTCACCCGGAGATTTCTTTAAAAAGGGGGTGATTTTTTTTCTTTCTCTCATCTCTTTGCATGGACTCCTGAGAAATTATTCCGAATTTATGGGGGTACATTGAGCATTTTTCCAGATTTAGGGGGGGTCTCTAAGGCAGGAAAACCCCGCGAAAACCCCGCGAAAGGGGGATTCGGAAATGTTGGCAGCCCTCAGATAGGGGGTGCTTTCAAAAAGAGGGAACAAGCATGCGTACCCAAAATAACACTGAGTGGGGGGCCGGGCCTTTTACGATCCCTGGCGAAACCCCAAATTCGCTACGTTCGCAAGCATGGCCGCTCAGTGAGATAGGGCGATTGGTGCGGTCATTTTTGCGTCATGTGAAAATGGCAGCTAAAGATACTTATCTCCAATGAGTGAAAATATGATTTTATTTCGCGGTTTTTGACTCGTCATGTTAGAAAAGGCAAAGTGAACAATGCAAACATTGCCTGAAAAGTACTTGCGCATGCACTAGTTATCTCATTAGGGACTTTTAGATTTACACGACGAGAACGTAGACCGCTACGTGTGACATCCTTTTAAGGCAATGTGACATCCTTTTAAGGCACTGCCGGCACTGCCAGTGCCTTAAAAGGACGCGTCACATTGCCTTAAAGCTTATCTGTACTAGTTTATAGGAGGGATTAGAGCACCCTGTAAGGTCACTGCACAGGTGGTCATCTCATCAACTCAGCTCTCAAATAACATAAGAAAAAGAGGATCATGGGGGGGGGGACCAATGGTCACCGATTAGGCATTGTTTGCTATATCGAGGGAGCAAGTAGCTACAAATAGGACAGTGTAGCTTTAAAAGGATTTCACACGTTGCAGTCCACGCTCTCGTCGTGTAAATCTAAAATCAAATCAAATCAAATCAAATCAAATCGAATAAATAACATTAACACAGCGAACTGAAGCTTCGTGTGCAACGAACAAAACGACAAAAATAAAGCCCAGGCCAACTTAAACATATGGCCTCCTCTCCCCTTTTTGTATATATCTATTGTTCTCTCTCTCTCTCTCTTTCTCTCTATATCACCCTGTGTGTGTACTTCAGCCAAATTTATTTTTTACCTCCAAGCAAACTGAATCCAACCCAAACAAAGGCAATATGTCGTGCGAACGCCATGAGGAATATCCCTGAAGATAGGAGAACACCACCTATCATGATCACCACACGACATCCTACAATGTTGAGGGCGTATGACACCAGAGGACCTGCATTGTGATCGAGAGGGGATTTTAAAAAAAAATGACATATAAGATTAGTCAAATTTTTGACTTACTTTTGGTGTTCCAAAAAGGTTTATATCTGGTTTAACTTTGTTGTTGATTTTGATATTTTCCATATGAAATACAAGTAAGTTCCCCACTTAACACTGATTTCTGAACGGAAAAACTTACCTTTTGTTGTGTTTATAATATAGCATTACTTTTGTCAACGTACAGCAATCAGTGGTGGAACACAGCGGTGGATCCAGTTTTTGCTCAAAGGGGGGGGGGGGTGTTGAGAAAAAATTGAGCTACAACCACCCCCCCCCCCTCGTTGAGCCCCCCCCCCCCCCCCCCCCCCCAAAAAAAAAAATGTGCTCACTACCCCCACACCACCGTGACCCCCCCCCCCCCCCCCCGCTTATTCGGCCGGCCGGCTAAGTCTGGATCCTATAGCTGCTGGATCCGCCCCTGGTGGAACGGTTGGAGGCAAGGCTCCTCGGCAAACCAATCTAGTATAGTATTAATGACAGCTTTGAGAAAAAGCCTCGGCCAATAGCTCGATTGTAACCTTCCCTTGAGCGTATAAAAACAACTATGTTTCGAAAATTAAAGCAGTCATTAATACTTTTATATACCGAAAATAGAATACATGTGCGACTTACCAATCATGGTAATCAAGTTTGTTTACGCTATCGAGACAGCTAGCAGACAGTGTAAGGGCACAAGACATACAAATACGTGTGTGGGACTATGAACGGGCTGGATTTTTTTGTGTTACTGAAATGTGCTCAGAATTCAAGTAATTCATCTATTAAATGACTATAATAGACAAGAAACAAGTCAAAGGTAAGGACAAGAATCAGTGCTTATCAATATAACAGAAATTTTGCATGGAATACCATCAGGAAAGCTATCTAAATTTGTCAGAAATTAGCGACAAACACACCAAATTAAGCGCTGCAATGACGCACAAAACGGCGTAGAATTCAACTTTTCATCCACCAAATGAATTCAAACACTTGCATTATACAATCTTCAATACCTGTATCACCGCTATCGCATGCAATAAAATCACTATCTATATCTAGACCTAGATCTACGGCTAATAATAAAACGTAGGGTTTACCCTTTTGGTGTTTTTGCTGTCTAGCGACCAATTCTTCGCACACACACAATGTATGGTATCCGCGATCGCTCAAATCAGTTTTTAAGCAAGACTGAACTATTCTCGGTAACTTGAATTTTACCCTCGAACTATTACATGGGCGTGGCATTTTTCGTTTATTTACGGGAATGGCTATAAAAATCCATGACTGCAATTTCGACCAATCAGATGTCTGGATTTCTTAAGTGAGGTATATAACATCTGTTAGTAAACATTAAATTTTAAAAAAGTGCCCTTTAAAATGTGTGCCCACCTGGCAGCAAAGAGTAATGACCGTTTTTGCTGTTGTTGTTGTTCTTGTACCCGTTTGTTTGATTGTTTGATTATTTTGTTTTGCTGTTTTTTGCTTGTTTCAGTTAGAACATAGAAATACCCTGTGTATATTTAAGAAAATCCCACATGTAATGAACGATGAATAGTTTCATGACAAGGAGTCCAAATAACTTCATTGATCACTGACGGCTCAGAAAGGAAACTATAATTGTTTACAAGCGCAAAGAATACGAATACTCGAGTTTTCGCTCAGCAACATACAGACCTTCGCGGACGCAGAGCACTCAGGTTTACGGCCGTTGTGACCGCGCCGTTTGTCCTACCAGTTTCGTTTGTCCGTCGGACATAATATGCGGGTTTTCTGCTCGCACGGATCGTCCGAGCGGTTTGCTATCCGCACATTTTGTCCCCCCATTGTTTTACGTGTATATTTGATAAAAGGAAGCAACTCGGCAAATCAATGTATTTAGACTCATTTTAAATCATGTGGTAGACATTTTCTCTAGAAATTACATAATAATAACTCTACAATTTTTTTAAAGCAAATGGGCCAGTCCTTTTGAAAGTAGAAGTGAATATTTTCTTTAAAACTTTATTTTATGAAGGCATACTCGTGATATCGGCCCCTGTTGTAATCGATTATACTTTTCTACATGGCTTCGTACTTCAACCAACTCACTACTAGTATATACTCGATCGTGATACAGGCCCCGCTCCAAGTATTTGGGAGCGTTTCGAGGTTTAATGAAGGAGTTAATTGGGAAATAAAAGTGATTAAAAATGGGGTTGAAAGTGAGTGGGGGAGGCAAGAGTATTTAAGATAAGATAGAGCGTAGCACAAATTGGCGGATGCTCAAGGGGTAGGGGCATTTAATTACGGTCAGATGAGCATATTTTAATACCTTATTCATGACACTGGCAGGTCACTAATTGGCGTATGGTCCAAGGGGCGGAGTCCCCGGAAGCGCAGGGGTTTTAGGCATTAAAATTAAGGTCAGATTATCATCCAGGGGCCATCCTTAGGTTCCAAGGTGGGGTCCAGGGGGCAGAGCCCCCGGAAGCTCAGGGGTATGGGCATTTAATTACGGTCACATGAGCATACTTTCTTTTCTATTTCTTTCTATTTAATTCTCTTTAATATACTTTTTCAAAAGTGTGGGGGGGGGGCTTGAGCCCCCAAGCCCCCCCCCCCCCCCACGGGCCTCTAAATAGTAAATAAGCACATTTCTTGCCTGACTTTAAATTTTGATATTTATCATTCTCCCACAAACGCATAAAAAGTAAAATTTACTAAAAAGTGAGGAAAAATCCCGGAAAATTAGGCGGTTTCAGCAGCATCTGCAAATCACTGGTATCAAATTAGAACATAAAATTCACTCTCAAAGTTTATTTTGGTGGGGGGGGGGGGGGGGTAGCAACTGGCTGAATACTTAGACCTATGGTGTCGAGGGGCTCTTTCTTTATTTTTGTTCGGTAATAAATAAGGTTAGTTTATGTGGGTGTCACTTAGGCGCGGATATACGGGGGGCGACGGACGCGCCCCCCCCCCCTCTTTGATATAAAAAGAAAGGAAAGGAAAGAAAAAGAAAGGAAAGGAAAAAGGAAAAAAAGAAGGGCTAAAAACACGAGTTAGAAGTGGACCCATCACGGCGCTCACGTATCTGTATCAGGGGGGAAAATACATGGGGGCTCGGGGCGAATTAGCCCCCGAAATGCCAAACAGAGCCCCTGAAAGTCATAAAAGTAGCCCCCGAAATTTTTAAAGTACTTTTTCCCTGATCCGTATATAGGACAAGGCCCTGGGGCAGCTAGCCATACTCCGATATTTGGGTCGTTTTCTGATCAGAACTAGCCCTAACTATCATTCCAGGATTTAGTTTCAGAACCTGAGACAAAGTCACCCAATCCCTTTAAGTTTCAAAAAGTAGACTTCATTGACCTGTACATAGGCTTAGGAACCGGAGGGTGCTTGGGGGCACAACCCCCCCCCCTCCCCCTTCCCCCCCCCCCAACAAAAAAACAAAAAAAATATATATATATATATATATATATTATATTGGGGGCTCAGATATCATTGAGCCCCCCCCCCCCCCCAATATTTTGTTCGTGCTGATGAGTTGAGGGAAGTGTATGCCGGAGATATTGACTTTGTAGCATTAACTTGGCAGCTAACAAACCTCCAAGACGTGTATGACGATGAGAGGAAACCTATCAAATACATTAAAACAATCTGTGAGATTTTCAACAACAGTCCAATCTATAAGAGATCATTCTCAAAGGTGCACATTCTTCTTCTCATTTACATTACCATGCCGGTTACAACGGCAACTTGCGAGAGAACATTCTATTTCTTGAAAGCTCAACCAAAGCTTAATATTACTCATATATAAATCTCGTACAGATAAACTGGACTTGAAAAATATTGCCCAAAACTTTGTTTCCAGGAACACAAGAAGACAAAACTTCTTTGGCACATTTGTCTGAGGCTGCATGTGCACCTCAAAAGAAGAAAAGTCTGAAATTTTTCGCCGCGATGACATAGACGAGGAATTTATTTCAAGGTGCAAATTAAAGACAAAGGAGGATCTCAGGATTATATTTTTTGGGTGGTGCCACATTTCAGTTTTTAAATATGTCCGATTATAGGCATTACAATAAAAGTTTTGTTTTTTACGTTCCTGGGGTATTATTTTTTCCAAAGGTGTTAAATGTGTGTTATTTTAACACCTAGTACTTTGTCTTACTTAAAGATAAACTTTAGTACTGGTAATGCGATTGCATTGTGAAAGAAAAGGTGTGGAAAGGATCAGAAACAGTTGATCATGTAGCATGTAAGTATTGGTGTGCACTGCAAGGTTCTGGAGTCATCAAAATAATAATAAATTTGACCGAGTCTTGGTAAAGTAACAAGCACTCACATAGAAAGCTATATATGGGACAACACACATGGTGTCGGGGCTAGTACTATCTTGATTTCCTTGTCTTTCTATGCTCATTACTCAGCCAGTATACATTTTCTTCCAAAATTGTTTGGCACATGTCATTTATTTGTAATCTTGAACATTCAGTGTAAGTTTCGTGTGATTCTGTAAGAATTTTTTTTTTTTTTTTACCAGTACTGCATGGAGTTTATCTTTAATAAAAATAAACTGAATATCATACAATTCAACGATTTCTTCAAGTAGGCCTACTTTTATTAATTTCTTCAACTGCTTAAAATTAAGGCTACAAATGCTTTGTTACTGTAGAGCTGCAGTGTGAACAGGCTACTTGGTAATTCACATTTATAGATTGGTGCACATCATTATGCTTGATCATCCTCTCCTATCTGTTTGTTGTCATTCCTCTGTTAGTCATCCTTTATTTGCTACCTATGATATTTGAATATTCATTATTTCCTTTATTTTATAAATGAACATGTAAATACCTATATATGCAAAATAAATCCTGGAGGTTTAAAGTTGTAAAGCCCAGGGCAGTTCAACACACGCAATCATGAAATAAGGGTGTCTTCATCGAAGTGTCTCTGTAAGTTTAGAACCACGCCCTGTGCCTACCCGCTCAGGCCACCCTACATTCAGGGCGTCGCTAAAGGGGGGGGGGGGTGAGGTTGAAGCCGGTGGGATTTTTTATGTCGGTCGGCTAGCAATTTTTTCCCCTTCGAACTGTGACTTTTTATCGGACAAAGAAACATTTTTGAAAATTCAGACAATGATTTAGAGTCGGTACAATGAATCGTGTTATTTTTCTAATAATTTAATGAAACGTCGAATTTAGTCATATACCTGATTAACATTTAAAGATTTCCTACACTAATGCCTGGCCGTGCGTAACCCATATTTGAACACTAAGTTACACCTGAAATTGCAACATGTGCATTATAAGCTCAAAAATGCTTTCTTTCATACAAATACACCAAAAAACAATATGAATGATATTAATGAAACACTTACATGTACATGCAAATGCATGATCATTAATTTTTGCGCTTCTTGCTCCCAGCAAGATAGTTTCCTTCTACATTTAATTGTGTTGCTGTTGTGAGTTTATATTTATATTTTTGTTATCAAACAGGAATAAATAAATGAATATATAAATACATTTGTACAATGATAGTTGTACAATGATGATAGAAGAACCAATGAAAATCGCAACTGATCTTCCTTAATTCATTTTCTTTTTTTCATCTTTGTTTTCTGTCCCTTTCTCTCCTCTTTCCCTTTCACTTCCCTTCTCCATCTCTCTCTCTCTCTCTCTCTCTCTCTTTGCTGAGGGGGGGGGGGGGGGGTCATTGAGAACGCCCGTAGATTTGGCCAAAACCCGTTCTAGATTTCAGGGCCTCAGCGGTCATCCAACTGTTACTATAGTATCTTCTCGATTTTGCACACGAACCGCAGATTCTAATTCCGCAATGAGTTCGCGAAAATTGCCTATTTCTCTACCTTGGCGATCGAAGTGTCCGAATATCATTATTATTTGGGCAGCGAGATTTCTGAATAGTCTCATTTTCGGACTGGAGGTATATACTCGAATAATTATGTAATTTCTGAAATTTTCATTAGAAAAAAAGTGTCAAAATTTAAAGTGAAGAGTTTATATATTTCAGGGGCGGATCCAGCATTTTCCAAACGAGGAGGGTGATTGAAATGTACGAAATTTTGGCCGCAAAGCGCGAATCCTTTACGGCATGGGGTCCGTGGCCCACTAAAGGACCCCGGAAAATGTTGATCCTTAAGATGCTCTATGGTACATTTCTGAGGCATTTCTGAATGCGTAAACTGAACTTTTATGTGAACATGTCTTAGCTTTTTTTTCGGAAGAAAAAAAGAGGACGTGCGCCCCAAGCCCCCTAGATCCACCCCTGTATTCGAGCAAAAGGCATCAGCCCCCCCCCCCCCCCGTGTCCGTACAATGTCCTCAAATACTATACTCAAGCTATATAGGTCCCCTTTATCATTGCTGGAAAGAAGACGTCACATGGATGTTCATAATTGCTGTTTTATCATGGAACAGTTTGGCAAACAAAATATAATACAATCTAACCTGTGATACCGAAAGGAACGACGAAGACCGCCATCGTAATTCCGATTAAGGCCGTGGTCGTATGAAGCTCTTTTGCGATATCGTCGATGACCACCGGCAAGCTTAAAAAAACACCCATGAAGAAGAGGCATGTGAACAACGCCATCGACACCCGCCAAAGCGAAAAGAATCGTTTTAAACCCGACATCATCTTTCGAGGAAAACGACCGTGTCGTAGACGTCGAAGTAGGCCGACAGAGTAGTACACTTGGATACCAGGTGGGAATACTAGAATTGCTGGATGCAATAATTTCAGTTCAAACTGTTAGGTCGACCTTCACAATGCTTGAAAACGATCACAGCTTTGAAATCATAATTTCGATCCTCACTATTCATCGAGATTTGATGTCACGCATTGAATTCGTTGAGCTCACTTTACAATAATGACAAGAAATATTAATAGACTGGTAGATGTAAATACGGCTCACTGAAAATAATTATGAAATAAGAAAATCCCCGGAGAAATTAATTGAGACGGCTGCATAATAACAATATTGCGTACACTAACACGATGCACGGCATACTACAATATGGCGTAACTTGCAATAACGACCGATACAAACCAGCAAATGGCTTCAGAACAATGAAATGTTGTTGGCTTTACCTCCATTGTATTCACTGAACCGAATAAACACCGATAGAAAAATGGTTGTAGACCCATGTCATATTGAGTTTACCACATTGAAATAGGGATATTGCATGCAGTTGAAACCGCTCTATCAGGCTACTTTTCTAACGCTATTATTTGTGGACAAAGACTGTTTCCACTTAGATAAGCATTATCATCATAAGTCCTTGCTTGGAAGAAATATTGCTTCCTATAAATGTCGCTGGATCGCTTTGCAAATCAACAATGAATTTTTTTTTCAAGGAACATAACAGACCACTCATGAGCATGATGTAAAATTCACATTATCATAAAGATATGTTTTCATACGGAAATGATAACATATTTAGACCTTATTTAATGATAAAGAAACGATATAATTTGTGTTAATGCTTCCAAATACCCAGGTACTTTTGCCTATAGGTCACATTTGCCGCGTCGGCCGTGGGGTGTAAAATATCTAGTTCAGTTCAGTTTGTTTTATTATAATTATTATTACTACGGCCAATAGCAATTATAGGGCCGCCGCAGCATTGCCACGGTCACAATTGGAAGCAGTCACATAATATGTTAGGATAGCCGCAGGGGTATTTTGAATTTGTGGAGACAGAAAACCTGCTGCGGCCGTACATATTTTGACAAATACCAAGACAGACGCAAAGTAGCCGCAAGGCCGCCGTACCCGACGAACTGTCGCGGTGAAACCACTCTACGACAGGGCTACGGACGGTCTTGAAAAAAGCTATAACTCTGCGCTATGACTCCATGGCGACCCGTACGGCCAGTAAAGGTATATGGATAGCAGTGGCGTAGACAGGTTCGTACACCTGGGGGGATGACTGGGCTGCCAACGCTAGTGAGGGCGCGAAGCGCCCGAGCGAGGGAGCGAAGCGACCGAGCGGGGGGAGGGTGTTGGAGGGGGGTGTCCCCCCTCCCACGGTAGGGAGCTTTTGCAATTTTGAACTTGAAATCGTGCAATCTGATGCATACTTAATGAGGTAAAATAACACACACACATACTACGCCTTGAATGGACAGACATGCATCGACAAGATCTACACACCGTGGCATACGAATACAGAATGGACTGACACATAGTATTGCATATTGAACCACACTACGTATTTATTTATCTCTGTGAATTTTGCTGTTACACCTCTTCAGAAAAAAAAACAATGTCAACTGTGTACACGCAGGTATAGTCTTTGTTGTCTTGATAGGGGTAAGTGGTTATGAATGAAAACAGCCTCTGTGGCCATTTGTGAATAGAACACATAAACAACAAACAAATAACGATTAAACTTTGAACAATATGTCTGTTCATTATAAAGCATAATGAATACGTACATACTATGCTTTTTTTTTACCTCAAAGAAACAGGCATAGTATCCATAGATTGATATTGGCTGGCGGCTCATTAACATACAGATACAAAAAACATAAACAGTATCACTATGATCCATGGAGTAACAATACTGCTTTGTAAGTTTGTGAAGAAATCGGAACCATAACGGCATTGCATCGTTTCAAATTGGGGCATTATTTACTTCTATTTGATCTCAGTCTTATAATAGTAATAATAATAATAATAATAATAATAATAATAATAATAATAATAATAATAATAATAATAATAATAATAATAATAACAACAATAATAATACAAATAAAAAATAATACTAATAAAAATAATAATGCTAATACTAATAGGTTCCTTTTATCTCGCATTTCAAGACAGGGTAAGTTCACACTGCGCTTTACATGAAACAAACTTCTTTAAACATTTCAAACTTATGTCTTCATGCATCAATCAACATACTTTAAATGAATACAAAACAAAGTGCATCTTAAATAAAACAAAAATAAATAAATAGTTAACAATACAGAAAAGATGTAGCTGCTGCAAGCTTAACAACAAACTGAATTGTGAATGCGGCTAATAACAATAAACACAATTACAATAATGATGAGGATTATTATTATCATCATTATTATTATTATTATTAATATTATAATTGTTATCATTATTATTATTACTATTATTATCATCATTATGACTTATTAAGTAAGCAAAAATCATTCCCCAAAACCTGGGGGGATGATTGTACATGCCATCCCCCCCACCTTGTGAGGTGGGGGGATGCATCCCCCTCATCCCCCCGTTGTCTACGCCCCTGATGGATAGGCTCTAGGGTGACCCTGAGACCACCGAGAATTCTCTGCGGCCGCCACAGGTATCTCTCGATTTCGGGGACCTACAGCATTACCGACATTTCGTGAATAATTAAAAAAAAACTATATAAAAACGGACAGAATCTGGACTATACTTTACAAGAGCCTCGGTGTAGTAGTATTTATTGTGTTTATTTTATACCCAATATCCTTATATCATTCTGTAGAAATCAGCAAAGAGCAATCTTTATATATACATTTTGGATAAATACTATACCATTAGAATTTTGAAGTATTTTGTGTATTATAGTAATAAAAATTCTTATCGTACACGACACTCATCCGGCCTCCATTAATATCATATTAATGGAGGTCGGATGAATGTCGTGTTTGGGTGTATACATTAGTTTAAGATGACCAGTTCATGAACAAAAGGAATCGACCACTTACTTCACCTGCATACACCCATATACACCAAGGCTTATGCACACACTTGCAATTTTCTTTTTCTTTTCTTTTCTTTCAAATTTGTATTTAAATACTTCTGATTTTTTTTTAAATTTATAGGTGACAGTCCATTCTCCAATACATACTACTATAACAGTGTCATTTGCCCCCCTTCCCCTTTTCGACTGATATCGACTCAAGCATTCATGCTTATGAAAGTTGGCCTTTGCATTAAATCTTTATTCTTTGGTTTACCTCCATATTTTCAAGTTTTCAATCATATCTTTGTATTTTTTTTCAGTTGTCACATTTTATGTAAATCGATTACTATTATTGTCATTTGAATATTTACTACTACCCAAGAGCACAGAAACAGAATTCCAATATTTAGTTCTCTCAGGCGCGTACGCAGAGAAGGGGGGTAGGGTGGTTGACCCCCCCCCCCCCCCCTTCAATTTTGTTTGTTAGTGACAAAAAATGGCTGAAAAAAAAAATGTACTCACTAAATCCCCCCCCCCACCCCCATTGATCGAAATATCAATCGAAGCGATTTCCTAATTTTCGGAGGCGAATCAAAAATGTGTTCTTCAATATACATGTAGTTATTGATAACTTATTAATTTCAACATTTATAGAAAATTGACTACTGCTCATTAAAAAGTAAAAATCAGGTATCAAAGAATTCATCTTACTAATTTCATAAATAAAGGACATTACCGAGTGCACTGTGCACGTGTGCAACTGTGCACGTATTTCCGGATAAAGTGGTCTTACTTAAAAATGTTAAGTCTAATGATTCAGCCGGTGTATTAAACTCCCGGAACAATTTAACAGAATGTGTATATCATTAGCAATTGCGGGTTATAATATGTTAAATTTTTATATTGGAGAACTTTATTAAGATTTTGTTGCTCTGAAAACTATAGTTTCACAATAATACGAACCTAAAACATGTACAAATAAAGAAAAGAAAAGAGGGTTTCAAAGTTCTGTGTTCCGGTAAAGGCCCGGTCTGACATTACCGATTTCCGCAACAATATAATAGTTGGACAATGTTTCAATTATTTCATTTTCAACATGATTGTGATACATCATTGTTTCTCTGGCGTGATATACGTTCGTTCAAGTAGTATAAGCAATAGATAATAAGTAATTTTCCGCGGGGGTAATTGTCCAGGGGGTAATTGTCTTATAGAACTGATGAAAGGCAGTAACATATTAATAAAGGTCTTATTCATTCTTTCATTATGGGATTGTGCTTAAAATCCTATCAGGATTAGCGATTTCATTTAAATAAATCTAGTCGGTCGTAATGCGACCTAACACATCTTGAAATTTAAATATTATTACTAGTATCATTATTTATTCGGCTTTTTAACATGCAAAAGAAAATCAGCAAGATAGTTCAAAATAAAGAAAGTGTATAATGGATGTGGTCCGTACATGCCAAGGTGGCCTGGGTAATGGTAAAGTAAAACTCTTTACTGTTTACTGCATCACTCGGGCCTTCCGTCCTTACCTTTGCATGTATGGCAACATCCACACAAAATGAAATAACATAGCTTAAAGTAATGTGAAATAATAAAAAAAATACAAGGGATGAAATAGATGAATATATAATTCAAACAAAACAGAGACATAACTATTACATGCTAATTGCATAACATTGTACAGTACTATCATGGTATATCATTGTACAGTACTATCATGGTATAACATTGTACAGTACTATCATGGTATAACACTGTACAGTACTATCATGGTATAACATTGTACAGTACTATCATGGTATAACATTGTACAGTACTATCATGGTATAACATTGTACAGTACTATCATGGTATAACACTGTACAGAACTATCATGGTATAACACTGTACAGTACTATCATGGTATAACACTGTACAGTACTATCATGGTATAACATTGTACAGAACTATCATGGTATAACACTGTACAGTACTATCATGGTATAACATTGTACAGTACTATCATGGTATAACATTGTACAGTACTATCATGGTATAACATTGTACAGTACTATCATGGTATAACACTGTACAGTACTATCATGGTATAACACTGTACAGTACTATCATGGTATAACATTGTACAGTACTATCATGGTATAACACTGTACAGTACTATCATGGTATAACACTGTACAGTACTATCATGGTATAACATTGTACAGTACTATCATGGTATAACACTGTACAGTACTATCATGGTATAACACTGTACAGTACTATCATGGTACTACCATGATTTCATTTTATTTGCTGTTGTTATCATTTATCAATTCAATTTACTTTAGTTTACTCAATTATAAACATTTACAACAAATGAAGAAATAGATATTGGAAACAGAGGGGTCCACTAAAAAGCAATGCTTGTACAAGTGTGAACACCTCAAATGATACTTAGGAATAATGAGTAATTAAATTAACAAGTCCGTAACTACACAAGGAACTACAAAATAGGGGGAAAGGGGGATGTCAACAGAGACGAGAACGGAACAAGACAGTACTTTACATGACAAAGATAGAAGAAAACGGTCATAATACAAAGAGTAGACAATGCCAAAAAAGAAGTGAGAGATCGGGGGTACAGAAAATAATACAAAATGATGAGCTGCATGTGGGGTTGAGAAGAAGATGAGGAAAGAGAAATGCGCATTAGAAAGAAAATAAGCATGAGAAGGCACCAGGCGCGTACGCAGGGGGGGGGGGGGGTTGGGGTTGAACCCCCCCCCCCCTCCCTTTGGAATTTTCGGCCCGATTTAAAAATGTTAAAACCCTCCCCCTTGAAAAAATCCTGCGTACGCGCCTGGAAGGCACAATATAATATATCAAATTACATTTTTAGTCGGCGAGTAGAGAATGATCTTGTACTTAACAAACACAACTACAACACAAGAACAACAATATATACTTCATTGAGGTTAATATGATTGTAATAAAAACAATTTCATTTTGTTTGTTAAAAGTATTAATCGATGAAGCATCATATATAAATGTGTTTTTTTTAGCTAAGAGGGTCCGCAAGAGAGATAAATGAAAATCGTCCGAATGTCTTGTTGGGTAATTATGAACTGAGCTATTCTTAAAAAACATTTCTTGAAAAACAGATGGCAACATACTATTTTTATAATTATACATAAATTGACCTAGTTGGACAAAATATAAGTCGTGTACTGACATTTACTAGCTACACAGAGCAGAATCGTGTTAACAGCGTTATATACTGCAGTCTAAAAGCGAGAAGAAAAAAGAGTTCTTGACAGATTGGCATGATCTTTTAACAGATTTCCAGCTGTCGAAAGAAAAGTGGAAATATTTCAGATTGTCCTGCGAAAATATGTTGGATAAATGTCTAAATATAGAGGCAGAAATCTTGATCTTAATTGATACAAAGTCCAGCTTTTAGGAGGTGACCAGATTTCTTTCGGAGACATTATTATAACATGATATATTTTGAAAATGTCACTATTGGGTAAGAATAAGTCTTAATAATTTGTGGATGAAGTGCTAATTTAATATCTGTAAAGCGCTTAGTGACAGTATTTCTAATTAGGCGCTTAGGAGGAGGGTCACTGGAAGAAGTCCTTCAATTATCTTTTCACGTCACCTATCCCACTTTCCCTGTCTATTCCCCCTCATTTTTCTTTTCTTTATTCTTTTGTTCATTATTCAATTGAGGATACGTGCCCCTCCCCCTTCATGCCCCTCCACATACACAACTGATACTGACATGTTGTCGAGGCGCGATAGCTCAGTAGGTAGAGCAGTGGTCTCGTTATCCGGTGACTCGGGTTCGAAACCAAGTCGATGCGCTATATAGTGCCCTTTGGTAAGGCATTAATCCTCATTACCAGGTTCCTCGGAGAGGACCCTATAAGCCGTCGGTCTTCTGGTTGCTTACTAACAAGCTTGTATTGCTTTCTTAGCTGTCAGTTAAAATACCCACCACTATCACTTCATGACTGAATTACTTTCGTACAATCATTAATGAAGAATTGAAGTATAGGCATAATCTAGTTTGATATGGGTGACGATTGCTACAGATAAAGACGATTATAGGCAATAACACAATACTTGTTTTAATTCACAAAAACATTACATAAGTTATAATTTGAATGGCACATGCGTTTAGTTGTATTATATGATAGGGTTAAATTCTAAATTGCTTTGTTGGACACCGCTTCCCGCTTCTTGAGTATAAGGATGATAACGCTGAGGGCAACAGACAGTGATGTGAGGACTGCAGCCAGAACGAACATGAGCACAAAGCTACCAGTCAAGTAACCTGCAGAGAAATAAAAGTTTATATAAAGGAATTATCGGACGAACCAACAATAATTGCATTACGAAAAACCTGTAGGAAAAATGAGAATTATGTATCGTTTCCTTTAAAAGATTCTCGACTTGTTATGAATGTTAATAATAGCTTCTAACCAGTAATGTAGGAACAGCCATTACGGGAGTGACGAAGGCACCTGTTCCTTCAAGCGAATGGAAAAGGAAAGAGAAAAAGAGAAGGAAGGAGAGAGAGAGGGCGAGGGGGCGACAGGAAAAGCAAACAAGATGGGTAAAGCACTATGAAAATATGACATAATCTTCTCAAACACCCTCCCCTAGTTTCCTCAACGAATCTCACGACCCCCCCCCCCCCCCTCGAGTCGTAAGTAAGGCCGAAGGCGCACTTCCCCGTAACACCTGAATGGCTGCACCCACGCTATACTATTGCTTCTCATCATATTCTTACCAAAGTGTAGAAAACCTCATCACTACAAAGGAAATTGATAATATTGTCAATCGGAGAAATGACTTACCTAATGCAACATTGCCGAAGAGGCCACCGAAACCCTCGACGAATACTAGCCATCCTAACGAGATCGACGTCGCACTGTCATCGATCACCCTCTGCATTACGATGTTGAGTGAGATGATAGCCCCGGCAGACACTCCGAACGCCAGTGATGCCAAGATGGCGACCACGTAAACCCTCATGAGAAGTCCGAGGACCAAAGAGGCTGATACCATCAATATCTGCGCGACTATGTAGAGATGCGCGGATTTCACGTAACCCTTCGTCACAAGGATGCCACTGAAGAAACGACCAACAGCCTGAGAACCCCCGAAGACGGAGAGAATTGTGGCTGCTTCCATGGGAGAGAGTCCTCCGTGAGTCCCAGCAGGGGCCATGAAAATGGAACCAACCATGTAGGTAGCTGCCAGGAAAAATATGGCGACAAGGAGTGCCACATGACAAACTTTGGTTGTTCTCGTTAAGGGTTTGGCGCTAAACTTGAAAAGATTGGATATTCTAAATGTAGATTTAATAACCCTTACACTCTCGAGGCTATGATATTTGTCATCATTTCGCATATCATTCACACTAGATGGACTACAGTTAGAAACATGGTCTATTCCAAGAAATGTAGATTGAAGACGTTCTTTTTCATCCGTGATAGAGACTCCAGAATGGATGTCGCCATCTATATTAAAAGTCGCAAGACTTTGAATCTCCTCCTTATTCTCGTCGATATGTTCATCCGAATCACCATGTTGCTCTTGATCATCACATGGGACTGTAATGCCCACTGGTACTAGTGGATAACAACTTTGGTTGTTTAGTGATCCATTGCAGTCTTTGCCAACACCTGCAGAACTTTCTTGATCATATGATTTTGGAGACTCCAGACCGGTAGCAGTAGTTTGATGGTCAGACGGGGATGGTCGAAGCAGTAGCTTGTTAGTCCCTTTGCCAACATCACCTTTATCGTCGTCCCGGTCATTGACTTTGCATACTTTGATGTCCTCATCACCGACGAAGGGCCCTCGCTTTCTGACGACATCGGGTTTCATCAGTGCGCCAATGACGACAGTGTTGAGCGATATGGCCGAGCCAATTAACAAAGCCCCTCTCCATCCGTAGGCAGAAGCAAGGATCCGGAATACAGGGGAGAACACAAACACCGACATCGGGATGCCAGTTATTGCAGCTCCATTAGCTAGGGCGTAGTGGCGGTCAGAGTAGTGCTGTCGAATGGTAGCTGTAGATGCTGTGTACAAAGCACTCCCTCCAATCCCTAAACGTCGCATAAACGTAAAATCAAATAGTTAATCAAATTAATAGCAATCTTTCTTGATGACACCAAAGAGAGTAGTGCATGTTGCTCGTGACGCTAGCATAACCCATTGCTTACTGGAACCTGGTGGTCCCTGTGTTAAGCCTATGGGAATTAGATAATTCAGTAGCCAACGAGATAAGTTGCATCAGGCCCATTGTATACGAAACTTCCTTTTGTAGACATAGCTACTACGTCTCAAAGCCCTATCCCACTGAGCGGCGAATGCTTACGAACGTCAGTGCCAATTTGGATTCGCCAACTTTTCTGACGAATGTTGGCGAAAATCAGCGACATTAAGTGACGTTTAAAGGGCCTATCTCACTTAATGTCGCTGATTTTCGCCAACATTCGTCAGAAAAGTTGGCGAATCCTAATTCGCATTAGCGACAATTAGCAACATTTGAGCGAATGTCTCCGAAAGTGTTTGCGAAAGGCAGTTGGCGACTATTAGCGACTGTAAACAAATGTTAGCGACAACTTTTGCGAAGATTAGCAACTATTTGCCAATCCTTTGCCACTATTTGTGAACGTTTGAGACCTTTTGCTAACTACTGGTACTCAATGGGTCGATTTTATAAAGGAACCATATGGTAACGTGGTCGCTAGCTTTGGCGAAACACAGAGAACTGACGAAAACAAAGAGCAAAACCGTTTAACAACCGTTTGCAAAGGCTTACGACTGTTTTGCAAACGCTAACGACTGTTTTGCAAACGCTAACGACTGTTTTGCAAACGCCTGCAACTGTTTGCGGAAAAATGAATTCGCAAAGAAATTTTGAACATGTTCAAAATTTCTTTGCGACAAGAAAAACTGTTTACAACAAAGAAAACTGTTTGCGATCTTTCTTGCAACCTTTTACAACATTTTACAAACTCTGGCGAAACCCCAAATTCGCTACGTTCGCAAGCATTCGCCGCTCAGTGAGATAGGCCCTTAAAGGAACATTAATTTTGAACGAATTTTTCCGAAAGTGTTTGCGAAAGGCAGTTGGCGACTATTAGCGACTGTAAGCAAATGCTAGGGACAGTTTTTGCGAAGATTAGCACCTATTTACCGATCCTTTGCCACTATTTGTGAACGTTTGAGACCTTTTGCTATTAACTCCTGGTACTCAATGTGTCGATTTTATAAAGGAACGTGGTCGCTAGCATTGGCGAAACGAAGACAACTGGCGATAACAAAGAGCGACACCGTCTTATAACGTTTGCATAGGCTTACAACTGTTTTGCAAAGCTTACGACAGTTTTGCAAACGCCTGCAACTGTTTGCTACGGAAGCTTAAAAGTGCCACCGAGATGACGAGATAATTCCTCGTCTTCTCGACTTTTCTGGTCTGAGAAGGCGAGAAGGCGTGATCCGACATTTCGTTTTCTCGGCCGTTTTTGGTCCAAGAAAGCGAAAAGGCGAGATTCCAAATCTCGTCTTCTCCACTTCTCGGGTACGAGAAGTTGAGAAGGCGAGATACCAAATCTCGTCTTCTCGACTTCTCCGGTACCAGATGGTGAGAAAGCGAGATTTCAAATCTCGTCTACTCGACTTCTCGGGTACGAGAAGGTGAGAAAGCGTTATTCCAAATCTCGTCTTCTCGACTTCTCGGGTACGAGAAGGTGAGAAAGTGAGATTCCAATTCTCGTCTTCTCGTCTTCTCGGGTATGATGTAGTGAGAAGACGTTTTTTACAAACTCACCAAGTCGCATTGTTTTAGACGAGAAAGCGGGGAGGCGAGATGTCCAAACTCGCCGTGGCGCCCTATACAGTACGAGAAGGTGATTTGTTAGGGGGAATCCCCGCTATTCATGATAAGTTTAAATACTAGTAGGCTAAGTAATAAACAAAATGATAATAAGATAGCGAGATAATGGATAAGGGACACCCCCACGACTGTGGCGTAGGCGGGGGGGGCCACGTGCCCCCGAATATTTGTAGAAAAAAATATTGAAAACACACATTTGTGAACAAATAAACAAAAAAGACGTGCCCCATTAAATGTACGCGACCCATCTTCCCGCAGAATTCCTTAGGTACAAATACATAATACCGACATTTTCGTCCAAGTAGTTCATAGATGGCGTAGCCGGTGTGTGTTTCACGGGGGTGGGGACACGGGGGTGGGGTGCAGTGGGGTGTAGCAGTGTTACCATCAAGAGATTGATCTATCTCATCTCTAACCCTCAGCAAGGATGGAAACGACAGAGAGGGGGTTGTAGGGACTTAAGTTATTCACTATTTTCAAGCATTTCGTAAATATACTATTTTGCACGATATATTTTCCATATAGGTAAGGAAGTTTGATTTTCAAATGTTAAGCCAAATTAGACCCGATTCGGTGACCCTAAGGCATTATGCAAACGGTAGCGTCCCCCATACCATGTCTTTTTAAAAGTATTTTAATTTCTTTAGCTTTGATAATTATCATAATTCCCATAATTTAGCTAATATTTTCCCCGCTCCTGTGGTGACAAAAAAAAAGGAAAACATAAGACACATAATAATCCTATCGTAATTTGTTCCCTAGCTTGTGGGAAATATTGCCCCACAACCCTGCCCCGACTGAGCTTATCTAGGCTACGCCACTGAGACATTAAGTAGAACAAGCAGGCCCATGATCATAGCCATTTAAGGACTGAGATTGCTCTTTTAGAAACTAGTAATTGTTTATACGCCAATAATGTTTTTTATTTGTAGAAAGTAGCTTTTTAGTAGCTACAAATATTATATAGCCTTAGCCATATCCAGGGACCCAGGCCTGAAGCTCTACAATTTTAGCCAATGAAGAGTTTCAAGATTTTCGTTTTTCAATTAATTATCATAATTTGGGATACTACATGTAATTAATATTAATATTAATATACCTACCTTTATTCATCCGCAATCTTGATTTCCTGAAACTTTCCTAACACCGGAAACACAATATGTTGGACCGGACCATGAACCTAGTTATTACCCGGAGAGGGGTGGGGAGGGAGGCACTTTAAAATTGTGTTTTGTTTGGGGGATAGGGGGCTTGAACACTCTCGGACCTTGAAGGTCTTTGTGTCAGGTAGCGTACAAATAGGTAATGCAATCCCAATATGTTTTACTGTTTGAGTTCTATAAATTTCAGATATTAAAAACCGATAGTATTTATATTTCGCACGCTATACCACTAAACTATATGTCTTTCTCTGTATTTACATTGCGAGGTATAATTCATGGAAACAACGAAAATCTTGAAACTCTTCATTGGCTGATATTGAAGAGCTTCTGGATGCCTCGATTTATATATACGGCAATATATTTTGTAGATCCACACGATTTGGAATCTCCCTTGCTCATCATCTTGTACCTGAAAAGTCGAGAAGACGAGATTTGGAATCTCGCTTTCTCACCTTTTCGTACTCGAGAAGTCGAGAAGACGAGATTGGTAATCTCTCATTCTCACCTTCTTGTACCTGAGAAGTCGAGAAGACGAGATTTGAAATCTCACTTTCCTCACCTTCTTGTAGCCGAGAAGTCAAGTAGACGAGATTTGGAATCTCGCCTTCTCACCTTCTTGTACCTGAGAAGTCGAGAAGACGAGATTTGGAATCTCGCCCTCTCACCCTCTTGTATACCTGAGAAGTCGTGAAGACGAGATTTGAAATCTCACTTTCTCACCTTCTCGTACCCGAGAAGTCGTGAAGACGAGATTCGGAATCTCGTCTTCTCACTTTCTTGTACCTGAGAAGTCGAGAAGACGAGATTTGGAATCTCGCCTTTTCATCTTCTTGGACCAAAAAAGGCGGAGAAGACGAGATGCCGGATCACGTCTTTTCGCCTTCTCGGACCAAAAAAGTCGAGAAGACGAGGAATTATCTCGTCATCTCGGTGGAACTTTTAAGCTTCCGTAGTTTGCGGAAAATTTTCTTGCAATTTTTCTTGCTACCCTTGCAACCTTTTACGAACCCTGGCGAAACCCCTAATTTGCTACGTTCGCAAGCATTAGCCGTTCAGTGAGATTGGTGCGGTCATTTTTATATACCTATTGTTCTCTCCCTCTCTCTCTCTCTCTCACCCTCTGTGTGTGTAATTCAGCCAAATTTATTGTTTACCTCCAAGCAAACTGAATCCAACCCAAATGAAGGCAATATGTCGTGCGAACGCCATGAGAAATATCCCTGAAGATAGGAGAACACCACCTATCATGATCACCACACGACATCCTACAATGTTGAGGGCGTATGACACCAGAGGACCTGCATTGTGATCGAGACAGGATTTTAAAAAATAAAATATATAATTAGTCAAATTTTTGACTTACTTTTGGTGTTCCAAAAAGTTTTATATCTAGTTAACTTTCTTGTTATTTTTAATATTTCCCATATAAAATACAAGTAAGTTCCCCACTCAACACTGATTTCTGAACGGCAAAAACTTACTTTTTGTTGTGTTTATAATATAGCAATACTTTTGTCCGACGTACAGCAACCAGTGGTGGAACACAGGGCGGATCCAGGGGCCCAAAATAAGTTAAATAGGTTTTTGCTCAAAGGTAGGGGGGTGTTGAGAAAAAAATTGAGCTACAACCGCCCCCCTCGTTGAGCCCCCCCCCCCCTTGGGTTTGAAACCCAAGGCGATGCGCTAGTGCCCTTTGGTAAGGCATTAAGCCTCATTACCAGGTCCCTCGGAGAGGACCTAAAGCCGTCGGTCGTCTGGTTGCTTTCTCAGCAGTCAGCTAAAATAACCACGACCATTTATTCATGCTATGATTATACTTTAGCTATCGAAGTGTCCGAATATCATTATTATTTTGGCAGAGAGATTTCTGAATAGTCTCGATTTCGGGCCGGGGATATACTCGAATAATTATGTAATTCCTGAAATTTTCACTAGAAAAAAAAGTGTCAACAATTTAAAGTGAAGAGTTTATATATTTCAGGGGCGGATCCAGCATTTTTCAAAGATGGAGGGGCATGACATGTACGAATTATTGTGAACGCAAAGTGCAAAGCCTTTACAGCATGGGGTCCGTGGCCCACTAAAGGGCCCTGAAAAATGTTGATCCTTAAGATGCTCTATGGTCCATTCTGAGGCATTTCTCAATGCGTAAACTGAAATTGTATGTAAATATTTCTTAGTTTTTTTTTTCGGAAGGAAAAAAGGGGACGTGCGCCCCCAAGCCCCCTAGATCCGTCCCTCTGTTCGAGCAAAAGGCACCCCCCTCCCGCGTGTCCGTACACTGTCCTCAAATATACTCAAGCTATATAGGTCCCTTTATCATTGTTGGAAAGAAGACGTCACATGGATGTTCATAATATGAATTGCTGTTTTATCATGGAACAGTTTGGCAAAAAAATATAATACAATCTAACCTGCGATACCGAAAGGAACGACGAAGGCCGCCATCGTAATTCCGATTAAGGCCGTGGACGTATGAAGCTCTTCTGCGATATCGTCGATGATCACCGGCAAGCCGGTATGAACACCCGAAAAGAAGAGGCATGTGAGCCAGGCCATCGACACCCGCCATTGCAAAAAGAATCGTTTTAAACCCGACATCATCTTTCGTAGTCGACGTCGACTTCGAAGTAGGCCGATAGATTATGACACTTGGATACCAGGTGGGAATACTAGAATAGCTAGATGCAATGATGCTCCTTTCTGTTAAAAACTGTGAGGTCGACCTTCACAAAGCGAGATTCGATGTCACGCATTGAATTCGTTGAGCTCACTTTCCAATAATGACAAGAGATATTAATAGACTGGTAGATGTAAATAAGGCTCACTGAAAATAATTATGAAATAAGAAAATCCCCGGAGAAATTAATTGAGACGGCTACATAATAACAATATTGCGTACAAACACGATGCACCACAGACTACAATATCCCAGGTCGAAAATCCCATAGAGACCAATAGAGACCATTAGAAAAGTTCTATTGGTCTCTAATGGTTTCTGTTGGAGTCTATTGGTTTCTGTATATGGCGTAACTTGCAATAACGACCGATACAAACCAGCAAATGGCTTCAGAACAATGAAATGTTGTTGACTATACCTCCATTGTATTCACTGAACCGAATAAACACCGATAGAAAAATGGTTGTTGGCTCATCCCATGTCATATTGAGTGTACCACATTGAAATAGGGATATTGTATGCAGTTGAAACCGCTCTATCAGGCTACTTTTGTAACGCTATTATTTGTGGACAAAGACTGTTTCCACTTAGATAAGCATTATCATCATAAGTCCTTGCTTGGAAGAAATATTGCTTCCTATAAATGTCGCTGGATCGTATTGCAAATCAACAATGAAATGAAATGGTATTTTGTGAGGCATAAATCCTCAATACTGTCAGTTATGACTTAAGGACGTAGGTCCCCTAGTTGATTAGCATAGTAGCACATACATGATTTAGCAGTCATGTTAAACAAACACTCGCAAACTATTATTCAATAACATTTGAGAAGGTATACTATTATTTAGATCTATTAGGAATAAATAATTGTCAAAATCGTTCCATGAATTGGGGTAAAAAAACATTATTCCATCATTATGACCAACAGTGTAATAGTGAAAAAAAGTCTTAGATGTGATAAAGACTTTATTGTGAAACTATCATATAGGTCTAGTATTCCATGAGATGTGAATCTGTCTGGTTACAAGGGACATCGATCCAAGGGGCACAACAGGGATGATAAATATTGCCCAAATTAATGTTCCAAAACAAATCCCAGTACTTCTATTGCCTTTTGTTCTCGATGGGTGTATTTTCGAGTTTCGCGCGATCAGTGGCGATACTGAGAGGACAAAGATGATCGAAGAATTAAAAAACTTTGTAAAAACGCACAGAATCTGGATTACTTCATAAGAGTCCTGGGCCCCCGGTATATTGTGTTTATACAATACAATACCCGATATCCTTATGACTGTATGTCTGTAGTCCAAAGTACAACTTTTGATAAAGATCTGTAGAAATTGGCAAAGAGCAATCTTAATGTATACATTTCGGATAAATACCATACCATTAGCATTTTTAAGTATTTTGTGTATAATAGGAATATACTTTCTTATGATCTTATCGCACACGACACTCATCCGACCTCCATTATTATGGCCTATAAATCGAGAAGATACCCTGGTCCGGATATTTGGATTGCTTTACCTGACAGCATTAAACATTCTGCATCTCTTTATTCATTCAAAGCCTCCATGAAAAAGTATCCAATATCCAAATATTCATAAACACTATTGGTCTTTACAATTGCATTCAATTTATTGTTTGTGTGTTTCAAGTTTCAAGTTTCAAGTTTTTCAAGTTTCAAGTTGATTTCACCTTTCACAAATAAAAAGAATTTACATAATTGACAAGAATAGAAAATAATATGAAATATACTATAAAAGTGTCACATTATATAATTAATTCTTTGAAAAGACGTCGAAATTATTATTGTAATGAATAGAAGGTTATACAGAGTGAAATGTGAGGGACCTAATAAAAAGCTTAGCTTGTAGATTATAGGTTCCCATAAAAAAAAAATTAACAGTTGGTTGAAGTAGTTGTAATGGTAGAGGACGGTACGGTGGACAAGATGCCTTAACATAAGATGATTATACAACGTGAAACAAGCAAAAATAGCAAAAATAGCAAATACAGCAAGCAAACCAAAGAAAATGAGACAATAGTCACTTTAAAATATTGAGGTCATTAAACGAGGTCATTGAACGAGGTCACCCGAGCGAGGCAGTAGACATGAACAATCATAATTATGTTACAGTAGTGTATACAAGAATGTAGGCCGTAGCCATAGAGATATATAGGCCTACTTGTTATTATCTCTATGGCCGTAGCCCAGACACAATCCTGTTTCCAACATGCGTTCGAACCCACGCACGTCTGCTCCCAGAGAGCCCCAAGGCACGCAAACGCATTCACCTGCGCCACGCCCCATGCCTCCCCCGCAGTATCACCTGCATGAACCAGCTTACAGCAGCAGCCGTTGCCATTGTATACATTAGTTAACGGTGCCTAGTTCGTGGACAAAAGGAATCGAACAATTATTTCACCTGCATACACCCATATGCACACACTTGCATTTCCCCCTTTTCTTTCAACTTTTTATTAAGTTGCTTTATGAAGAAGAAAAAATCTATATACGTGACAGTCCATTCTCAAATATTATATATATATTCCTATAACAGCGTCACCCCCACCCCCCCCCCCTTCTCGACTGATATCGACCCAAGCATTCATGCTAATTATGAAAGTTAGCCAACGCTTTTCAAGTTTTTTTTTTCAGTAGTCACATTTTATGTAAATCGATTGTCGTTTGAATATTTGATTTTGATTTTTCAATAAATGCAGAAACATCTGATAAAAATGGAGTTTTGTCTCCACATTCCTTCCTTTCTGCTTAATACTGCTCTACCCAAGAGCACAGCATTCCGATATTTAGTTCTCTAAGTGGATACATCAAGGATCATCACAGAATACGTTTTCTTTTACTCGCTCTCTGATATTTATGTGCTATATACTAAGTGTAATTGAAAACCATCAGCGGTAAGTTATTGCCCTTTTAATTTGAAAAATGTTCCGTCTCCCTGAGATCGTCTCATTGTATTAACATGACTGTATAACTTTCCGAAAATGAAAATTTCGTTGTTAAACGTTATGGACCGCGCCCTACAAAATAATGAATAAAGAACCTCTACCCAAAATATTTAAACTTAATCATGGAAAAGTTCATATTATGGATTTTGTTTCTTCAATATAGTAAATGATAACTTATTAATTGCAACATTAAATTTATAGAAAATTGACTACTGCTCAATAAATAGAAATATCAGGTATCAAACAGTTAGTCATCTTACCAATGTATTAAGTAAATGGACCTTTTACACTGTTCAATTAATATTGTAAACGACAGCTCATTATTTTAACGAGTAATTTTGCACGCATTTCAAGGTAAAGTAGTCTAACGTTTAAAATGTTAACGTCTGATGATTCTGCGGTGTATTAATCTCCAGGAAACAATTTTACAGCATGTGTATATTCTTATTGCAATTGCAGATTTTAATATTTTGTAATTGTTATAATATTATATCAGGGAACTTTAACGATCGCCCTGAAAATGAGCTTGACAATAGCATGAACCTGCGTATACAATGTACGGAAAAGAAAAGAAAAGAAAAAAGGGTTTCAATCATTTTCCAGTTCTGTGTCCCAGTGAAGGCCCGGTACGGTCTTACTTTACCGATTTCCGCAACAATAAAATAGCTGGACACTGCCATGCAGGGGGGACTGGGACTGGAGAATGGGTGGAGAATTTCGATGTAACCGGCCCATCCAACATAGACATCCCCACATTTTCCTACATTTTCAACATGATTATGATACATTATCGTTTCTTTGCAAGATAGACGTCCAAGCGATTGTTCAGACCACAGACATAATAGGCGTATACGGACACAATTTTGCTGGAGGCGGGTCTCTAGCTTTAAACAAACTTTTCTGTTTTTAAACACCATGTACTAGTATCTAGAAGGAATTTTGTGCAGAGGCGACACCTCTTCAGCTATCATAGTTTCTTCAAAATCATTTGGCAGATAAACCACAGTACGAAAGACTGGCAAAATTATACAATATTGGCTAACGAGCTATGGAAATATCCTAACATCATATTCACTTCGATCTACATTACCCCTTCTCATTCTCAAATCCCGAAAACAGTCTGGCTTCAAATACTTTCAATCAGTTGCCACAGGCCTATATGACTTTTTGTAATAAGCTCCCTGCATTTCTAACAAATAGTACTTCACTTTTGGCAACAGCAGCAAAATCTAAAAAACATTTGCATTTAAAATTTATTGATTGACTATAGAAAACAGCGCCTTGCATCCTCTGGAAAAGGTGTTACATTAATCTGATTAATATTATTATTAGCACTTACCATGTAATAATGCTAAAAACAAACAAATAAATCTAAAAGTAAAAACGGTGATGACGTTTTAGTAGGTCTAACTTGTTTTTATAACTGTTCCTGGCGTTCCAAAAACAACATTTCTTTGTCAGGTATACTCCCCTTTGTTCGTGTAATGTATTATTGTGAACTTTGTTATGACGATTGGAGAAAATATAAATAGATATGAAATCTCATTCAATTGAATATAAACTTGAACCATTCGAGTGTGACCTCGTGCACAAAGTATCTTTATAATAAACCAATCACACGGGTCTTTTGAGCTATACAAGCCTCTCCATGTTCACCCAGTTGCCCTCTGTTTGAAATTAGAAGAGACTAAAGAAAGAGCAAATGGGGCATGTTATTATTAAAGGAAACCAAAACCTTCATACTAAGTTACTTTTATTGTAAAGTTTAAAAGATTTGAATAAAATCAGTGAAAATTTGAACAAAATCGGGCAAGGAATAAGGAAGTAAGAGCTTTTTGAAATGACTAGTCACTAGAGGGCGGTATTCAATTTGATGACATCATCAGTGAACAACTCTCCATGCCTTTTGTACATAAAATTTAACAATTTTTTTTTTTCTTCGTATTTATTTGTGTTCTTGATCCGACTTCATAACATGCGAAGTAGAATATCATTTTGCATTCTATATCTTGCTTTCGGGGGAGTACATCACCTCAATCACAAGAAAGAAGGAAAAACATGAAATTGATGTACAAAAGGCATGGAGAGTTGTTCACAGATGATGTCATCAAATTGAATACCGCCCTCTAGTGACTAGTCATTTCAAAAAGCTCTTACTTCCTTATTCCTTGCCCGATTTTGTTCAAATTGTCACTGATATTTTTCAAATATCTTAAACTTTACAATAAAAGTAACTTAGTATGAAGGTTTTGGTTTCCTTTAAGCCCATCGTATACGTCCTTCTAATCTACACGATAGTCATATGCAAATCTGAATTTCATTCCCTTGAAATTCAGATTTTCATATGACTATTCAAATCATAATCATCATGCTTGTTCAGATCCTCGGTCAATTTAGATTTTAAGTGTTTGAATGTTCGTATCAAATGCTATTGCAAATAACATTCTTCCAAAATCGTATGTGTGCGATGGGCTTCACCTTTAGACAATCATTTTTCGTACACGAATATTGTTGATGGATATAGTTTCCACCTATTGGAAAATCCTGCATCCGCCACTGCTATTGTATATCCCTTGACACAGGGGCGTACGCAGGATTTTTTCAAGGGGGGGTTTTAAAATATTTTGCTCCCGAAAATTTGAAAATCGCGCCGGCCGAAAAGTCGCTCAGTGGGGGGGGGGGGGGGGGGGGGGGTAAGCGGACACTTTTTTTTTTTTTTTTTGGAGGTCAAAAAAAATCGCAACGACTCAGCCAGCCGAAAAGTCGCTCAGTGGGGGGGGGGGGGGGGGGGGGGGGGGGGGGTAAGAGGACACATTTTTTTTTTTTTTTTTGGTCTCGAAATTTCAAAATTTGACATTTTTTGTCGTTGGGGGGGGGGGTAAGGTCACCTTATTTAGGTTAGCCGTGGGTATAATTTTTTTTTTTTTTTTTATTTTTTTTTTAAATAATAATAAAAAACAAAAAAACAAAAAAAACAAAACAAAGGGGGGGGGTTTAGGTTTTTTTAGGGGGGGTTTACATACATAAAAATACCAAACGGGGGGGTTTGAACCCCCAAAACACCCCCCCTGCGTACGCCCCTGCCTTGACATAATGACGGTAGTGAGGAAAATCTGCACGCAAATTGTATGCGATTTTCATTCACTACCGTCACTTCGTGAAAATAGGGACGATAAGTTGTTGACAGTGTAAAATAAATCAAATTACGCTTCTGATATATAATTCACAATGTAAACAATTATTTCAATAGAGAAGCAAAAACATCACTTCAAAATGGATTTAATGCACAACCATCATAAGTCCTTTCTTTGAAAAATAGGAATTACATTTCAAATTTGATCTATTTTATGTAAAGTACAAAGTCAAAGTCATGTAGATCTAGTGTTTACAAAAAGTACACAGTGTACAGAGAACAGTTACATGTCCATCTTGATCTACTGAAGATCTTAAGATTGTTTCAAACCTTATATAAAGCTATATCGACTAATATAGCTTTGTGTTTCAAACCGACTCGCGCTATAGTTTGTATCCAAATAGGCCTAGGCCTAGCCTACTCATTATTTCAGTACACATAATAAAAAGCAATGCGCACAACTTATTTCGGGGAAGAGGTTGTGGAATATTTTCGCTGAAAATGGCCGACGAAAATGTTACCAAGGAGAAGGTACGCTAAGCTTTTATTTAATTTTTTCAGTGAACCGAGTATCTTTATTAAGTTTTGTGTAAACATCACTATTTCTAAAAACAACTACGAAGCAATTCTCACCTGATATCGTTTTCTTTTTGCTTTTTCAAGGTATAATTGTTCAAGGATATCGAGAGTATTTTCCATCATGGTCCCATACGCTGATTATTGTGTACCATTTTCGTTATGCTCACTGTAGATGACAGATTGCGACTGCTACAGACAATTCCTGCTGCAGGCAGATACACACCAGTTCAGAATCAGAATCGTATCCAGAATTTGACCCGTGACTCCAGCGTGGAGATACCTTACTATAACGTACTATATTATAACAAATCAACTAGACTCTAGATCTAGTCTAGACTCTAAATCTTCTTATTGTTCAAACACTGGAAATGATTTAAAGACAAAGTTGTTATGTTTCTACTTTCTTCCTGTTTCATTTTCATTTTTCTTTTTTTCGGAGTAGATCTAGGTCTAGACATTTTTCTAGAGAGTCTATTTTTCCTAAAAAAAACGAAGACATTATCATTAGCAATGTGATTTACGAATTCAAGTGCCGATGTGAAGCTCGGTACATTATGATAGGGCGTACAACGCAGAGACTGGCAAATCGAGTAAAACGGCATGTGCCTTCCTTCATTTGGAACCGCCAGACCAACGCGCGTTCACAACCGCCGCACTCATGCAAACAGGGAAACATCCGTACAGCAGACAATGCCAACTGTGCCATCGCTCAGTACTTGCTGAACAACCAAGACGGCGCTGAACAATACTGTTCATCTTGGTTCAAAGTTCTCTGCCGAGCGAGAAAATTTACTCATCTGTGCATGCTCGAAGCAACACACATTCAGTTGACCAACCCTCTTCTATGCAGACAGAAGGAGTTTGTTTCGGACACTTGTATTATTTTAGCGATTATCCCGGTATAACCAGCTGACACTATACCTAATTTACTGTTGCCTTAGACAGCCAATCAGAGCTCGTTATATTCAAGCCTTGATCCTTTCAGTTTCCGTTTATATTGTTCGATTTCGGCTTTCTGTTTCATTCTTGGGTTTTACTCTGATGAGTGCAAGACGAAAAGCTTTAGTATGGCTCTTTTCAACGCGCTTCTCAGACATTATCTAGTCTAATATACACTTTCTTATAGGTTTCAAGGCATGCATGCATGTGAAGTTAGGGACTGTAATCTCAGATCCTCATTAAATTAATGTAAGTAATTCATCATTACGGTCGCTTATTTGGTGTGTATTGGTAGTGCAAAATTGAACTTTAAGTATGACACAAAACCAGGAAAGGGTCAGATCGAGGAAAAATGAGTGGAATAGGTCAGTGAAAGTTTGAGCAATATCCGATTAAAGATAAGAAAGTTATGAATTTTTGAACTTGCGATCAATCAAACACAAATTGGCAACTCTGTGAGGTGTCTTGCGAGCTCACCTCCCATAATCAGATTTCGCTCACACTTTCACTGACTTGTTTTCTGCTTCTATTAAAACCAACTCAATATCAGGGTGGACTTCTCCTTTAAGTCATAATATTGTTGATATGTTTAAAGTTAGCCCAAGAGGACGAGTATGTGACACCAAGGAGGATGGAGCCTGAGCCAAAGAAACCTTCAGACTTAGCCCCTCAACCGAGTGCACCATACCCTGATAACCCTCAGCCAAAACCTCAGGCAAGGCCAAGGGGCAAGAAAGGTCAGAAGAACATATTATGAACAACCATTGTTGTTGTTTTGTTGTTGGTGTAGTCATAAATTATATGATATGATTACTTTTATGTGTTTCTATCCATGGGGTAGCTTTTTTTTTTCTTTACTTTTTTTACCTTTCTGCTTTTTTAAACTTTGATTTTTTTTTCCTAATTTATTTACACTTTGAGAAATTTCTTTATCTCATTACGGATATCCTGACTTATTCTATTATTGCAGTTTATAATTCTTTAGAATATTTCTATAAAAGTATAAGTTACTTTAAAATGTCACATTCTGATCCATACTTGTGAAGAGAGATACAATTGTTCATTTTGTGTGGAGATGGTTTCTGTCGGTGTTTAGGCCTTCAAAGTTAAAATAAGAACATAAACTCCTGAAGATTCAAACACACAGAGCAGTGAGAATGGATGAAATCCCCCTCTCCCCTTCCCTACTCGAGTGCTTTCCTCTTTTCTTTTATTTAATTTAGGTCAAGAAAATATAACTACGTAATACAGTAAAACTATATAGTACAGTAAATATGTTAAGACTATGAAATAAGTAAATACAGTAAAACTATGAAATAATACAGGTTAAACTAAATATTAATATACTATAAGAAAAGAATTTTATCATTTTACTTCATCATCATAGTTTTTTTAAATGAACCCCTCTTTAATTTTCCTTCTTACATATTTTTCTGTAGCACCTGAACTTCCAGTATTTGAAAGGAGAAACTGGTTGATTCATCTCCACTATGTTAGGAAAGAATTTGACAACTCCAAGGTAACATTTGTATTTATTATCTTTTCCATGTTCATCTTTTCTTTTATTTTCACATTAATTCATATGTTGTTGCTTTAAAAACTAGGTATAAAGACCTAATTATATTAAATTTCTTAATCATTTTGCAAAATAACTATCAGTACAGACTTGTAACTTATTAATCATGCTCAATAGTATTTGTTTGGAAATTTAATGCATGGCAAATGAATGAGTTGACCACTGATGCAATTCAACAGTGCCTGATTTGAAGAAGAAAAAAAGATCACTGCAGGTTTAAAAAATATATATATACATGTACATGAAAGATGTTTAGGTTCACTGTGAAATATGAAGACAGTATAGATTGATCTAAGTGAATTTATCAAATGTCAGGGAGTTACCTCAATTGAATGATATCTAATAAAGTGAATGAAATATTTCATCTAGTCACAAACTTGTGTCTGTCAATACACTGAAAAATGTTCTAAATGGTGTATTTTATTTCTAACCTCTCAACAACCAGGCTCTTATTAAAGAGCAGCTCCAGGAATCCAACGGCCTGTGTGAATACGCCCTCTATGTTCAAGCTCTGATACTACGACAGGAAGGCAGGATACAGGAGTCTTTAGAGTGCTTTCAGACGTGTTCTTTGATCAACGCTCAGAACCCAGACAACCTGAAGCAAGTTGCTCGCTCTCTGTAAGTTCCTGTAGCTTCAGCTTCCCAGCATCTGGAGTAGTTTCAAATATATTATTTATAGCCCATTGGATAAAATATATAAAATACAGTCAAACCCAAGCCTTTTATTAACCGGGCGCCGGGCGATTTTTACCCTACGGTCCCTGACTTTTGGCGCCCGGTAAGACGGGGAAAATGAGTACCGGGCGCCGGTTCATTTTTATTTCTGGCGCCCGGTCTGGGAGAATTAACATTTTCTGTTTCATAAACTTCCACATGTCTAGCACTAAATGTTCACAAATGTGACAAAAACTTACTTGATACGAGTTAAACATGGACTGAATGAACCCTAACAAATCATTACATAATGAGAATCCTAATTAAAATCGCCCAGAAAGAATTGCAGCACTAATACGAGCGGCCGCTATCTCCTACTCCTAGCGGAGTACGGAGCACACAATACAGGGGATGTACACCACTCAAAGCTAAGACGAGCGCATTTCCCCAAGCCATGCATACACACACAAATGACATCAGTGCTGTACTGCACTACACACACAGTGTCAGTACAAGAAAGTCTCGATGTAACTTCCAAAAATCCATCCCAAAAGCCAAATTTTGCCGTCAAAAATGCGGAATCGGAGTCATATTTCCAAAGCTCACGGGGGTTTAGCCCAGGTTTAAGAAACAGTTTCATCAAAATAGCGCTAAAAATCAAGAAATCAGCGATTTTTTTGCCAGTTTTTTTGCCTATCGCATGCCCTTCGGATGTAATGGTATCTTCAAAAAGCCAAATGAAAAACAGAACACCGGACCTGCTGATGCATTGACTTTATGTACAAAGTTGATTGCAACTCCAGACTTGCCTTGATTCAGCAGCCCTCGTACTCATTGACTAAAATTCTGTGATGTTTTAAATAATGGATTTTTTTGATCAAATAGGCAAATATATTTAACAAATTTTTTTTTTTTTTTTTAATTATTATTATTTTTATTTTATTTTTAAAAATATTTTTTTAAGTGACAGGTCTAAATAACAAACCCGTTAAACAGGCAAATTTTTTTTTTTCACCTAAAATATGCTTTTTCAAGCTGAATACCGGTAATATGTTTTTTGAAAGTGACAGGTTGGCAGCTCTGCATTGTCATTATAGATGGTTTTTCTTAAGTATTTTTTTTTATAAAAATAATTTAATTCCCCCTTTCCTAACATTTTTCAATTTTTGACATTTAACGGCATGAAAATAGTATTAAACATGAACTACAACAACTACAGATTTATCCAAGGTATGAGTGATTTAATATAAGAGTGCTCAAAATGTAAACTGTAGAAATTAAACTACCGTATGTATAAATAAAAGGTAACGTTTAACAAATAATTTAAAAGAATACATATTTTCATCAATTTTGGAAACGGCTCCTGGTCCTGGAAAATGGCTCCCGGTTCTCTAAAAAAATTAAGGACCGGGAGCCGCTTTTTCAGATATTTGGCTCCCGGTCTGCTTTGACTTAATAAAAGGCTTGGTCAAACCTGTCGTAGTTGCCACCTCTATAAAAAGGCCACCTGTCTAAAGGGGCCAATTTTCTGTGTCCCTTGAGTGGCCTTTATAGACAGGTTTGACTGTATAGGACTTTTTGTATATATACAGTGGTCTTTTATTGCTATCAAAGGCAGGGTTTATTCCAACATCGCTGCCCCTGCTGATCTGTATGTTTAAGTGCGACATCTTTTGGTGAAAGTGTACATAGAGCAATTTCCGGTTTCTGTGCCCAAGCGTCATCACACGTGCCAATCAGTTGGTGATGCATTGTGGGACAAAGCTGTCAACACATCGCCAGGTTGTAAGCAGCAGATCAAGCAGATGGCAGTACACATAAATCTGAAGCAGTGTCAGTAGAACACCCTGCCTTTAAATATTTGATATCCCATAATGCTAAGAAGGGTAAAGTTAATCAAACAGCCAATGCAAAATTACATACATTTCTGTTTTATTATTACAAGATTTGGTCCAAAATATTCTGACAAAAGTTACAATTTGACTCTGCTACTTCAACTATTTATGTTAGGAAACTGACGATTTTGGTTTGGTGCCCCTATTAAACTATTTTACCTGAGATTTTCCCATATACTCTTTGTAATATGAAGTTCTTCTTTGTTTTTACTTTAGATTCTTGCTAGGAAGACACAAGGCAGCCATAGATGTTTATGCTGAAGCATCGCGAATGACAGAGAAAGACTGGGAGATTGCTCATAATCTAGGAGTCTGCTACATGTATCTCAAAGAGTATCTGAAGGTAAGCCCTTTTTTTATCAAAAATACATTTTTGTCAATCATTGAAATAATTGTTTGTTTATACCTGAAATTTGTAACGAAGAGGGCAAATGTTATGATGTCTTAGAAAAAGCCAAAGAAATATTATTAAAGGGCGGTCTGTCATTATATTCACCAATTATTTAAAAGATAATATGAGAGTAAAGTCTGAAAATTAATTTCATAGCCATTTCTTTTTTGGAGGTATTACCCTTTAATACTTGTTATAAAAAGGGATAATTAAGAGGAAATACGATCACCCTCAGAATCAACATAATGGATATGGAATTGACTTCATTTGTGAATTTCAAACTTTTGATTGTTTCCATTGTGAACGATACCATTGAATGCTCAAACTCAAACCTGTTTCAGCAACAACCTGTATAGAAAGACCACCTGTCTACAAAGACCACATTCCCCCTTGAAAATGGTTTCTCATCGAAACATTTATCAAAGGAACCTGCAGATAAAGACCACCTGCCAATCAAGACCACTTTTCTTGTCTCCCTTGAGTGGTCTTGATATACACTGTAGAGGTTACACTGTATTAACTCTTAACTTTCATGCAGGCCAAGGAATACCTGAAGCAGGCCATCCAGTACAACAGACATGATCTGTCGTACGTGATGCTGGCTAAGATTTACCTGGTATCACTGTATTTACTTTTAACTTTCAACTTTCAGGCCAATTAAGGAATACCTGAAGCAGGCCATCCAGTACAACAGACATGATCTGTCGTACGTGATGCTGGCTAAGATTTACCTGGTATCACTGTATTTACTTTTAACTTTCAACTTTCAGGCCAAGGAATACCTGAAGCAGGCCATCCAGTACAACAGACATGATCTGTCATATGTGATGCTTGCTAAGATTTACCTGATGGAAGGAGACATACAGATGGCCACCGATGTCTACAAGAGAGCTGCCGAGTAAGTCATTCCTCTAAAGATAACTAAACGGGAATGTCGTGGTCGTGTGGTTTAAGGTGCTTGACTGGAGATGCGAAGGTCGAGGGTTCGAATCCCGACACGGCACTAATATTCTTTGGCAAGATATTTACCTGCACTTGCTACTCTCCACCCAGGTGTTAAATGGGTACCCGGTAGGTTGTGGTTGAACGGGCAAGTGTGCGCTTGTAAAATGGCGACTGGCTGGAATGTTCCCCCGGGAGTGGAAAATGTGCATACATTGTATGCGGGTAAGCCTGAATCCGATGACCAGGGTAATAATATATATCTGTAAAGCGCTTAGGCACATCGTCGGATCGATGTATTGAGCGCTATATAAACACAGAATGTTATTATTATTATTATGATTCTTTAAGGTTGATGAAGTAAGTAACGGACAGAAAAAGAAGAATTATTCTGTAGGAGAGAGAAAAGAGGTAGTGTACCGGTATTCATCAAGGTGATATGATGGACATAGGTCTGTATTAGATGTAGGTGAAGGGATGGATGTTAGAAAGGTGAATGATTACTTTAGTCAACAGGTAGATAGATGGATAGATAGATAGATTAATTTATTGATTGATTGGTGTATGTTTGATGGATTGCTGGGGAGATATATAGGTAGGAAGATTAAGAGACACAGTAAAAACAATTGTTTTACCTTTATATTATTTGTGTGCAATTACTTCATGCTTTATTGAGGCACACTTTTCCAGAAAATGTGTAGAAAGAATGCCTCCCCACCCACCCCCCCCCCCAAAAAAAAAAAATATATATATTAATAATAATAATAATAATAGTAATGATAATAATAATAATAATAATGGTAAAAAAAAAATTTTTAAATAGTGATAAAAGAGATAGGCATATTTTCTATTTTGTATTGACCAATGTTGCTATTAATTTAATAAGAAGTTTTACTTTTTTGTGAGGTTTTTTTTTTCCTTGCTGACATTCATCTGAAACATGCTACTGAATTGTGTTAACCCTCTGTATAAAAGTTGAATATTCTTCAGTAACCTACCTTTCCTAATGAGACCACCTTTTTATTTTGTTTGTGTACATTCACAGGTCTTTTCCTGAAAACCCTGAACTTCTGACAACTCTCGGACTGCTCTACCTCCAGGTAAAGTCACAATTTATAAAGATTTTTTTATCTGAATTTACTTACGTGACTTTCCTAGATGATATTACAAATTCATCATGTGTTATTCTCAAACTCTGTCTCTTCTATTCTTTGATGTCAACTTCATGTGTTCTCACATGTTTTTAAACTTCCCTACCATTTTTTCTACAATCTACTGATACAGATTATAAAATATGTATCGGGAGCGTATAATTTTACCAGTTATAAATTCCATATATAGTGAGCCAAGCATAATACTGACGAGTTTGAGGTAGGCAATGAATATGAAGGGTCTTTTGGGGATACATTTCTTTGAAGAGAAATCGCTATGTTAAATTGATCATTATTGATGGACTACATGATCTACATACATGAATCTTGCGAATTATGCTGGGAGGAGAGCAAAGTCTCTCTTACAAGTATAAAGAGATCCCTCTTTTAACACATCTTAAAGATATTATCATCATCATAAAATGTTTATTCATCATGACAGGTTGGTCAGAATCAACGTGCCTTTGAGCAGCTTGGGAATGCTTTGACCTATGACCCCAGTCATGTAAAGGTATGTATATTTTTTCAATGCTTAGTTCCAAGTGGGGAATGTACATTTTTTATTCACTTTTGAATTCAATGATAAAACTTGTGTAATATTATTTTCCTTTTTTTGCAATGGACATGAATTGCCTAGAGCGACAATATTGGTTATTATTATTAACCGTTAAAATCTAGACCACATTTTTGTTTCATGAAACATCAGAAATTGTTCATACATATATGGGGGAAAAAGAATAGCAAAGGAAAGACTGTTTACAAGGAAAACATTGTCTTCAATATTACATGGCAAGTATTTCTGGCACAACTGCTACAAAATTTAGGATTTCCAGCTCTTCATAGTTTCAGGTAGCAGCATCTGAATTATGGAATGGAATGCCTGATGTTGTTAAGGAGGCAGTCACAGTTGACCAATTACAAAACAGACTGAAAAGTCATTTGTTTATGAGCAGTTTTCCTTAAGTTTAGATTTAGTTGGTAATTTGGTATCTGATTTGAATTGTATTTTTTTTATATTGCCAACTTCTATCTCTTCCTTATTCTCCAAAGCGCATAGGGACCGAAAAGTAATATGCACTATACAAGTATCGTTTATTATTATTTAATCCTATTTTAGAAAATTCCTATTGATGCATAAAATGAAAATACTCAGATTTGGGAAATAACATTCTTGCTGTGTTGCCAATCTAATAATTCCACTGATTTTGATTTTTAGGCTATTCTAGCAGCTGGTAGTATGATGCAGCAGCATGGAGACTTTGATGTAGCTCTGACCAAGTACCGCATCGCCGCTGCAGCCGTCCCTGAGAGCACATCACTTTGGAACAACATTGGAATGTGCTTCTTCGGCAAGAAGAAATATGTTGCGGTAAGTCAATTTTTATTTTATTTCTTACAGAAAAACAAATTGTTCAGGCTTTATTGTGAGTCATGCAATGGAAAATTTAACAGACATTTTCCAGATTTCTACTTATAGAATTTGAACAAAAGTTCAGTGATTGATATATCGACTTAAACGTCTGAGGACCAAATTAATTACCAAAGAAATATTCTTGTGACCCAGATTGATACTATGTGTGAATTCTTATTATTCTGCAGGGACTAAAAGATCTTGAGAGTATTGTTGTTGGACTTAAAAGTTTATTTTAGCCAATTAAGAGCACTACAGCCCTTTGGTAAGGCATGGATGCTAATGTATTTGTTTTGAAAGGTCTTGATAGGACTTACCTCCCAGCTAGTATAGTTTACACTTTCTTCAATAATCCAATGAAAATTTAACCCTGCAAGTTATTGGATTGTATGTATACGAGAATGTTAATACTGGAATTTGATACCTGAATTTGATGAGCACGATGGGATCTGAAGCATTAGGTCCTAACCAGGAGACTCCATGTAGTCCGTTGAGGATGGACACCATAATATTGATAATAATAGCTATATTTATATTGCACACGTATCCATCCCAGAAGATTCCCAAGGCACCTACAAATACTGCCCTACAATTATTTCCCTGGCTTAAGCCATGCCCTAGGGCACTACAAGCATTCAAGGAATAACCATTTACTTCACCTGGGTGGAGAGTGGCAAAGGTAGGTTAATGTCTTGCCAAAGGACATTAGTGCCGCAACAGGACTCTAACCTTGAAATATGTGATCCACTGTACAGTGACGTATCCATTAGACCACGACACCACTACCAAAGGGTATTAGTATGCTGACTAGGTGTTATGCCAAATTTATTTCCTGTTTCAAGGGTTACCACTCTTCCATATAGACAATGCCATACATTGTTATGATTTTAAGCATGTTCATAGACTCCTTTCCCATCCCGGCTCTTACCACACATAGGCAATCAGCTGCCTCAAAAGGGCGTCCTATCTGTCTCCGTTTGATTGGAAGATCATGTATAACCTTGGTCTGGTGCACCTCACCATGCAGCAGTATGCATCAGCCTTTCATTTCATCAGTGCAGCTATCAACCTTAGACCCAAGATGGGACAGCTCTATATGCTGCTGGCCGGTAACACTTTCTTTCTTTCATTTAACTCTTCAGGCCTGATAATTACCTGATATTTTCCTGATTTAAAAAAAAAAAAAAAAAAAAAAAATCCCCGATTTTACCCCCATTGTTCCTGATGTTTCCATAATTTTCCCAAGCTTCTTACTCAAAAGGGGAGGAATTTTGTTAGATGCCATTTTTCCCCCTGAATTCTTTTTTAATTTTTTTTTATTCAAAGGGGGGGGGGAGGGGGGTGGGTGGTTGAGGAAGAAAAATAAACTTTAATTTGTTTAATTTTTTTTTAGTGCTCACTACAGTATTACCCCTGGCTCTTACAGTGATGTATGTGGTTTGAAGGGCCCAAAGTTTTGCACCCATTGTGATATAGAAAAATTGATTTTCTTCCTAAAAAGTTCAGTAACTATGAAATTTAGTTAAAACATACTTGAAGAGAAAAATATTCTCAAAAACAATGATGAAATGCTGATAATACAAAAAACAACAACAAAAAACTACCTACTTGTAAATAAACTATAGGTCCTAGACTCCTAATGGACATTTCTGCATTGGAAGTGTGTCGCGCGGGGTTGCAAGTTTTGTTTATGAATTGCTTTTTTTTTGCCATCATGGTTCCTTTTTGGGGTTGCACAAGGTTGGCAGCTCTGTATTGGTTGCTCTACAGAAGGTAAAATAATCCATGTGCTCAACAGAGAGAATTGAAAGCTGTTGGTATCTTCATGTTTTATTTTTGTATAAATTCTTTTCAAATACTTTTTTATCTTATGAATGTGCAATAATTTAATCCATAAACATGTGGAAATATGTTTCTTTTAGAACTGCTACATCAACTTCACATGAGGAGGTCTATCCAAACAAATAACAGCTCTCTATATTCTTTTCTTCCAATAGTTGCTTTAACTCATCTGGATGATGAAGAGAATGCTAACAATGCATATGAGCAGGCTGTGGCGCTGGAAGAGTAAGTTGATACTGTATGTTTAGCAATTGCTTTTGCAGTATAGAGTTAGTTGGTTAGTTAGTTCCTTAGTGTTTCACCAATGAAAGAAGTAATAATAGTTATGTTGATGATGATGATGATGAAGATGATGATGATGATGATGATGATGATGATGATGATGATGATGATGATGATGATGATGATGATGATGATGATGATGATGATGATGATGATGGTGGTGGTGGTGGTGGTGGTGATGATGATGATGATATTGATGGTGATAGTGATGGTGAAGATAATAGTGATGGTGATGGTGGTGATGAAGAAAATGATGAAGAAAACAATGAAGAAAACAATGGTGATGATGATGATGTTGGCAAGAGGAATATTGACAAGAATTTATTTTATAAAGCAATTTTTCCATAACTTACAACTCTGGGAATTTAGGAACCACATTGAATGCAAGGCCAGCTGTGCTGATGTATTTCAAAATATGAATCAAAGTTAAACTTCAAAGCTGGAGAAAAAAAATGAAGAAGAAATAAGAGGGAGATAAGAAAAAGTTCATGGATTAGATCAGAAAGTGACAATTTAGAATGGAAAAGGGATGTGAAGAATGGTATGTAAATGGATTACATTTATAAAACAGAGAGGGAGAGAGTGAAACAACAAAGTTCACTTTGGTCCTTTCAACTATTTTGTAATGTTTGTTTCATCCATCATTTCAGGAAAGACCCATCAGTGTGGCTGAACTACGCTGTGTTTCTCTATAACAAAGGAGATAGAAAGAATGCAGCCAAACACTTCACCACCTTTGAACAAAAACTTCAGAAAATGAAGGAAGCAGGAACTCAAGAAATTGACCAAGAGGTAAAGTCTACTTTCCCGTAAGGAAAAGAAATGGGCTGTGGAGCACTGATAAGAGCTTGTACAAAATAGGGCAGAACTACATTTTGACTTGTCACTTAGATTGATTACAGTGTGATTTTTAAACACACATTCTTCATAGAACCCAAAAGTAGAACCAAATCCAAGCTATGTCAGGCACTATCCGGTCAGTTTGGAGGGTATCAATATTGTGATGGAGTGCCCAAACAGTACAAAGTCACAGACCATCATCTCTATCATTATTGATTACCATATCCAGTAGTGTTTTTTCCCCGCCAAAACAATGCTGCACCTGCCGCGCAACGCGCCGGACCACAGCACCGTACCCGTGCTCATTGTCATCCACAGATTGAAATTTTGCATCAATGATTATTAATTTACACTTCTTAAGATATCTCCATTCTCACTATTTATTAGTATTGTATCATAAGTCATTGGGCACGTTCATAAACAGATTTTAAAGCCCATTGTACAGTTTCACAAAATAATGCATAGTTACATTTTACAAATTGGTATTAAACCTTACTCTGAAAGTTATAATGATGTCAGTATGTGTTCTTCTGCCTTTAATAAAAAAAAACTTAAACAAAAAAAATCCTTTGGAGTTTACTCTTGAGGAACAATTGCCATGGTAGTGTGCTGTCTTATGTGTCAATTCTTTGATGTCTCTCCATTGTAGTTGAGCGAGACTGCAGGCAAGCTAGGACCCGCCCTCCAAGTAGGTGAGAACCTTTTATGGAAGGACCAGGCCAACAACAGGCAACAGCAACCACAGCAGCAGCAGCAACAACCGCAAGCTGGAGCCAACTCCGATGCGGCATTGATGTCAGCGTTACAGAACGCTCCACCGCCTTACTCACAGGAAGATCCAGAGGCTGTTACTCGTCAGTCAAGAAGGAAAGAACTTGCACAGTAGATCTTGGACTGGGATTCCATATGAGATTATGGATAATCAGATGACATAATGTTTGTAGGAATGCGAGGGGGAAAATGGCATATGTCATCTCCTTTGGCTATTCATACATTTCCAACAATTTAGGCTCGTTCAGATATGATGAGGTAAATCACAGCGTTTTTGTAAAACGTTAAATGTTCACATTTCTGAATATTATAACATAGAGCTCAGTGAATACATGAAAATATGAGACAGCGATTTACAGCACCATATCTGAACAAACCCAAAGGACACTTATCTTGCAGAATACATAGTTGCACAGTTACTGATTTACCAGTTTCCCATGAAGCATACTGTATCAGTTGCACCTTTTGCAAGTTATATGATTGTCAGAGTACTTGTAGTGAAAGATTTATGCTTGAATTCAAATTATTTCTTCAATTCACCCTGTATTCACCTTGTATTCACTATGCAGTATTTTTCATCTGTTAAAGACACAAGCTTGCTCAGTATGAATTACACAGTTTATACACATAGTCTTATCTTTATAGATGCAGTACAATTGCCCCTTTGCTCACTTTTTCATTTCATACGATAGCAAAGTTGTAAGGAAAGAAACAGCGGTTTCCTTTTTTAACCTGTTTTGAAGCATGAATTACAAATTTGTATGAGGTTTGCTTCTGCAAGAAGGCAAGCTGAGATCTCCACCTCAAACTCTATGATATAAATCTATCTGTACATTCATGAGTGTTCACTGGTTGCCATTCGATGTAGAAGCAAAGTATATCATAATTTCAGGGATGTTATACTATTATAAGGTATCCTTTTACACTTTGCATCTGAATGACCCATTTCAAATATTATATGGTATAAGGATTCAAACACTTATGCGGTATAAGGATTCAAATTAAACATCTGCAAGGGACTGTGGCCATCACATTTTGGATATATTATTTGTTTCAGAATATTTGCGTGTAGAATGAAAAAGATTCCACATGGGTTGCATGTTATCACATTCGCATGCCCATCAAGTAGACTTTAGAAGTAATTCATTAAAAAGGAAAAGGAAAGGTATATGAATATGCCATTACAATAGTAAACAGTATGACTTTCCAGTACTGTATACCGGTAAGAGGATTCAGCTTACTGGGGGTATGTCTCTTTTTTTTCAAAGATTACCTAACATGGTAGAATTTTTTTAACTCAAGGTTTTTGTAGTTTTCTTCAGTGCAGTGTTTTATTTGATATCAGGGCTAAAATTTTAGGCAAATTGAGGACCCTTATTTATTGATGAAATAAAATTGACTGGATTTTGCTGATGGCGCCTATCAAAGATACATTAGAATTTGTGAATGATTCACATTTGTGTCACAAAACAGATATATACACATGTATGTACCATATCGACAGAGAGACTGTCAATTTGTATCACCTTGAGGGAAAGAGATAGAAGAACATCGTAGAATTATTATTTTGTATTTGTGGTGCAATGTGTAGGCTCTACTAGACCTATCTAAAAACTAGACTGCCTTTGATGGTCTGTTGGTGACTTGTTGATAAATCATGTAAATTATATTAAACTATATGAAATGACACAAAATTAGCTTGGTGGTAGCAATTACCATAATGACACAAATCGTCAGAGTCAACAAAATTTTGAAAAGATACATGGGTGCATTGGTATTTGGTTCTGCTTTAAATGCACACATAATTATGATGTCCCGTCCAGAGTTAAATGCCTCTCCACTATTGCTTCAACTCACACACAAAAAAGACATATAGGTTGGTTCAAGAAATTGATAAGGAATGAATAAATACCTTTATTGAAAAGTTGTGGAAATAGCACACTCCCTGGCCCTTGTTTTTGTCATTTTATATATTGTTCATAAATGTAATATATTTACTTGTTTGTAGTACTATTCTTTATTTAGATCTTTTTTAATTGATATGTAAATAAGAAATAAATGATCTTGAAGATAGAATATAAATAAATATGCTGTCTTGTGTGATTTTTATTGGGGAAGACCCAGGTTTGTTCTCTTGTTTGTATGTTTTTTTTCACTTACTAAACTACTTGTACAAAGTTGATATACTTTAATTAGTGCAAGGATCTGCTAATATCAAGAAAAAACTACAACTTTGATGTATGAAAAAATGCTTATGCTTTCAAAACATTTCAATTAAAAACTTTTCTTGAGACACATTGGTCACCAAGTGAAAACATTGAATTCCTATCTACTAGAAAGAAGAAAGGCCATATAACCATTATTGATCTTTCTCACCAATTTGTTTTATACCTAGCTACTACTAAAAAAATTACACTTTCACTTTGTGCTGTGTGTTGGGATTGCATATAGTTTAATTTCATGCCTGAGTACAGAGAGTTCAATATGGAAAACATCGCAAACTAAAACTTGTTAAGCCAGTTGACTTTGTTTATAACATTTGATGTTATTTAACTTGGACTAGTAAGGAAAATTCACACATGACCAAAACATGTCTTCGAAAAAGAACAGTTTGGTCAATTTTATTCCAGTTGTATCATGATTAACATTCAGACACAATGTGATTTTTTAATATAACCCTCATTTTTCTTATATTCACCCACAGAAATATGACATTTCCAAATTTCATTTTGGTGATATAATGTACCTTCTCTCATACTAAATGAAAAACGATGAACAAACATATTTGACAAAAAAAATTGAATATCCGTAATTTATTTTTAATAAACTTTGTATCACTTATCTTTGTACATTATTTTCATGTGTTATCAAAATTGCATTATATTTAAAACATTTAAAGGACTGGCACATAGGAGTGAAAATATCAAGAGGTTCATGCTTCACATGTACTGGCATCACTTAAAGGAAAATGTATGCATTAAATTCTACGATACCTATGGAAGACTTAAAAATTTAAATAGTACTACCAGTATTATGATATTCAAGACAAAGTTTTACTCTAAAAGGCCTAGAAGATTCTATAATATAAAGTTGGATGATTATTCCTGTTGTATCTCTTTTCACTTCAGTGGCTAAACAAAGATACAAAGATTTAAAGTGAAATGTATAATTGATTGAAACATCCACATGTACATAATCCACATTAACACCACAATCTATTAATAATACGCACAATGCAATTACAAACACATGGGTGCAAAGTTGCATCCTTATTCGCGCATTTGATCTCACCGAAAGTGTGTGATAAATAATAAATGGTAAATGAATATCACAGTAAGTAGAGGTAGAAATCCCATCTTAGAATAATATCAGTCACTCAAGTATGATAATGGTAATGATGCTAACAATAATACAAAAATAAAATGCAATAACACTACCAGTTTAAGTAGGCAGCACACTTCCAATTTCATGCGAGTGATCAAAGCTCCTTACAATGTATTATTTCCATGATCAATGTATTATTACCATGATCAATGTATTATTACCATGATCAATGTATTATTACTATGATCAATGTATTATTACCATGATCAATGTATTATTTCCATGATCAATGTATTATTACCATGATCAATGTATTATTACCATGATCAATGTATTATTACCATGATCAATGTATTATTACCATGATCAATGTATTATTTCCATGATCAATGTATTATTACCATGATCAATGTATTATTACCATGATCAATGTATTATTACCATGATCAATGTATTATTACCTTGATCAATGTTTTATTACTATGATCAATGTATTATTACCATGATCAATGTATTGGATTATTATGATTACGCGCTTTCAGTGCGCAGGCGCTACTCCAAAGGACTAGTAGAGCATTCCAGCCAGATGTGAGCCATTTCAGAGGCACACATCTCACAGGTGTCTAAACACTAACCCAACCACTGTGACATTTAACACGTGGGTAGAGAGAGGCAATGTAGATAAAATGCCTTCCTTTCGGACATGAGGGCCATGCTGGGGCACAAACACATTACCGGTACCAGTACCTCGACATAACAAGTCAAAATGATCGACCTTTGTTTACGAGACGTTTACTTATTACGCACCATAATTTGAATCAATCTATTCCCTATGTTATTTTCACCAACAAATGTTTACTGTCCGCTGCAAATAATATGAACACTACTAGTATTACTTGGTTAACGGCAATGATACGATCATGCATAGATTATTTCAAAGTATTCTCAGGCTGTCAAATATGGAATTTCACAAAGTCTGTACGGTACCTACATACTATACATTACCTGAATTTCTCTAAAGTACACATTTCTACATGCACAAACTCACAGAAAAAAAGAAATCCACTAGAATTTGATTTGTATACATCCTGTCAGAATCGACCAGGTAGATTCTACAGGTTTCTAAAGAATCAAGTCTATTATGATAATTCCGATAAATAAAGTTTAAGTACTTAAAATAATACAAGTATTTCTATCAAAACATGATCGGCAAGCACATCATTTGATCTGTCCAAAAATATTCAAAATAAATACATACATCCCTTGTCACATTAAGTACTAAATTTACATTCATCTCACTGTTTCAAATAACAATTTTCAAGGAATAAATACTCTCCAAGGCAAAATTGCACTTTACAGGTGACCAAAGCAACCACCATCATATATCTACACTTTTCTTTACTGAAGTAGTAAGCACTGGGCTCTGTTTCATCTAACTTGTTTTCAATAATCAGTTACAATAACTTTTATAAGCAACTAAAATAGATTTGGCATAGAAATTTAGCATTTGTTATTGATAACGAGTTTTATGAAACTGGGCCCTGGTATACTCATTGTACTGTTTTGTGAAGGCCTAAATTTAAATCATTCTGTTCCCCAACTATAATTGATATGTTATGAAAGAAATTTGAAAACAGATCACATATAAGTGTTTTTTTTTCATACATAAATAAAATAACATTAACATGAAATCAAGTATTAAAACAGAAGCAGATATATTCGTATAGCAGTAACCATGGAAGAATCCTGAATCGATGAACAGGCTTAGACCTACAACATCGTGTATTAAAGTAAAGTAAAGTATTACTTAGTCATTGCGTAAAGCCATCACAATGAATTTGTAACTGTATATTATCATGATTCCTTAAAGTATATTAAAGTTAATATCTTTTAATCTCTCATTTGTTAGCCTCTTTGAAGGAGATTGTCTCCTACTCATACTTAGACAAATATATTAGCACTCAATTTTCATAGTACATGAACAGGGATATGTAATTTAGATGAAAATAGGAAGTGAAGATGACTCTCTAAACCATCACCAAATATGTTTTTCTAAATGAAAATGGAATGTTAGCTAAAGGGTAGTTATCTTCTGACATATATAGCACCCAGATAAATATAACAGCTAAAGAGCATTTTAATGGTCACTCTTTCATCTACTCTTGCAGTCACTCAAAATGATGTTCATAATGTGAGAAAAAGTTCATCATTAGAACATGATACATGTACATGCTTCCTGCCTCCACACTTCTTGATATCTGAGATGTTAATAATAGACAAGATTAATGAATGCTACCCATTTATCCTCAAATATAGTACAAGAGCCAAGCTGGGTTTTTTATCCGACATTTTCCACATGGATATCTTCAGTGACCTGTAAAGAATGTTTTCTGAGCCTCACAAAATGCACCATGGTACACTAGTTCACAGCACTGCATAAGAGTATGAAGATACTCTACCCAGAGGACTGTACTTGCACTGGAAGAAGAAGATGATCAGTGGCTGATATTGAAGTTCTGGCAGATATTAATAAATCTTTCTCCAAAGTAAAGAGTTGCGTAGCTCACTACATCCAATATTGACGACTCTTGATATAACCAGTGATGTAGTTCAACTGGGAAACCATAAATCTAAGTTTAATCACTTGTTCTCAGCAGCTCTCAATAGTCAACACTGGATTATTATTAACTCATTAACTACTGTATCCTCTCATTCCAGGCAGTCAGTTAACAAAGATGTAATTCACAGCAGAAAAATATGACTCTATGCTGAACCACTGACAACCCTTTTAGCACTGGTGTAGATTAATCTTGGACTGGAAACAGTTTAATAAATCTTGAAGCCTCTGGAATATCTATCCCATGATAGATACAATGTGGCACAAGAAGATCATTTGTGTTGAATGTAAAGAGTTAATACAGGACAAACCAGGAAAGCTCTCAGCACCCGCTCTTGGTGACACCCGAGATGTCGTTCATGATAGCGAGGACGAAACTCTCAGAGAAGATGAAGACGCCCAGAGCCAGGAGGAATCCTCCAAACGTAATGAGACACCATTTCTTTCTCCGGGATGCGGCAGAGTGCTGGAGGACAAACTGGACCAGGCATAGACCTGTGTATGAGAGGAAGAGAGTAGGAGAAGAACAATTCAACATGAATATATGGGGAATGAGAGTGAGAGAGAGAGAGAGAGAGAGAGAGACAGAGACAGAGAGAAAGAGAGAGATGGAGAGAGAGAGAGAGACAGAGACAGAGAGAGAGAGAGAGAGAGAGAGAGGGGTGGTAAAGTGAGACAGAAGGAAAAAGAAAGAAAAAGAGAGAAAAAGTAACACTACAAAAAACTTTCAAAAGAGAATAATAGATGTGAATAATTTGATTTCAATGAACATTTGTACTTCATAGATCAAATAGAATTGACAGTGAAGAAAGAGAAATGTATATCGAATAGCTATAAATTATGTACATAAATATGACAACAATTCTTTTTTTTAATGTTTGTAAACATCTTGTTGATCATTTTAATCTACACAATGTCTTATGTGATAACCAGCATGGTTTTCGCGAAAAGCGGTCATGCGAGACTCAATTGATTGAAGCTATTCACGACTGGAGTAGTTGGATGAACTCCGGCTATAGTGTTGACATAGCATATTTAGACTTCGCTAAAGCGTTCGATAGCGTGTCGCACAATTTATTAGAACGAAAGTTAAAAATGTATGGTATTCAAAATTCAAATTTAAAATGGATCATGAATTTTTTGAAAAATCGTTCACAACGAGTCGTCCTCAATGGTGAATACTCTAATTGGGTAGACGTAAAATCAGGTGTACCACAAGGGACAATTTTAGGTCCAATCATATTTTTATGTTTCATAAACGACATTTCCTATAATATTGATTCAACTATAAGACTTTACGCAGATGATTGTATTTTATATAGGCCTATCCACTCTATTGAAGATTGCAAACTTTTACAAAAGGATTTAGAAAATTTAGATAAGTGGGCAAATTCATGGCTACTTGATTTCAATGTAAACAAATGTAAGATAATGCAAATGTCAAGAAAGTCCTCTAAACCACAGTATGAATATAAATTGGGTGGACATAAATTAATTAACACTAAGTCAGAAAAGTATTTGGGCATTACTATAAATGATACCCTTAATTTTAATTCTCATTGTAACGAAACATACGCAAAGTGTAGTAAGATTGTAGCTATAATCAAAAGAAATTTTCTTAATTGCCCACGTTCTGTGTTTAAAACCTTATATGACTCTCTTATACGTCCATGTCTAGAATATTGTTGTATTGCATGGGACCCCTATAGAGTTTCACATATAAATATTATTGAACGTGTCCAAAAACGATATTTAAGAATGATGTTTAGAGACTGGGAAACAAGTTACCATGAACTATTAGAAAAATCAAGTTTTGCAAAATTAGAAGAAAGACGCAAGTACCACAGATTAGTCATGTTTTATAAAATAATAAATAATATGGTAAATGTTGGTCCGATTGAAAAAATTATACGTGCTCACAGAATTGGGCGTAATGATCATAATATGAAAATGTACGTACCATTTGCAAAAACAGATTATTTCAAAAACTCTTTTTATATAAGAACTGCCAATGAGTGGAACATGCTCCCAAGTAATGTTATTAATAGTCCATCTCTTTCAACTTTCAAAATATCATTAAAAAGTTGCTTACATATTTAACTTTTTAAACTCCGCAATAACAATTTGTTTTTACATTTTTATACAATTACATCCAAATTCGCGCAATATCAACTATATTTTAATTTTTACCTTAGATCATGCTGCAAAATTTTTTATATAGCATTTTAATCCCTGAAATACCCAATCATTTGTATATTCAATAATGCTGTTTTGCAATCAATAATATTTTATGTATTTATTTTCGCTCTAAACTACATTGTGTATATAATTATTTGATGTATTATCGTGTTTGATATCATTTTTTTGTTGTAACTATGTTATGCAATAATAATATTTGTGAACTTTGCTTTTTATCAGGGATGCAGACTTGTACGGGTTTTTCAAACCCTTTTCTGCATCCCTAGACATGCTTGTCTGAATAAATACAATACAATACAATACAATACAATACCATGTATCTTTTCAAAACTTTTCTCTAACTCTCCTCTTTTTTCTACAATTTTAGTATGAATCCATTTGGATTGAATTGAACATATTGTCTGCTGCCAAACCAAAATATATGAATAACACCATATATGTACTACCTCTAAAGTGACAATATCTTCTTCCAGTTGATCTGAACTATTTCTTTTCAGGCATGTGACATCAATTCACACACTACCAATATCTCTAATCAAATCTCTTATCGAATCTCATAAGAGATAATGCTTAGCCATCTGCTTCCATTCCCACACTAATACATGCAGAAATTGGGTTACTGAATGGTGTCATACCCATAATAGATAACCCATCAAAAGTAGATTTAACAGTGTATGTATTGTGCATAGTATTCTTAGTGTGAAAAACAGTACTGTATTTGGACTTTTAGGGTACAAAATCAGAATATGAAAGGGAAAAAAAGATGCTTCATCGTTACTTGAAAATAGTTATTTCTTTAGAAGAATGTTCATTCTTGGTATTGGAACTAATGCCATGTTTCATATGCATGAGTTTTTGTTTCACACTGTGTTGTTTGACTTCAAATGATTAAAGGTAAAGGCCAGTTATGGTCATGCGATTGCATTGTGAAAGAAACGTTGTGGAATCGATCAGAAAAGGTTGATCATCTAGCATATAAGTATTTGTGTGTACAGCAAGGTTCTGGAATCATCAAAATGATAAGAAATTTGGCCCATTCTTCGTAAAGTTACAAGGACTATACACAGAAAGATGTATATGGGACTACCCTATATCTCTCACAGACGCATGAGAGAAACAAATTTACCAAATATATGAATTAGTAGGCGGTTTCCCAGCAAAATTTTTATCATCATTTATTAGTCAAAACATATTCTTTCACATGATTGGTAATGAGAGCTTCCATTTCATTTTTTGAAATTGGGGCATTTCCAATAATGGTCTTTACCTTTAACAAATTTGAGGGCTAAAACTACAGTCTTATTAAATTTGTACTTAAATATCTATATGAGTGTGATTTCCAAGGCAAATTCAAAACATGTGCAATAAAATGTCCCTACTAGAAAACCACTACTTTAAATAGATGTGACTTGTGTCATACAGTAATGGGCACGCTGGAAAAGAATCCTAGCCATGCTGTACTCAATACCTGTGCCCATATAGCATTCAAATCCTATTGGAATGAGGTATAATACTCAGATTACAATTCAGAAGTTCTTTGAGCCCATATTTCTCAAAAGACAATTCCCAGAACTCAAGTTCAGCTTTAAAACTTGTATTGAAAGAGCTCTGCAGTGTCTACATTATGCTTGAGTTAGTCATAATAAATTTATGAACTATCACATGCTTCATTGCTATCTTGTTTGCCTTTCTTATCTCATATTGACATAACACAATTGATAGCATACTTGAGTATGGTTTCATTGTTTCACTGTACCTGATACTGTCAAATGTATGCCAAACTTCAGTCACAGTTTATGGACTATTGTGTTTTAGTTACTTTGTCACTGTAAAACACAGTAGTCTGGTTTTTTCTAGACATTAAGCAGTGTTTTGTATCATAACATAATTTGAGATTCAAATAAACTTCAAAGATTAAATCATGATGTACATGTACTTGTTTAATGAAACCAATTTCATCATAGCAAAAACAGAAGCATATCATGTTGCAAAAGGCTGCAGGGAATTAATTAGCAAACTTTTGAAAATAAACATCAGAATAGTTATTCACCTGGAAAGACGAATATAAATACAGCAGCCAACCCTCCGATGACGGAGATGACCACCCCTATATCTGGAATGAAGAGAGCCAGTAGTAGAGAGATACAAAACCAGGTCACTGTCTCGATGACCCTGCGACGTTTCTCTCTCAAGACCCATTCTTCGTCTGTCTTGTTAAAAGCTGATTGTAACATGGTCTCAATGGCTAATCTGTAACGGATGAAACAGTACATTTTCAGTAGCAATTTAGAGATAAATTTTGAAATAATATACCGGTAAGAAATACGCCTTCCATTTAATCTCTCAGTATGTCTGTTTTATATTATCTTCCTTCTCTGAATTTCAAGGATAAAGTCTCACTTATTTTATTAATTTCTAAGCTTTCATTGCACTTGCATTGGTTTTATTTGTCCTGCATACAAGATAATGTAATTAGAGGGGTTTGAACCAGATATGCGATTGAACGTTTGTCTTTTCTATTAGATATTTTCTTAGATACTTCAATCCAGCAAAAAATATCATCTGTAACCTCATTCATTCAAAGTCTACAATGCATTCATTCATTAAAGTGTTTTAAGAGATAAAATTGGGTATCTTGATTATTTTGTTCTCAAAATGGGAATAGACTATGTCTGGATAACTTTAATAAACACCAATGGTACATCGTTTTCTTTCAGATTTTCCTGCAACACACACAGTCACAATGATATTTTTAGCCACTGAATATAAAAAATAATAAGAAAACAGAATTAGAGATAAAAAATGGCATATATAATCAAATGCATTACAAAGGCCTCATCACTGAATAGTTACAGCTACAAATTTATCCAGGGATGTTGCTATCACAATTCACTCAATTAATTGTCAGATTCTTGCACAAAAACTACTCACCTGCCGCAGAAGTGTAAAATAGGGTACGTTGTGAGCATGTTGGCTAATGCCATGACCCTAGCGATCATGATCGTGATGTTCTGTCCATGATACGAGAGTAAGATATCCGAGCAGACGTCACTGCCAAACGTTAGAGACCCAAATATACCAGAAAGGGTGTAGGCTGTACAGCTGATCAGCAGAGCCGGGATTATGACGCGGGTGAATCGAGGGAGGGAACGTTTGTGGAGGCTGGAGTAGACTGGAACTATACTAACGTGGCACTGTCAAGATGGAAAAAATATAAGGAGAGAAACATTACAGAAAGAGAAATAGAAGATAAATCTGTCAACACTTAAATGTCTGGAATGGTATGTAGAGCCAATTTATTGCTTTGTGACGATTTACATTCACCTATAATACAATCAAATTGTAATAATATAGTTGGGAGAATTAAGGAATCGATCAGATCAGTTTTTCCCAATTTGTATCATTAATAATGGTCAGTTTTCATTCAAATTTTCAGATTATCTTTGTACGCCTAGCACTGAAGTCACTACCTTAGCACCTCTCATCTGAACAATGTTACTTAGTCCCTTTAGTATTATTGCATTATCATAAAATGCAAAATTCTCCAAGGGATGATACCTTAACAAAGCAAGTTCAAATAACCTGGTAGGTTCAAAACACAAACTAAACCCATTCATGTTATTTTAAGATTATGTTACATAAAGTACAAGTAAAAATTCTGTAAAATAAAAAAATTAACTCAGCTTGAAACCTGCTTTTAAGAAAGCTATTGCAATAGCTATGAAAAGTGTAGTTTATTTTTCAGACGGATATAAGCAGGTCTTTCCCATAATGTTAGATTATAATTTATAAACATTAAATTAAATTTGAATGTAAATTACCTGGAATCCAAAGCATATGGTGGGTATAGAAGCAAAGACTTGAGTCCAGGATGATGGTTCAGTAACAAGATCTGGACTAGGGGTCTTCGCCCATTGAAAGTAATTGATGATAACCACAATACAGATGTAGAGCGATGCTAGTACTCCAACAGACCTGGTAAGGAAGTTGAAAGAGATGGTTTCCTTGCAAATTTATCTTTTAAGTGTGACACCCAAAGCCTAATGTAATGCTCATTAACAGATTCAGATTAATATTATAGGTCCATTAGGAAATTCAGTTTGTCGGCATTACATATAGCACATGAACAATACACAGTAGCAAATTTACAATGACATAGTCATATGGAAGTCATATGGAAACACGGATATATTTCGTTTTTACATACAAAGGTAGTGGAATAATATAAGAAAATAAATGGATAAGAACAATCATATTTCATACAGTCAACTCACTCCTTCATGTAGCAATGATAAAGGTTTCTCCCAAACCACATCAACTGAAGAAGAAGATTAATCAAAAGTCTAGCTTTTATGGTCATAACCCCTGTGGGACCCCAGTAATTCATTCAGCCACCTTGCAGACTTTGAACATATGTAAGCTAAGATCTATGTTACAACAAGAAAAAGAGGCAATCAATAACCCCAATTCTGTTCTCTTGTTCTTGCACTCTGCTGATCATAAGAAATTTACATTTGTAATGCAACAATTACAGAACATCAATCATTATCTTTCACATCCTACTACCTGTACGATACTAGAAGGGATTAGCAAAATGTCTGTTTGGTAACATCACCTGCACAAACCTGCAGAAATGACCTATCAATCATCATACAGATCAGTGGTAGACCTATTGCCTTCATACAATGACAAAATCTTTCTTCTATCTTCCATATTGTCACACACAAAAGGAATAGCAAAATGTCTGTCTGGAAGCATCACCTGCACAAACTCTGTCACCTATCCATTGTGATACATATCAGTGGTACTTACCCAGGATATTTGAGGAAGTCTACCTTCTTTGGCATGCATAGTGGTAGTACAATGAGTATCCCCCAGCACGTTATGGTGAAGCGTCTGTCTTGATACCAATGGACCAAATGCTCCGTTCCTCCACAGATGTAGGCTAAAACTGTTCAAGAGATAAAAACAACAAGACTTCAAAGTCAACATCAATTTAGTAATAAAATTGAATTTTGAGCAATATATTACCACTTGAAATAAACTCCTCTTTCTCTTTCTCTTTCTCTTATCCCTTGATCAAACGAATAAGGTACATAACTGGCTTGCAGTGAAAACTGACATGATTCTGGCTGATACGGTACTTTGGTCTACAATATCCTTCAATCTCAGATACATGGAGAAAAATATCAATTTTTGTATTAATGTATCCTCCAAATGAAGTTGGGAAAAGTTGAAAAAAAGAAGAGAAACAGAATTGAATATCTGGGGAGAAAATTTCTGAGGAAATGTAATGTAAGCAATATACACAATCCATGGCTGTGAGCCATATGAGCCTACCATTTCTACATTGGTTTCTTTATTGTTAAGTTTCTTGCTTAATTTTATTGCTCTCCATATATTAAAGTTATACCACAAGTTTGAACTACTACCAAAGAAAAGCATTGTTATGTTGGTACATTTACATGCTGACAGGTTAACCATTCAAATATTTGACTGGGTCTGGATGGGAAACCAAGTACCCACACAGTGAAGGATATAATAAATTTATCCGAGCAACAACAATATTAAAAACTTAAGAACAATGGGTAAAATGTCATCAGGAACTTCAAAAGAGCCCCAGTAAGCCTCTCAATTTCCCTTCTTTGGAATAGGAAAAAAGGCTGGGACAAAACAATATTGGTTTAACTTTATATAATACCCAAGTAATAAGGCAATGAAAATGAGGAAACAATGTAAACGGTTGGGATAGGGTTAGAGTTAGGATTAGAGTTAGGATTAGAGTTAGCGTTGGAGTTAGGGTTAGAGGTAGGGCTAGAGGTAGCTTAAAGACTTTGAATCTTTGAATTAAGCTTTATTGGGGAAACATTAGTCAGATTTCATGGTGGGCTATTCTTAAGTTCCTCAACCATATCATCAGTTACTGCAGAAAAAAAAACCTGCTGTAGCAACCACCTGTCTAAAAAGACCATTCTTTGTTTTCCTTGAACATAGTTTCACACTAAAACCTGTATTGTAGGAACCTGTACATGAAGACCCCCTTCCTACAAAACCACTTTTCTTGTCTCCCTTGAGCAGAATTTATATGCAGGTTTTATCAGATTTTGAGGGCTGTTCAGGAACCACTTACTTCCCTCCATCTGATCTCCTATGATGATAAAGAACGTTATGCATGTTCCGAAGCAGTAAGCAATGATACACAGCTCACAGATAAACCTTGCTTTGGAACCACACATCTCCTGTATGACACCTTGATAAGATCTGGACTGTCGTACGTCAGAACACAGGGCTAGGACCAGCAAGGTGGTTGCGATTATACAGACCAGTACCTACAAAAAGATGATAAGATGAAATAAAAATACTCTTTAAACAATCAAAATTCATATAGAAATTCAAGCAAGCTCATGTTTAATGAAGACTAAAACTATAAATATTCAGAACAAAAATTAAAAGAATAATTTGTAGTTCAACAAATAAAGTGGAAAAAGTGGTAGATTTTGGAAATTGATAGGCTCCCATTACAACAAAGATAAAAATGATAATGACATTTTTTTTAAAATAGAAAATACAGATCAACAAACAAATGTTACCTTTTTAGTAGCATTTGAATGCTGAACACTGGTATCTTCTTTATTTAAAGAAAAAGTATTTAACACATGAAATGAACACATCTTCAATATTGATACATCTTGCATCCTTTTCTTCTTCTTCTTCTTCTTCTTGTTCTCCCTCCGCTTTTGTCAGAGATCAGCATTAAATTGCATAAAAGATGACTTAGATTTAAGTAAAAAACATAATAGTAATTACCACTTGAATGATGGCACTGACTGCAATTCCTCCAGCAGACTGGTATGCGTATGGGAAATTCAGCAGCCCCGCCCCGATGCAGGCATTGACGACGATGAACATCGCCCCAAGAACCGATGTCTCTCCTACTTGTGACGGGTTAGTCCGTACTGTAACACTGCCCAACAAGGACTGAGTGTCGTTGCTGGACTCGTAACCCGATGCATCCATCGAGTCATTCAGCCCGTTAGCGTACAGTCTCTTACTGCTCCGGCTCATCTTGGAAGATCAGTGGTTTGTTCAGTTTAATTTAAGTAACAAATCAAGGTGTTGTTAAGATTGAATATTGTCCTGAATCCTCCAAAATTTAATCAATGCCGAGGTGACATCCCATGTTAATAATCGTGTTTGCATAGATCTATATATTAAAGATCTAGTCTAGATCTATGTCATGTACCGTATGTTGCTCTTTTAACTCAGTCTTGTGTTCCCTGATTCTCTCAATATGTATATCCTCTAGATCAAAATTCAATCTCAGCTGAACAGGATCTGCATATCTGGTGGAAAAAAGAAGGAAAGATCAACGATTTAATGCGATAGCTGAGAAATTTGGCATTAATATCAATCATGGCCGGTACTATGTGGAGAAACTGCCTAGACAATCATCCATGTGGTGGGTAAGTGGCCTCTCTACACTTCACTCAGAGACAACTTTATTGCTCACTGGCCAAGATGCTGGGCCGAGAGCTCGAGAGAGGCATTAATTATTCTAATACAAAAACGAAGGTCCGGGTGAATGCTTCACAAAACTATTATATAACGTAGATCTACGTACATACGTTACTTGGATCCGCGCTCAGGACTGCTCTCACACGTACCTCTCAATGTAAAATCACATTCACTTCCGAATTCGGAAGTACCGGTATTCTATTAGGCGACTATTGTACATGTCCAACAATTACAACAACACACTGGTCTGGAGCTTGTCGATCCTGACGTAACTCAACCATATCGTATTGCTCTCTCATTACTAAGTAGTAAATGTCATGCGTGTGAAGAATGTGTAAATTACCTGACTGCAACACAAAACTTACCAATACACGGACAAGGAACCTAAGCTGCGCCAAGCAGACACGAATATAATGCAAGCAGGTATGGTTTGCGAGCAGATTGTATACACCGCTGGTCATGTGATGTGTGATCACTGTCAGCTGATAAGCGAACCTCCGGATTCCAGTTCAGTAGGTTGTACGCGCAAATATGCTGTTTCTGTGAGAGACAGTATAACTTATAAGCCCATATGTTTCCTCGTTTGACATTTGTTTACGGAAGTGATTTGTTTTAGTTTCTCAAATTTTCATTGATAAAAAGTATTGTGTAACAAAATACAATATTTTACGGCAAAAAATCTTAGGATGGAGGTCTCACATCAAGGATGATTTATGATTATAGGCTGCTAATTGTTATATATCATTTTCTGCATGTATACCTCTGGGGTATACCTCTTATGAAGAGGTTTGATAACTTAGGGGGGGGGGGGTGGCGAACAGGACACATAACAGTTAGTTGTAAGTTGGGCCAAACGTTTCCCAAAGCAGTAGAAGATGGAGTAGCAGGAACCCCCCTGTGGTATAGAGTATGTTCTTGCCCAGTAAAGTTGAAATAATATTTAGTTCTATATATATTCATCAAATGATCGTGACAAAACAATGTTCTTAATAGATAAAGTTTATATCTTCTCAGAAATTCTCTGATAAATCGCTATAATGTCTCTTTGGATCGAAATAACATATTTAAAATGGGTTACAGCGTATACTTTTACTATTTTTCAGGTGATGTGAAAAATGTGTTATAATACCTTTATGCAGCTTTAAAAATAAATATCAAACAAAATGATGTCAAATTGCAACTTGCGATCAGTTGATGATATCTGTGCTAGCCGGCCCCACCCCCTCGATCCGTACCAACGAAAGTGGTTCCATTCACAGCGCGCCTCTTTAACAATTTCAAAGGGAAAGAAGATAATGTAGTTTTCTGATTTTAACCCTGTTAATTGCCCCCTCCAGCCAAGAAATATTTTGTTAATTACCGAGCCCTCCCCGCGTGCTCGCTTACCGGTTAATGATTATATTTTTATTGTATAGATCTTGTAGGCCTCTTAATTGTCAACTATACGGTGGCCCAATAAAAACGGGTTAAAATAATATCCAATAATGCATGTGAAGGTCAAATTCACTGGCACCTGACGTGGAAGAAGAATCCATTCAAATGGAAAACGATATACCAAGATTTGACAAATTTGGTAGAGCCGGGTTATTGTTTTGAGCGCCAAGGCCTGTGAGAGACGGACACCTAAAGCGATAAGCTATAGGGACAAGAAGCCCGATTATTGTGGTGGCTCGGCTAGCTGACCGGGAGCTCAGATTTGTCCTGTCTCAACAAAACTTGTATAATTTTAAATCTGTGTAATCCAAGTTATCAAAAACGTTTAAAACAGAAGGAAAAAAATGTGTGTGAGATGTTATCTTAAACGTTCAATATGTCGTTATAATAGACTACGTATACAGCTCGCCCACTTGCTCCAGGCATAATATTTCTGAAACTGCACAATGTTATTTTTCTTTGGAAGGATCAAGTAAATTAACTGCCAGTCCTGACATTTAACATCTTCATCTTGTTTCACACAAAAGAAATGGGTTAATTCACCCAATTTTGGCATATTTTGTATCATTATTATTATCCTCAAAAAGATCAAAGGATTTCCCAATTTCTGGTACCGGTGAATTCTGGCAAGCATTGTCGGAACTTAATGCTAGTCCGTTTTTGTGAGTATTTTGGCCACAATGAAAAGACCATATGTATACGATTTCAAATTGGACAGACAAACAAATCTTTTACCAGTTTCCCCGCGAGTCACACCCACAGAACTCTAAAATACGTATTTTAGAGTTCTGTGGTCACACCCCTCCCCCCCCCCCCCCCCCCCCTTAACCAATAATGACAACACCAATTTTCTCGGTCTTCTATAAGTTCTACCATGCAGGGTTTAAAACACCTCCCTGGTTCTATACGATCATTCTGACTTCTGTAGCAAAAAGTAAAAAGACAACAAACTCGGGGATCCGAAAATTGTTTTTAGTATTTATTTCATCAGAGATTTAAAACTGGGATAAGGGCCCATAGGATTACCATTCTTTGATAATTTCTTTCTTGCGAAAAAAAAAAGTAACAAATAATGAGGACACGCAGAGCTTATAGAGCGTGAGAGTTTTATCCGTAATGGTGTTTTTCCTTTCCTTTGAAAGACACCGTAGCAAAAAAAACTGAGAGAAGAACAGAAACAAAGTCGATCTATTTTGCAGTTTCCTTTGCTTTGAGTAAGTATATTTAATCTATCCATTGTTCATTTAGCATGAGTGGTACATTTGTGGCAAATAAATGAATGAATGAATGATGATTATGGTTCTGCAGTACTGAGATTTAACCGTAGCTAGTATTTCTATTTGATCACTTTGTTTTTATTCAGTCCCATTGCTTGAAATTTGTGTCGGTCATGAAGAAAAAGAAAAGGGGGATCGGGAGGAGGACAAAGATTAAGAAGAAGAGGCGGAAAAGCCTCACCAGAATTCCTTCAAAACTGATTTTGAGCTTGGAATCGACTTGAAATTACAGAGCTGATTATCATTTAACCAAACAATATGATTTTGGAGTGGACTGTCTGTTTCAGATTAAGATTTACTAGATCGGTGTGACTGACCGTACCGACTCTGGCTTAATTTTTTTTATATAAAACCCTTGTGGAGCGAACTTCTTCCACAATTGTTGAGCAATTTTTTATGAAACATGGTACACGTAATGATCTTAAAGTGCAAATAAGCAAGACATACATGTTGTGTATGTCAAATGAGCCGTTGCCATGGTAACAGCAAATTTTTGCCAAAAATGCCATTTAATTTTTTATTTATTTTTTTTATTTTTTACAGTTTAGATGCAGTATAAAATGGTTCCAGTAACTTGGCATATGAATTGGTGATGCGGGGGTATTAATCACATTGAGTGATATTTCTATTATTTTCTTCTCATGGCTTGTTTCCTATGGCTATGCCATGGCATGAAAGCAGATTAAATTATCACAGTCTTAAAATTCATGCATTCTCTTATTCAATTGTATTTCCTATTAGATTCTTCATTCAACTAGAACAGTGAAAAAAGGCTGACCGAGTTTGACCGAGTTTTAGATGTGCTACAGCCTACTATAGGGGACCTACCAGAGCATGTGCATGATCTGATTTCCTGAGAGCATACCAACTTCAAGTACCTTATGGCAACTGAGTAAGTTGTGTCAGTGTTATGGTGAAATGCTTGGCTAGATGTGAATTATCCAGTCAATCTCTCTATTCTTCACTTTGACCATGTTGACAGTCTTGCCACATGCAGAATTATCTTCTTCTTCCAGTATAGTACAGTCCGCCGTTGGCGTATTATCGTACCTTGTGCTTGTCAAGTGCCGAGTGTACAGTGCAAGTAAAAAGGCTCTACAAGAATTCTATGTGCAGCTAAAAAACAGAATTATACTTTTCAATGATACAAAAATGCACAAAAACCCCAAAGAACCATTTTGGCAACCGTGCCAGTACAGATCACTCATGAATGCATAGACTGGAGACAGAATAGAATAGAAAGTTTTCTAGGTTTTAAAAAAAAAAAAAAAAAAAAATTGTCACTGAAAAACAGAACAAATGGGGGTTGTATTTTTATCTTACCTGACTGAACGCTAAATTTAGGAATAAAAATGGTTCATCCATATTTGCATGGTACATGTGGTTGCTGTGTGCTTCAATGGCATCTTATAAATCCATATCGCAGTAGGGTTTCACAGTTGTTATTTTGTCATTGATGACAGGCTCCTAATTGCAACACAGGAAAATATCATTAGATAAAAGCCTCCTCATCTACCCATCTCTTCCCCCCCCCCCCATGGATTGCTAACCTAAATGTATCAAAATGAGACAACTTTTACTCTCCAAATGCACCCTTTTAGTTGGGTGTTACAGATAATGAACACAACACTCCAAACATCCTGTGAAGTAAGCCATAATGGTTATAGTCTCAGTTGCTATTTCAAACATTAAATGAATGCACTTGAATCTTCAGGGTGTGCATTCACTGACCACAGAAATCAAATGTACCATACATTGACCAAAAAATACAAAATTGGTATGTACTGTTGATGTGTAATGTGCACAACTTATTTTGTGGTCAATTTGTGGGAATTGCTCTGTATTATTTTTACAATTTTACAAGTGTATTTTTGTTTTTATTACTTTTCATTCTTCAGAAATCCAAATGAAGTCTTCGTGGCAGGTGGGCCTACAGCTTTTCGTGAAGGGTCCAACACTTTCAAGCGACCAAAGCTTGAGGAGGCTGTCATCTCAAGTGACTCATCGGACGAGGAAACTCACCACTCCAGTAATGATGGACCAGCATTATACAGACACAAGTGGCATGTATTCAAAGAAAAAAATTCCTTCTTTAAAGACAGTAAGCGGATAGCAAAGACACTGCTGTTCCCATCAATACAAGTGAACAACTCTGTACCAGTTGGTTGTGACCAAGAATTGTGCTTCTTGATAGATTCTTCTCAACTTCGTTTTAAAGAAGATTTGACATGTGATGAAACTGGGAAATACCAAAAGCCTAGTAGGGCCAAAAGTGAGATCACCATAGACAAGGATGACAATATTGGATCCTGCGAGGATATTGGGGACAGCAGGAAGTATACACTAGTGCGTAAATACTATAAGCACAAGGATACCCCTAACTTTCACAGAACACTGTATGAGCTGCATGATGCAGAGGACGGTAGGCCTATGCATCCAATATGCATGATACGATACGAGTGGAGGGGGGAACAGACAGAGCTCATCATGAGTCCTCACGGCAATCAGAAGAACTCCCTGGGGCAACCATTCATTAGATCAAAAAAGGAACTTCTACAGAACCTAAAAATGTCGCATAATTGTACCTCTGCCCAAAGAGTGGTTGATGAGTGCTATGAAAAAGAGGGAGGAAGTGAACTACAGTCTTTGTCTTCCGTTCCAAGGGATATAAAACAAGTATACCGCCATGGTTCAGTAAAGTCAAAGAGCTTGGACTTTAATAAACTTCTCATGATGAATATGAAAGGAGATTTCGTCAAGAGTGTAGAATTTTGTCATGAAAAATCAAGAGGAACAATGCCACGATGTGTGTTGTACACAGATAAGCAGGCTGAAGACATGCTAAGAAACGTTTGTGACAAAGGAAGAGTTCTTGTGTTTGACGCAACTTTCGATTGTGGGCCCATGTACGTGACCATTGCATGTTATCGTCATGACAGCAATGACAAGTCAGTAATGATGCCTGGTGCAATTTTGATTCACGGGAGAAGAGACTTTGAAACGTACCGATACTTTGGGCATGAGTTGTCTAAATGTCTTCGGAACACAAGCATACCATTCTTTGGGACAGATGGAGAACTTGCACTTCAGCAGGGCATAGCAGCCACCTCGAGCTTCAAGGATTCAAGTCATCTTCACTGCATGCTTCATCACAGGAAAAACTGTGAAACCAAGCTAGCTAAACTGGGTGTCACAAGCTATGCTAGTCGGATCCTACGTTCGATCTATGGAGAGCAAGTAGGGAGCACAAGGTATGAAGGATTAGCAGACTGGAACTCGGAGGAAGAGTACGAAGTGCAGTTGGCAACATGGGCTCCACAGTGGGATGCTATGGAGACGGCAGAAACTCATAAGGAAGCTGAGTTTTCGACATGGTTTCGTCGCTTCAAATCTCAAGATGTGAAAACGTCCATGTTGAAGCCCTTGCGCACCCAGGCAGGCCTGGGAGATCCACCAAGGCAGTTCACAACAAATAATGCTGAGTCAATAAATGCTATGGTGTCCAGGTGGATCGCTGAAAAAAAGGGCTGGGATGAACTTGCGAAAGGTCTCCATGACTTTGTTCTTTCTAAATACCGCGAGCTAGAAATGGGAGTCCTTGGTATTGAGCAGCATACAGAGTTGTCAATAGGACCTAATGAGAGCTCAGTATGTGGCTTCACTTCAGACCAGCTACAAAATGTTTGGCATAAAGCTGGACTTATTCTTCAGTCACCTGAAAACATTGTGAGTGCTCCCAACAACACAAAAATAACTGTATGTTTCAGTGAAACATCAAGCTACACTGTGACACAAAATGGAGACTTGGCAAAATTTGTCTGTGAGGATAAGTGCAAGTCATTCAACTTCCATGAGGGGCTCCTTTGTGAACACTGCTTGGCAGTAGCAGAGCATAGAGGTGTACTAGCTGATTTTCTTGTCACAGTCAATGCCAGGAAACGTGCATCCACCCTAAGTCCCGTGAACAAGGCCTTACAAAAGCAATGTGCGGGTAGTGGAAAGAAACGAGCATCAAAGCGCAGGGGAGCAAATAATACTGTTTAGATGTGAGGTCAAGAATGTAGTTAGAATGCCACAAACTCACCAACTGTTTTCGTTAGCAAGGTAACTTTGGCCTATAAGCTTTCATTAACATGCATGTAGCATTTAATGAACTGGCAAAAGGCATTTTTGACTTTGTTCATATTCTTGATTTTTAACTGTCTTTTACACTTGTGAAATACTCAATGTAGTAATACAAAAAGAGTGAAATGCCTAAGTACAGTTACCCAAAGAATCTTTAAGTGGACTGACAGCTAGAAGTTGTCAATTTCATAATTAATTGTTATGATTGTCTTGATGCAGAAGAATGTATCATGCTATTAAATGTTTTATTTTCATATGTTATTGTTGCTGTTATAGTACAGTCATGCAGTCACAATAACCAAACAGGTGTTTGCTTTATTGAAAAGAGGCTGCAGTGAAGAACACTGCAATGTGCAGGCAGTACTACTTAAAGTGATGTTCTCTTGGATGGGGTAAAACAAAAAAATGCACTCTCTGTCAGATTGTACTCGGATTGAAAGTTCAATCATATGTCAAAAATGTCAAAGGGGTGTTCCATATATATTTTTCTGATTTTTGTATCTGAAAGTAAATGAATTAATTACAACAAGAATGTGTTTAAATCTAATAGAAATATGATTTGAACAAGGATAATGACAGATGCACAAACTCAATTTATGTGGTAGTGTATTTCTATTATAATTTAGGGACGGAACAATATGGAGACATGCATAAATACATTACTTTCGACACTGTTCAGCAGTTGGTATTGTAATAGGGTAGTCATATACTGCCACATACAGGTAGTAGGAATGTGTGCACTCTACAGACAGCACTGACATGTATGACCATTCTGTTCATTGTGAAAGCATTAACTGTTTTATGTCATATATACCGGTATATATATACTTTGTTACAAGTACATGTATTTATGATTTATACAACATTTGCCTATACATACATACATTTACATAATTATACACATGCATACAACACATACTATTATATACTAATACATCCATACACATCCCCTTATACAATATACGGTACATACACACTCGTCAACCTAATCGGGTATAGGGCTAATACTTATGCACTGTAATTTAAAATGATACATTTTTTAAGCTTCCAAGAGAAGCTTACATATTTCCTCATAGGTTCAGGTAAATCGTTCCAAAGCATAGGACCGATAAAATAGATATTATTTTTAAAAATATGTTTATGGTATTTAGGAATATAGATTTCTTCAGATGATCTGGTACCATACTTATGTACATGTATATCTGAAACACGTTGGAGTTGGCCGCAGAACTGAGAAGGTAGTTGTGAGTTTAGACATTTATATAATAATGTACATAGTTGAAGTTTATTTATATCTTCAATACGAAGCAACTTAAGAGATTTAAATAAAGGATCGCTACTGGATCGTGGGTGAGAAACTGATATGATACGTAAAACTTTATTTTTTACTGTGCACAGAGCTTTTTTTTTACCGTACTAGTTTGATATGTAGTTGCCCATATAATATTACAATAGGATAGGGATGGGAGAATCAAAGAACAATATAAAGTACGTAATATCGTTTTCGGTAAAAACATACTTAGGCGGTAAATAACACCTGTGTTTTGAGCTATTTTGTTTTCAAGCGCATTTATATGATTTTTCCATGTTAATTTACTGTCTATGAAAATACCAAGAAACTAAGTGGATTCCATTCTGGGAAGAATATTATTATTTAATTTGATTTGTACAGAGCTAAAGTCAGGAGGTTTTGGAGAGTTGTAAAATATCATGTAGTTACATTTCTTGAAGTTGAAGTTGTTAATTTATTGGCAGCAAACCAATTGCAGACATTTATTAATTCGGTGATAACAGTTTTACATAGTATATCAATATTTTTGTGAGAGTATGTTATGAATCTTTCTCAAAGAAAATTATATTTACCCCATTTAACAAGTGGTTACCGGTACATGATTAAATCAGCAAGACATTTTGGGAAATGCTGCAGTCCTCGGCTGTATTTTTATGGGCCACCCTGTACAACAATTCCACCAATATATCATGTCAATCAAGATTTTCCTGATCTAGTATGATCACTGTCCTGATGATCTCGCGAAATATGTTAATCCTAATATAAAAAAGTAGACAAAATCATCTTGTTTGGAGACCGGAAATAATTTTTCAGGCGTTCTATGACTTTTGACCACAACTGTAAGGCATTTCCATCAGTCACAATAACTTAATAAATAAAGTAAACAAGTAAACAGCAACAATTCAAAAATAACACCAATGCATGAACACAACTAAACATATTATAATGTAGACAAGATATTTAGGCAGGAAGTTGGAACAGCTAATATTTATCTTTTAAAACAGCAGACCTCAACAAATTCAAATTATGCCCCTCTTCTTATCTGATGTTTTGATTCAAATACATGATTTAGCATGTAACGTATGTCACCTCTCACTATAACAAGATATCGTCAGGTGTTTTCCACTCATAAGTTTAGTGAGATTTAAACTGGTAATCACAATCATGACCTTAAAGGTAAAGACCAGTTATAGTCATGCGATTGCATTGTGAAAGAAACGTTGTGGAATCGATCAGAAAAGGTTGATCATCTAGCATCTAGCATCTGCAAGGTTCTGGAATCATCAAAATGATAAGAAATTTGGCCCATTCTTCGTAAAGTTACAAGCACTATACACAGAAAGATGGGACTACCCTATATCTTTCACAGACCATGAGAGAAACAAATTTACCAAATATATGAATTAGTAGGCAGTTTCCCGGCAAATTTTTTATCATCATGTATTAGTCAAAACATATTCTTTCACATGATTGGTAATGAGAGCTTCCATTTCATTTTTTGAAATTGGGGCGTTTCCAATACTGGTCTTTACCTTTAAAAATGCGTTCAGATTGGTACCTGGTATTTCACTCTTTTTTGTTACTACATTGAGTCTTTCACAAGTGCAAAAGAAAGTTAAAGAAACAAGAAAACAAACAAAACCAAAACTGCCTTACCGGTAATCTCCTGAGTATATATCTCCCTTTTGTCAGTTCACAAATGCTACATGTATGTATAGGAACAATTACTGATCGCAAAGAAACTTACAGTTTTTTCCATTCTGCGAAGCGTTCCACTTCCATTAATGTATTAATGGTTGTTATTTTTTTCAAGATCAACTACCCTCAACATCCCATTCTGCGAAGCGTTCTACTTCCATTAATGTATTAATGATTGTTATTTTTTTAAAGATCAACTACCCTCAACATCCCATTCTGCGAAGCGTTCCACTTCCATTAATGTATTAATGATTGTTATTTTTTTAAAGATCAACTACCCTCAACATCGCAGAAAAGATACAGTTGGTTTAATGGCAATTCCCAGCAGTTCATAGCATCATAGACATCCTCCCTTTGTGGTAGATCACATTACAATTATTTAAAATACAAAGCCTTAACATTGTCAACCTGATGAAATTCCTGTTGCCAACAATGAACCATCATGACAATACGAGGATACATAGCATAATCATCGATATGTATATACATGTATATATGCAGTCAGAAATTTCAATATTATACCCTTCACCTATATCTTGCCATTTATGTTGTTTATGCATGCCATACACTCCATTGCTACTATGTTGCAGTCCTCTTCTTTTCCTCTCTTCTTTTCTCTTTCTCCAAGCTCTCTATCCTCCTCTCCTCTTTGCCTATCCCTTTCTTCTATTTATAATGTATATTATGTATTTGTGTAATGGGGCGTACCCATTACAAGCTCTTTAGTTATATTTATGTTCCTACGTATAACTTGTACTGTTTGAACAGATGTCAAATATGTTGTCAAATTGAATGGAAAAAATAAATGTTAATTTGCAACCAGATTTTTACTTTTGCCTCCAATGTTGTATGTTTTTGTGATGCTGATTAATGACTCAAAATCATTGCTAAAATGTTCTTGTTTTGTGCCAATGTTTTGCTAATCTTCCTGCTTTCACCATGAAAGCCTTTTATCATTTACCGGTATATTAATCAGTTTCAATTCTATCACATATTTTAAGAAAAATGCTGTCACAAAATTAAAATGTCACAAATGTGCATCACTTCAAAGGCAACAGTATGTTGGATATGAGCCTTGAAATCGGATCTAGCCATATAAATTTAAGTTCTTGGTCTCCACATTCTGCAAATGCATTTTTTTTAATCTGAGAAGATGATTGATTTTTTTAATGAGATAGGTAATTTGAAGTTTTTATACATTTATTTTCATTTGTTGACTGTTGGAATTAAACGTAAATTGTGAAGGTTGGCGATGGAATAAGTCACAACGCTTCTACTCTGTTCCATCTTGCCTTTTCATTCACCTATAAGTATTAAAAGAAGCATGTATTTTTAAAATTCTGACAGGAGCGATTTCATGGCAAGGTAATTTTCAAAAATGTAATGTGTTCTTGATTTGTTACTGAAACAAAGTTCATTTTAGACTCGGTAACACTTCAATGATATGATCAATTTATTAACATTACTGTACGCAGGCGCACCGGAAGCAGTTTGGGATTTGGGGGGGGGGGCAAATGTTCCAGGGGGCTCACCTTCCAGGGGCAGTGGCGTAATGAGCAAAAACGTTTGGATGTCCCGGCAGGGGGCAAGGGGCTGAGCCCCCAGAAGCTCAGGGTTTTTAGGCAATAAATTACTGTCAGATAAGCATATCTTTAGATACCTTATTTGTGACACTTTTAGGTCACTAATTGGTGGAGAGTCCAGGGGGCAGAGCCCCCGGAAGCTCAGGGGTTTAAGGTATTTGATTACGGTCAGATGAGCATCCAGGGGCCCGTCTTAGGCCTTGGTGGGGTCCAGGGGGCAGAGCCAGTGGCGGATCCAGAGGGGGCCCGGGTTGGAACCCCCCCCCCCCCCCCCCTTTGGTTTTTTTTTTTTATTTTTTTTATTTAAATAAAAAAAACAATAATGATAATCATAATAATCATGCCTATGGCTGATCTAAAAAAGATGACCTAACCCCCCCCCCCCACCTCCTACTCCCGTATCAATTGTCATAAGACAACAAAATCAGAGATTTTATTTAGTACTGGGAATAGGGTTACGTTTTTGATATTTTCTTTCTTGCACGCAAAAAGTAACAAGAGAGCGCAGAGCCAGAATGAGATTTTCCGTACGTTATTTTCTTTTGAAAGACACCATAGAAAAAAAACTGAGAGAAGAACAGAAACAAAGTCGGTCCATTTTTCACTTAATTTCCTTTGTTTTGGGTAAGTATATTTCATCTATCTGTTGTTCAGTTAGCATGAGTAATACATTTCCGTCAAATTAAAAGAATGAATGATGATTATAATTCTGCAGTACTGAGATTTGCCCGTAGCTATTTGATCACTTTGTTTTTATTCAGTCCCATCGCTTGAAATTTGTGTCGGTCATGAAGAAAAAGAAAAGGGGGAGGAGGACAAAGAAGAAGAAGAAGAAGAAGAAGAGGCGGGAGAGCCTCACCAGAATTCCTTCAAAATTGATTTTGAGCTTGGAATTGACTGAAAATTACAGAGCTGCATTGTCATTTAAGGAAACAGTATGATTTTGGAGTGTCTGTTTCAGATTAAGATTTAAGTTTTGAATTTGAGCAATAATATTTATTTTTCTAAGAATCTAACAACCGGTAAGTTTAATCTAAGTATAAACTCTAACTAACACTATTTTTGCATAAGATCTCGGTCTCAAAATATTTGTTGAGATGACAGGAGGTTTGAAATCTGATGTGAATATAACGCCACTTGTTCAGAAACCTTTCCAAAATTTGACCCGTAACTCCAGCGTGGAGATACCCTACTAAAACATATCCAAAATGAAGTAAATATTCATTAAATGTCCAAATAAAGATCATGAGTTAAAAGTTGTTATGTTTATTACATGTTTCGTGTCAATTTTCTTGTTATTTTTGGAGCATTTTTCAGAAAAACATTGATATTAGTATACACTTCTTCACAGGTTTCACGTTTAGATTGCATATTGAATTATTTCTAATAAACTGAAGATTGTTCTCCATTTTTTTTGTTTCTCTCGCATATCAGAAATGGATAAAATTACCAGTGCCGCTCAGGCGGCTCAGCAGAGGTCATTTTCTCTCCGTGATGGGGTCATCTTGGTGATACTTTCTCTGATGGCTACCTATCTTTTAAGAGTTCAGCACAGCTTTGAACTTGTTCCTTCCTGGCGGTACGAGGTCAGCACAGGTTTCTACGAAGAGAGTATGAATACTAGGACCTTGAAAAAATTGTAAGTTCTCAAAAATGACCAGTTGTTTTTCACATGTCTACAGCATTGAACACCACTCATACAAAGGATTACAATATTTTATGAATAAGACTATACTTAACCTAGAAGAAGAAGATGAAAGAAGAAGAAAGAAAGGAGAAGAAGAAGAAAGACTAATGTAGATATGCCCATTATATCATTACCTACAGTTTAAAGTATATGAAAATTGATTTGTCCAGACTTATGTTTCTTGAGAATGTGACATATTAAAGCTTACATCTTAAAGTATTCAAGAAAGGCCCCAATTCAACCAGTCCCCCTTTTATTCTTGAGTTTAAAAAATCACAAAAACACAAAGTATACAAGGTGTATGAATAATTTTGTTGTTAACTGTATTTTCTACTACTCTTTCATAGAGTGTAGGAATATTATGTGTAATGAATAAGGTTGCCAGTTTGAGTTTGCTTTCATTTAACAAGTTGGAATGGATTCTACCTGTTTTCTAAGGCAGCTTATTTTTCTGCCCTCCAGAGACTTTGATTAGCATATACTGTATCTTGATTAATGAACACTTTATCATGAAGTATTTATCATTTCATTATTTCATTTTTCCAGACCTGTTCCATTGGTAGCTGATATTGAGAGTGATGGTAGAAATGGTAAGGCCATATAAAAGCAACATCTTTTTTAAAAGTGTTTTCAGTTTATGTAAATTGTAAAATGAATTGAAGGAGCCTACAGTTCTGAAACATGCTATAGAAGAACATTATATTATAATTATTGTTGTTGTTGTTTTGTGATGATAATAATATGATTTGGGCCCTCCATTTACCATTAGGTATCTTTATATGAGCAGATAAAAAAATTAAACATGTTAACTGATGCTCAATTCTTTTTAACATCCTTCTTTTTTTTTACCTGGGAATACCAATCGGGATATATGAAAAATATTATATTAATAATTCGATGCAAACATTAACATATTTTTGTATACGTCTGAATTCCATCTTGATTTCTTGTTCCTCTCTGTTCCTTCTCAAGACCTCTAAACTTTCTCCAGGACTCAAGGCTTTGCCATATTTCAACACACCTTCATGAATTATATCTTCTCTCTTGTTTTTCAAATGACAGAGATCCTGTTGACAACCAAGGATTCCTCCCTGCTCCTCCTTAAGACGTCTAAACCTTCTCCAGGACTCAAGGCTCTACCGTATCTCAACACCCTGGATGAGTTCTCTCTTCTCTCAGACGAAGCAGATATAGCTGGAGACAAGAAACAAGCAGTTGCTATGGCAACAGGATACCTAGAGCCCCTGACTTCAGATAATCAAGTTCGAAAGCAGGTAGGGCTTGCGGTTGTGGCTACATAAGTATCTCAAGAAGATGATTTAGATTGCTTGCAATTGACAAAAAGTGTATGTATATAAGTAGTAAAATGCAATAGTTTAGTTGGACAACAGGAAGACTGAAACCCAGATTTCATAATATTTTTATATAATCTTTGATAAGAAGAACTCCTTTTTTTCAACAACATATTCCAGATTAGATGATGCATTTAATAAATGGCAGTTTAGACACAAATATCTCTTGCAAAAATGAAACAAGAATAAAAACGATTAAGTAATACCTTGCCTTCCCAACTGTGCTTTTGAGAATTCAATTTACTAGTATCAAGCATATAGTCAAACCTCAGTGGCCACCTGTCTATAGCAGCCATGCATTATGTCTTCCTCAAGAAAAAAATGTATGTTGTCGAACCTGCCTAGTAAAGCCACCTGTCTCCAGTGATCACTTCCTGAGTTTTCCTTGGCTAGCCTTAATAGACAGGTTTGACTAATTAACATCAACATAAGAAACCTGTTTTGATTCCTCATTCTCTTCTGCAGGTAATTGTTGTTTTGTGTGCTGATTGGACAGTGGTTTGTCTGAATAGTGATTTCAAATTGATTTGGTCCATGAAGCTACCAAACACAACCTGGAGTCATCAGTATGTTATGAGGTGAGTTACCTTTGATCATCTTTGTTGTTGTTGCAAGTATTGGCCTAAAAATTCCAAGTGACCCCCATATTTTGACAAATTAATAGACCACCTTTTTGTATTTTCTCTTTCTTCACATATGTAAAGATTCACCCTTATATAAAATTTGCCGTAGATCCTTGTTTTGTGGGAAGATAAACTTCAGTCATGTTCTCAAAATTGTCTTCAGTATCATTATGCGTTGTGTTGGAGAAAGAGTGGAGGAAAAGAGGAGGAAAAGGACAAATATTAATGAAAGGTACCTGGAATCCCCTTTACATAACTTAATCTTTATATATATATATATATATATATATATATATATGTAGTATATGTTTGTGTAAAGACGTGTCAGCTGCTTTGATATAAAGACTCTTTCAGTTTTAATAGCAAATTAATCAGAATCTAAAGGATATTTCTATTTTCTGATTTTTAAAACAAACTGTTTTGATAACTTTTATCTAAATTTTGCACTTTCCTTTTTTTCTTCCAGTGAAGCAGCCATCTTGATTCTTCCACACAGTCTGCAATCTGATGATGGTGGACTGGTGATCATAGGTGGCAGGCTGGCAGATAGACTGGCACATGCGACCTTAAAGTGAGAATTGATTACCAGTCTTTGTCTTGGCAGTAGGCTATTTTCCTAATGTAACCAAATTTAATGCATATGTATTTGTGAAGTGCCTCGATACAAATTATTTCATTCACCTGTTACAGATAATTGCATCTCAGTTATAAAATCATGAATTGCATACAAAATTTGTTGCTAGGTAGGACAAACATTATGGATTGCCCTACCTAGCAACATGTAGTATATGCAATTCGCATTCTGATTTACATTAAGAGGAGCGTCTGATTCTTCAGAATATCAAGTACCAAAGTGCTATTGTCATAGTCGCTCGGCGTCCAGATTACTGGTTCTAAATAACAGAGCCTGCGCATGAGGTTCACCGCGAAATATATTCAAGCAACGAGCTGGAGCATGGCAAAGTCAGTGTTGAGGGTTCAGCACAAGATTTTTTGGAGCCAGCAACCTTGACAAGTTGGCCAGTATGACGTCACACTTTGGTACTTTATATAATAATGTATATTTAAGAACAACTGTACACCGTCGTAATAAAAGCCCTTCAACTGTTTGCTATTTTGGAAGAGGTGTTCTGTCCTATCTTCTTATCTATTCACACATCTTCTCTGTGTATTCATTACAGACATAGTCATGATGGTCATGGGTTCGATGGTGCAAACAAGGTAAGTCACTAGATTATTCAAAATTAGGTCACAGAATGTTGGACTTGAGAGGGCAGCATGATGTTTCACATTACATATAGTTGAGTCTGTTTCTAATACAAGTAATGCTTAGATCCCTCCATGTTGGTAGACATGATGAGCTAAGGGCTAGGTGATGATTTAAAATTTGATATCGATACCACCTAGCCACAATTGGCACCCATACCCCTGTGTGAAGAGTGATGTTAAAAAAACCAAAAATGTGTTCGTAATCACCCATTCCCGCACCCTACGAACCTTGCACATTGGCTTCGTTGTTCGCTAGTGGGCTCCTGTTTCTTCTCATATAAAGTACTTTGAAATTGTTCAAGAATTTAACCATGAATGTGAAAATATGACTCCGGATTGCTAGCAATTTGCGTACCTTCCACATGTTCCTGGTAATAATGAGCTAATGGTTTTTCTTCCAAGGAGAGTAAGTCAAGCCATGATGTAGGTCATTTCTCAACCTTTGCTCTATCTGGTCGTCACGGTGATGTAAGATGGCATCATCTTCCAGGAGACTTTGGAGAAGAAACAAACACAGAAGAGGTATGTCTGATGATGATGATGATGATGATGATGTTGATGATGTCTGATGATGATGATGATGTCTGATGTTGAAGATGTCTAATGATGGTGACGTCTGATGATGATGTCTGATGATGATGATAATGATGATGGCTTCTTATATAGCACCAGCTTACACTTCTGGTGGGTGCTTGTGGTGCTGACCTACAATGTCTCACAAATTGGTCAGTGTTTCAAAATAAGAATACCTTCCACTAGTCTTTGTATGGTATCTAAAGAAGATTCTCTGTCTGTGTGAATTTCAGAAGAATTTGTATTTCATTTAGACAATATTTAGACTTTTTTGTTGAATATATGTCTTTTGTTGATTCCTGAACACATTCTATTGGATGGCGGGAATATTCAAATTATCTATTGAATAATGTTCATTACCAAAAACTTTCACATTGTCTGTTCAGAGCCATAACAGCATTAACTCTGTGTTAAAGTATAGGGGTAAACATCCTTCTTGCTCCAAAAAGAACTCATATTATTTGTTGTAAGTGTTCAAGGTTACTGAAAGTTTCATGCTGCATAATAATTAATCATATAACAGAACACTAAATAGAGGAGAATTTCTTACCATATGGCTTTCATTAATTATTCACAAAAGTTGATGATTCTGCAGTGAAAGATTTTGATAGATGTTTACAACAGCTCATTGTGATTGTAATTTTAATTTTTGATTTGTAAGTGCTATAAAACACAACCTACTGACTTTTATATTCTCAAAGTAAGTCAACCGTTTAACTACTTGGTCATATTGGGCAATACCTAATCAAAATATGACCCTCTAAAAGTGACTTTCTATCTAAAAGTCAATGGATCACAGGAAGTTGAGAAGTTTTGCCCCTCCTCTTGTCAAGGTCTGGATCACCACTGCAGCTCTTATACCATTGTTCCCCCTTTTTTCTCCTTTCCTGTTTAAAGAAACTGTTCGAAGGATTCCACTTCAAGTTGAATTTGAAGAGAGGCTGGGGGCATCAAGGTGAACTTGGATGGAACCAGTACAACCAAGCACTCCTCAAACAAATGGTAAATATTGCCAAGATAGTTCATATGATAATACAAGATACTATCATTAATCTAATCATAAAAACTTGAGATGCTTTGTGAAGCTAAGAAGAAAAGAAATACAATATGCTATGAAATATCAATGTTTCTAAATTGGACTTGACAATCTTAAACCTAAGCAGTTCATAGGACTACCTACTTTTATACATTTTTAGTTTTTCCATGGTTAAGTTGGCCTTACTCTTAAAAATAATAATTTTTTTCAGAAATGTGGATCAGTTCGTAATGCAACAAGCAGCTATATGGCAGCAAAAACATTACCTTAAAGGAAAATCCAACCCTCGTAATAAGTTGATTTGAATTAAAGCAGAAAAATAACAGAAACAGAATGGCAAAAGTTTGGATAAAATCCGACCAATAGTAAGGAAGTTAAAAATGTTTGAAATATGAGATCACTAAGTCTAGCGAATCTCAAATTGGTAATTCAGTTAGTGGATTGTGACATAGGACGTGGATTACTCTCCCATTTGCTGTGTACAAATATATCATTAGTTTCTGTTTTTCTCGTACGTTCCTCCTCCTTTGGGGCACTACTCAAAATATATTATAGATAGCATATTATTATGTGTTCCTCTAAAAAGAATGGACCCCCCCTGAGCAATGAATTTTTGAAAAATTCTAAGTTTAGTCATTTTATATGTTGGAATAGATGGGAAAGTTGTCCAGCACTACATCACATTGACATTACTGCTTCAGCCAATTTGAAGTGCCCATACGTATAGTAATCACAACTTTCAAAAATTCATAACTTTTTTATATTTTGTCAGATTTAATTGAAACTTTCATCAGTTTGCTTCTCTTATTTTTCTGCTTTGTTTTAGAGTATTTGTCTATCTGGTTTGGATTTCTCTTTAAAGTCTTCTATTCTTGCTATTTAAAATTCTCCTTCCACCCACCATTTTTAGCCTTTCCGATGGCAGTCTAGCATGGACACCAAGATTGACATTGCAGAGTTCCGCAAGGACGGGGTCAAAAAGAGTGCAGAAAAAGATGAACATATTCTGTCAGTATCATCATGTAAGTATATAGTTCTGAAATAATACAGGAAACTTTTTATTTATACCTGAAAAGAAGAGCACAACTATACATCATTTTTACCTTCCTCATTTGATTTTGATGTATATATGATAGTAATGGTGAAGATGTAGAAGATAATACTGTAATATCACTATGAACATGACGGACAAAGAAAGCGGACAAAATATTCAGTTCCTCAGGTAGATAAAGGAACATCCCTTCACTGCTATTGTGTAAAAATGTGTAGAACAGGTGAATATGCATGTGCCACCTGTTTTACACATTTTAACACAATAGCAGTGAAGGAATGTTCCTTTATCTACCTGAGGAACTGTATTTTGTCCGCTTTCTTTGTCCGTCATATTCATAGTGTATGGTACACAGACAGAGATGAGACTTGGTGCTTGGTCTCACTTTACTGAAATTGTTATATTTCTCTAACTTTCTCTGCGTTGGCTTGGCTTTGATGCATGAATTTGAATAGATTATGAATAGCTTAATGTGTGCTTCCAACCATCTCTCATTCATTGTTTGATAGATCTGACATCGAGCTTTGAGGAACACATCGCTGGCCACCATTTTGGAGGTCTTCCACCACACTCAGCATCAGAACACATCAAGAATCCTAATGCTGTCATCATTCATTCTCAACAGGTAAGTTGGCTTAAAAGCATCGTTTAACAATGTTAAATCTGAGATGCACAGCCCTACGTATTGTCAGTGTCTGTGATATGGTGTAATATCGAAGCCCTAAAAAAAAAATTGCTTCAAAATGGTCATAAAGTGCCTGAAAAAAAGTGACCAGTTTTTCCATACTTGTTTCCCCCAATACTGTTCATTTAATCTTTTTGAATCCTAATTTGGCAATTTGGTCAGTGTATTATGTTGATTCATGGCTGACTAACTCTCATGTTGTCAAGTACAAAAATATAATTGACTTTAAAAAAATATTTTTGCTTCCTGTTTTGCCAAGATTTCATCTTTCAATGCATATCAAAACTCATGTTCAAGGTCATCTGCATTCTTCTTAATACACAGGGCATAGAGGTTCTGGAGCTGAAGTCTGGACGACCTATGACACGGCTTGACCTTTCTCCTGATGCAACCTACGCTGACATTGACAAGGATGGTGTTGTCGATCAGGCAAAAGGTAAGGAGATTGAATAATCAGCTTTTGAATTGGGTAAAGTGGACAGTTATGAAATATCTTTACTAATTTCAATCCAGAATTGTAGACATTAAAGGAAACCTTACCCCAAAGAATAAGTGGAGGTATTCTGAAAAATGAGATGTATTCCTGCCCTTCGATATACAATATTCCATACGAATATGTACAAGAGATATATAAATGAAAATATTCTTGGCATGGTGGGATGCCTTTTAACATGAAATAAGTGCCGCCATTTTCTTGAAAAACCTTACCAAGTTGCTTCCTGACAGTTTCCTTCACAGTGCAATCAGATGACCAGAACTCTATCTTATCTTTCAAAACAAATGCAATATGTGCTCTTCAAAATGAGAACGCATTCAATTATAGCTATCGGTACTTATATTACATTTATGAGCTGATTTGTTGAAAGATCTTTGTATCAAATAGTTGCCCTGTTGTCGAGAAATGATTTATCACAATGCACATTCAGTAATCATTTTTTTAGACTTTGGAATGTCTCTGTATAGATATGGTACATTTATGAGGCTATAAATAATTTATGCTGTTTTCATTTTGTGTTATATTGAGCAAATTAAATTGTGAGTCAATGTGTTTTCGATGCATTCTGCAGAGTACTGGTGATTACTTAAATGGATTATCAAATTTGTTGATATTAAATTTTTGTTCCATTTCAGCTTTATTTACTGATGACGGGAGTGAAGGCAATTGTCAAGCTGTTGTAAAAACTGGCCATCCTCCCCACTCTGAGCTGTATAATGGATCCATTTGCTACCCTTCCTCCCTCTGGGCTGCTTTATCATACCCATGTAAGTGAATGAACCACACAGATTAGCTACATTTCATGGTCACTTTTCTTTAAGCTTGATTTCCTCCTTATATGTATGTAACGGCTTGTATTTATATATATCATAGTAATTAAAATCACAATTTGTTTTTCATAACTCCAATTTTTTTTTTTGGGATGAAATATACCATGTCAAATCATATCAAAGCAAATTCAATATCAATGTCTGACTTTGTCATTTGTAATTTTCTAGGGGCTTATGCTTCAGGAAGTTCTGAGATAAAGGAAAATCAAGAGCTCAGTCTACGTCCATTGATTGTGAAAAGGTAAGAGGTCATTGCTTAGGTAACAAGAGTTCAATTTCATTCATATCTCTTGTCCTTTTCTCTTTCTCTACCACCCTTACTATCCCTCTCTGTCTCTTTCTCTCTCTTTTCAAAACTATTATGGCGATAATGATTTTACTTCTACACATATTTATGTTTTATGATATTTGCCCTATAATATACTTTTCTGAGACAATAGGAGTGTAAATTGAGAATGACAAAAACTTCAAGTAAAATATTTGAATCATAGTAAGGGTTCATTTTCAAATAAGGCATTGATGATACTGCCCCTCCCCAATATCAACTTTTATTTACATGATTGACTGATGACACTGATGATAAACAAGAAAGCACAACAGTAATTACTATAGAAATTGGTAATATTGAGTAAATATGCAGCCATGTTTGTTTACCCTTGTATTTACAGTGTTGCTAAGCGACGAGGTATCATCAGTCACTTGCTCGGCCTCTCAATGTCCAAGGCTGGCATGGACACCATCTTCACGGTCAGTACAGGTCAGGTGACTAGCTACGGGCCTCAAGGACAGTTCAATTGGCAGGTCAGTTATCATCTTGACCTTTCCATGTCGACCTGTGAATGCTTGATAATTGCTATTACAGTGAAACCTGTATATAAAGACCACTCAAGGGAAACATGAAAAGTGGTCTTTACAGGCAGGTGGTATTTTTGTACAGGTTCCTTCAGTACATGTTTCAATGAGAAACCATATTCAAGGGAAACAAAAAATGTGGTCTTTATAGACAGTTGGCTTTTATATACAGGTGGTCGCTAAAGCAGGTTTGACTGTAAATCCAGTCACACTGCCTAATTGATTTCCAAACCCGTTTCCATGTCATCTCATTTTGGGCCACTCAGGGTGATGCAATATATTGTCAGTCTGGGGCAGTATTTTGAAACGTAATCTTTTATGTTTTACAGGGTTCGTATGGGTCAGAGAATTTCTGGAAAGTCAGGGAATTTACAAATGTTTTTTCCAGAAGCAAAAAGTCAGGGAAAGTCGGGGAATTCGTCCATTTCTTCTGAAAAGTCAGGGAAAATCATTTTTTTTCAAGATGTTTGTTAAAATGGCATTTAATTTGTCTTGTGAACAAAGGATAATACATTTTGTAAAATCTCTGGTTCACAGGACCTTTTTCGTAATAAATTACATGCAATATCTTTAGGACCTAGGTACTAGTATCGTGTCTATTTTGTCTTTCATACATGTATGCAAGATGTTTGTGTGCGTCAATGACTTGCAGTGACAGTTGCGGTGCATGGTGCCGGTGTGTGTACATACACGAATGCTGCATGCACGCTGTACGATTACTTTTTGATCGAGCTTGTGCTTTGATTTTTATTAAAAGTTTGAATGAAGGTGTTTTACCCGGGGTTTTACCACAGAATATTCATAAAACAATAATTTAAATGTAAATAACTATGCATCATGAGCCACTCGTGTTTTCTTAAGAACCCCTTTAAAAATCGTGTTGCTCACTCGAATATCGCAACCCTGAATCGCATTTGATTCCACATTTGGCGTCCATTGTGCGAGCGCGAGCATACAGCCATTTAGCTAGCCTAGCCTCGTGGTTGCTGCTTTCCCCAAGGTCCGCAAAGGTTTTCAAAAATCTCTGTGTCTCAACATGAATTACATAATGCAAATAAAGAATAGGATCTACTATTTGAAGTTAAACTACGTTCCTAATTTGAAAGGAAGAGAGTTTTTTGTCTTCAGTTTTTTTTTCAGTCTTGATAAATTATGCCCTGTCGCATGGCACTTTGCCAGCCGAAGCTCTCCCGTGTCTTCAGCTCACTCACCTGTATGATGCAGCTCACTTACACAGGGGATAACGAATCACCACGCGAACACTAGCCTGTCAACAATTCTGTTTGGACTCGGGGGTCAAAAATTCTGTCATCTTTAGTTTTAAAAACAACATTGTTACGGGGTCTAACTTATTTCACAAGCACTACAACTGTGCCTCGTAATAAAATGAAAGTATTTTCGAACACTGTCACTGAAATAAGAGCCGATCTGATGTTAACAAAAAGACCAATGTTGGCTTTTTGTTAACCAGATCAGATCGCGTCTTATTTCAGTGTTCAAAAAATACTTTCACTTTCATTATACGAGGCAAATTGAAGTGCTTGTGAACTAAGTTAGACCTAGGTCTAGTAACAATGTTGTTTTTAAACTAAAGATGACAGATTTTTTTTTTTCAGATTTTTTTTTCAGATTTTTTTTCAGATTTTTTTTTTTTTTTGGGGGGGGGGGGGAATCTTCGAAATAGGGGTGCGCCTTATATTTTTTTGATTTGCTTCCTAGTATTGCGATGATGTATAGTTGTACGCTTTAAATTAAGACATGTTCATCATTGAAAATGGTCATGGAAATTTACATTATCCTGCTCTGGAAAGTCATGGAAAGTCATGGAATTTTAAAAATGTGTAAGTGTATGAACCCTGGTTTTATGTTAGTGTAAAGTATGGTAATTCTCATACCAAATTGAAATTGCGCAAAATAGAAACTTATCATTGGTGCTCCAGCAGATGTCTGTACACACAAGCAGCCAGCTTGCACAAGAATTTACATTGTCTTGTCCTAATTTAGATTTGTAATGACATTTAACATTTTTTTAATAACATGAAAGATAGCATAGTCTCCACGGCCCCTGGTGTTACCCATATAACTTTGAAGCTATAAGCAATTATAATAATACTTTTCATATTTTGTCTCCATGCAAGAGATGACTGACACATCGGCACAGCGATGGCTGCGTGTGCCTAGAGACATCTACAGGAGCACCAATGATAAGTGTCCATTCTGCGCAATTTCAATTTTTTATGACAATTAACATACTATGGCATGCTTTTCATTTCCAACTATCAGGTATCCACATCAGCTTTGTGGAGTGAGCGTTACATCGTAAAGAAGTTCAGGAAAGTAGATAACAGACTATGGCATGCTTTTTATCTCGAATTATATCCTGCATCAAAAATTTGTTGGCGTCTGATTGGTTGAGAGCTCGTCACATGACCAAAAATATTTGAGCTATTTTTAGAAAGTACTATATGAGAGTACTATTTTGGTTTACTATTTGGGAGTTGAAAAAAAAATGTTGATTTTTTTTTTTAATTGAATCAATTTTTTTTTTTTCAAATCTTAATTTAATGAAAACAAAATATTTTAAATCTTTTTAGATAAAAATTGACATTTTTTTTGTTCTAAATTTTTTTTCCCAAAAATGTATTTTTTTTTTTTTTTTTTTTTTTTTAATAAATTTTTGATGCAGGATATAAAACAAATATACCATGCCTTCTATTCGAGGTACTGGTTAAACTATGGGCCTCGGTGACTCCAAAAGTACCATTTGCTTCGGGGCTGTGCCCCTCAGCAAATAGTACTATTGGAGTCACCTCTTGTGCATAGTTTTAACCAGAACCTCTCAAGGCAGTGTATATTTGTATACTATCAGGTATCAACATCAGCTTTGTGGAGTGAGCGTTACATTGTAAAGAAGTTCAGGAAGGTAGATCATGATCTTCAAGAGATATATCATAGAGCTTTGCTACCCAGCATCCTTCCTCTCTCTATACAGGAGTTTGGGCAACAGGTCAGAATATATTATTTGTTTACAGTGATATTAATAGTAATGGTGATGATGATATTAATAATGATAATGATCATAATGATAATAATAATAATAATAATAATACTAATAGTAATAATAATAATGATAATGATACATATTGGTATTTATTGAGCGCCTTTACATGAACATGCTCAAGGCGCTTTACATTTTAAAATACAAACATAATAGTTATATACTCTCCAAGTGCATTACACTCCAAAAAAAAGATGACAATTACAAAGAAAACAAATGGGTTTTTAAATGTTTCTTAAATAATGCGACTGAGGTGCAAGAACGAATGCTTAAAGGGAGACTATTCCAAATAGTGGGACCAGAAAAAATTATATTTTGTTGACCCTTCTTTGAATTGATGCGGGGGATTTGCAGAAGAAGGGGGTCTGACCTTGAACGTAATGGATATCTTGATTGCTGGATGGGACAAAACAGACTAGAAATATAGGATGGGATAAGGTTATACATGGATTTATAAACAAATAGTGAAACTTTATAGATTATTCTCTTATGAACAGGTAACCAGTGTAGTTGTTTTAACAAGGGAGACACATGATCATATTTTCTTGCATTTGAAATAATACGGGCTGCACGATTCTGGATTCGTTGAAGTCTATCGATATCAGAAACATTTATATTAATCAAGAGGGAATTGGCATTATCAAGACGGCTTAAAACAAGAGAGCGAATAGCATGATGGCATGCCTCATCAGTTAGCATCCTTCTGACCCTAGATATGTTATATAAATGAAAATTTAAAGACTTACATAGTGAAGTAACCTGTTGAGACATGGTCAAAGAAGAGTCAAGAACAACACCTAGAGTTCTGACTGATTCAGAGGGCTCAACAAAAGCATCGCCAAGTAACAAATGAACATGATCAGGTAAATAATGTCTAAGTCTAGAAGAAATAATTAAAAGAGACTCTGTTTTTTGTTCATTCATGAGTAATTTGTTCTTTATCATCCATACATTAACTTCACTAACACATTTCTCTATCAATAATATTGCATTCTGGAAACTACTTGAAGATTTGGGGTTAAATGAATAATACAACTGAACATCGTCAGCATATAAATGAAATTCAACACCGTTATTCCTCAAGATATCACCAAGTGGTCTCAAGTACATCGTAAATAATAGAGGCCCCAATACAGAACCTTGAGGAACACCATATTTCAAACTAAGTTTATGAGACAAATGACTACCAATGGATACTGCAAATGATCGACCCTCTAAGTATGATTGAAACCAGTCGAGTACGGTACCAGACAAAAAGAAATCTGAGTGCAAGCGACGCAACAACACTGAATGATCAATGGTATCGAAGGCAGACTTCAAGTCAAGCATGACCATTATTACACCTTCTCTCTTATCAATTGCTAAGAGAAGATCATGCTTGACTCGGAGTAATGCCGACTCTGTACTATGATTTGCTTTATATGCAGATTGTAACACTTCATGCAGATCACAACAGTCCAGATGTTTAACTAACTGTTTCAATACAATAGTCTCGAGCACTTTAGAAAGAAATGCAAGATTAGACACAGGTCTATAGTTTGCCAAAACTAGAGAGTCCAAAGTTGATTTCTTGAGACAGGGTGATATAATAGCGTCTTTAAACTTGTCAGGGAACACACCACTCCTCAAAGATGAATTAATTAATGAAACAAATGGGGAAACCAATACTTCAATATTGTCCTTAACAAGCCACGTTGGCATTGGGTCCAGGGAACAAAATTTATTCGCTGATTTAGAAATAATCATTTTAATATCTGATGGAGAGACATCAACAAACGTGGAGAAACCAGTCTCACATTGATGTTTATCCATGGACTGAACGATACCAGAAGTTTGAAGACCCTGTTCCCTTTTATCTAGAACAGTCCTAATCTTAGAGATTTTATCATCAAAAAACCCTGCAAATTTGTTTGCTAGATCTGTCTGATCATCACAATAAGGGAGGACCTTCTTAGATGAACCAAGAAGTAAATGTAAAGTAGCATACATAGTTTTACAGTTAGCTTCAAGCAGCAGATTAGTAAAATAGCTACTCTTTGATTTCACTATAGCAGCGTTAAGTTCATCCTTATGACAAACAAAAATGTCACGATCAGCTCTTAGATTTGATTTTCTCCATTTCCTTTCAGATTTCCTCTTCTTTCTCTTGAGCAGGTGGATATTATCATCATACCACGGTCCACATGGTCTATCTCTTTTCATCCGAACAGAAACCGGACAATGTCGATCAAGAACATCACAGATAGCCTTGTTGATGAATTCAACCTGTTCATTAACATCACCACATTGTGATATACTCTGTAAAACCGCAACAAGTTCATTACCAAAACTCTCTTGATTGATCAAGCGATAGTTCCTTGACGTAATAAGAGTTCTCTTAGCATCCGACTTCTGTAGATTTAAGTCACAGCTAATGACATAGTGGTCTGATATGCCTTTATCAAGAACCATACAGTTATGCAAGATGTTGTCTGCACAACGCGTAATCACCAAGTCAAGGGTATGTCCATGCTGATGAGTTGGAAGCGTAATATGTTGTTGGAATCCTGAGGCACGGATGAGATCAAGGAACTGCCGGCTGACTGGAAGATCTGGTTGATCCACGTGGACATTGAAGTCACCAACGATAATAGTGTGACCACTAGGCATGGCGCATCTCCCGAAGAACTCATCAATTTCGTCAAGAAAAGCTTTCGCAGTGAAGCCATTCACTGCAGATGGAGGTGGTCTATATATAGCAAATATGTGAAGACCCTTACTCTCATCAACCACATGCGCTGACTCAAATGTTACTGATGGAGAGTCCGATTTCATCAGTCTCAAGTTCAGATGTGTCTTATGCAAAATCCCAATGCCACCATGAGGATCATTACCACGTGCAATGTTAATGAAGGAGTATCCAGAAGGTTTAAGTTCTTGAATGACTACTGGGTCATCCTCAGACAACCATGTCTCTGTGATGACTAAGATATCCACATCTTCATCAATAGTATAGTCATAGATTCCTACAGTTTTGTTGCGAATAGATCGAGTGTTCAAAAGGTGCATGGACACGTTTGTGCTCAAATCCACAGTCTTGATATACTGGAGATTGTTAGTGTTGACTCCCCTCTGACCACGTAGGGTCACCTGATGACTCTGCTGAGATGGCATTATCCCAATGTTCCTTTGTTTCCTCTGTCCACCCCTTGTCCCTCGTTGCCTTGCTTGAATGCCGAACTCTCTGATGTTACTCCATGTATCTTCATTCACCACCCCCCTGTTTCTTGATGTTCTGTATATAAGTCTATCAAGATTATGATCAATAGTCACTAGGGGTAGATGTGACCAGGCAGGATTAGACAGTAGGAGAGAGGACCGGTCATACTTGATGCACAATCTCTGTTGACTCGCTGATGCACTCGGGTTTTTCGACGAATGATCACCATATTCTGGTCCAGGATTTGGATTTATGTCACCGGATACTAACAAACACAGTTGAAATGTTGCCGTAGAATTACAGTAATATAATATTCTACACTTTGAATACTTTGAATACTTACATTCACTCGACTTACCTATACTCTCTGTACCAGTCCTCTTCACAGGTTCACGCATTTGTGAACATGTACTTGAATCACATACAGACAGTATAAGTATCACACAAAAGCACAAGTGAAGTGTATCCATTGTATTGTACATACAGCCCTTACAGCTGAGTGAACATGAATAGTGAAAGTTGTCTACACTACACTGTACACTATAACATGGACAAAATGGCCTGCTCAATACAGGTAGCACAAATGGTATACAAAATGTTACATCAAATATCTAAATAAATACAGCATATTACCGCACAGAACCGGCTCTAAAATATCCCTGCACATAATAGAACAAGATAGTATGCATTATATCCACACAAGTACAGAAATCCAATAAAAATAACATGCAACTTGGAGAGCAATAACAAACACGTCAGCCTGTTAGGCTGACGTGTGATGATGATGATTATAATGATAATAAAAATTATAATAATAATGATATTGATAATAATAATAATAATTAGATACAAACAAATATATATATATATATAATAATTAAAATAGTAACAATACTAAGAATGTTATGTAATGATAATGAAATAATAATAATAGTTATGGTAGTATTAAAAGATAATGATAATGATAATAATAATGATAATGATAATAATGATGACAAACATCAAGAATTGTTTGTAATTGTATTATACTTACAAACTTACAAGGTGGCATTAGATTATCTTGATAATACAGTACTTCAAACAAAAATATTGCTGTCATTAAGCCTAATTCGGGTAGGAGGTGGCGAACTACTGTACTTTATTGATGACGTAAAGTGTAACATGCTTTAAATTTCTAGATCTTATATTACACAGTGCTCAGTGAATACATGCAGAACCTTTGTTGCCCACAGTTGCTATTCATTTACACTTGTTTAAAAAATGTGACCACTTTTTTTGTGGCAGTTTACCGAGTAATATCTGAACAAGCCCTTATTCTTCAATCTTGACGGTTAATTTTTGTCCATTTCTTTCAGTCAGCAGCGGTGATTGCAGGATGGGATCACATTGTTCTACTCTCGTTAGAAACAGGCAACATCCTGGCAGAGCATACGTTACCATGCCAACCGACTGCTCCCGTTGTCATTGGTGATTTTGACGATGATGGCTTGAATGATATCATCGTCCAGTGCTCACACAGGTCAGTAATACTTCAGAATTGAAAGATTTTGTCCTTTTTGAAGGATTTTGTTGTCGTTCTGTTTCGAAACAAAATTTAATATTTATTAAATGAACCAACGTGGAAGAAGATTGCACAATTTGCCAATTTGTATACGGAAATAGTGGTTTTATATGTTACACTGTGCTGCCAATTTATAAACTTTTATATTAGTTAGAATAAAATCTCTTATTCTAGACGAGACTTCTTTGAAATATTGCTTTTCTGCTCATGTATAAAGTGTAATTTCTAGCATTCTTAATCAAAAGAATATCGTCAGCCGGCTGGCAGAAGGGCGTTAGCGCGCGAGCGACTCGAAAACTACTTTACGAATTATTTGCATTTAAAGATTTGTTTTATATTTAAACTGCTTTCCATTCTGAAAGTTGGTTAAAAACATAAGAGACTAATCAAAATATTATAGTAGAACACGGCCACAATTTTTTTTTCGGAAATAAGTCAGTTTTGTAAAAGTTTGAGGTGATTTAGTGCTAACGCCCTTCTGCTTAAAGTTTCATTTTTGACCTAAAATTTGAGCTAACGCCCTTCGACCAGTCAGGCGACGATATGCAATAATGTCCATAAAATGAGACACTGTCGTGCTTTGTCTTTGGGTTAATCAAACTTGTCAACTCCATTCTGTCTAAAAACTCATTTATCCAAATCCAGTCAATCCTTACTTTTTCCTATTTTTTTCTTCTCCATTTCAGTTATCTGGGTTTCTCCATCCAGCGTTACTCTGGTTACTGGGTGACAGCGTTCATCGGTCTGGCTGTAGTTGTCATAGTAACGACCCTTGTAGCTACCTGCACCCCCAAAGAGAAAGCTATAGAGGGAGCTGTCGTTGGAGATGAAGATGATAGCTTACAGGTCGGAGTCGGCCCAAAGAGCTGAAGCTATAATTTTGCACAATATTTTCTTGTACTAGATACTTTTGATATTCAAGGTATTCATGGTTGTTGCAATACATGTAGACATTTTGTATTTATTTGTAAATATATTTGTATTTTGGAGAAGTAGCAGTACTAGTCTAACTTCATCTGAGAATATTCACTTGTGTTTGCAGCCAGTATTTATCCATCAGAGATAGTTTGCATAATAACTAGCTGGCAAAATAGAGAAAAATTACTCAGGGAAGGATTGAAGTACCATAATCTTGTGGTAAAATCCTGATTGAATCAAGGAAGCCTACACTTGTTCCAGACAACCAATACATAATAAATAATAAATAAATAAATATAAATGGTAAAAAGGCAGCATCCTTCCTAACCTTATAGGGCAATCCTAGTCTTTTATTAACTTCATTTGTTTGAAATCAATGAGAGAAACATAATGGCAGAAGTTTCTGTGATGACCCTGTTCTCAGGATTAATTAACGTGCAATTAAAATGTGCCCATTTGTAACTATTTGTTTATCATTTGGTTTGTGTATCTCTCTTTTCAGAGTAGATAAGACTAAGTCACAATAAGGGTGTATACACTTTTTTACTCCCAAGTTCTCACACAGATCTTTCTCTCTCTCTCTCCCTCCCCCCCCCCCCCCCTCCCCCCTCTCCCCCTCTCTCTCCCGCCTCCCCCTCTCTCTCTCTATCTCTCCCTTATCTCTATAAAATTACTCTCCCCACTTTGCACTTTTTTTCTCTTTCTCCATCTATCTTCTCTTTGTCTATGCACCTTTTCCCTCTACCTCTCTTATTCTCTCTTTCTTTTATCCACACCCATTTGTATCTACTTGGATTTTTTTTTTTTTTTCATTCTTGAATTCAACACATTTTGAAACATATCACTTTGTTTATAGGCATTTTGAATCATTTAACACATGGCCAGAAAACTGATTCCAATACATAGAGATATATACTACTAACACTACATCTCTATGTTCCAATATAACTTTTATTTCACTTACATGAATGAATGAGTTGATAAATAAGTAGATAAATAGGTATATATATATATATATATATAAGTAAATAAATAAAGTGATAAGTTTAACAGTTATATCTATCAAAATCAAAATCGAAAGAAAATGAGTTACAAAGAAAATTAATGAGGGGGGGAGTGGGGGGTCATAGAAAGAAAGAAAGACAGACAGACATATATATAGATTAAAGGATGAGTGATTGAGAAATGTGCAGTGCATTAATCTGGAAATAAAAGAGAAGAAGAGTGTGAGAGAATGGAATGGAGTGGATAGGAGCAAGGTTATCAGGAAATGTAAAACCAAGAGGCAAGAGGTTCAATTGAATGGAACTACGTGTAAAGGGCAAAGTCAAGTGAGTGCAACTCCATTTCAAATACTTTGACTACTTTAAGTTCATTAATCTCATTTCAGCAGGGCACTATATCAAGGTTCGATAATTTCTTAATATTCTGGGAAAGTCGAACAAGTCTGCACAAGGTACAGTATGTGCAAACATAAGATAACCCAATAACCGATATATCAATTAAGATATCACACAGTTCAAGCACGTGTTAAACGAATTTTGCTATCTTTATTTGTTTAATACAGATCTGCCTTCAATTCAAAGAACTAGCCTATCTTTTGAGGAATATAATTATTTGAGTGTGGGCGTATGTAGAGTATTTATATACCGGTAATAGAATATTTCGACCTTTATCATGAAAACCTTTGAACTTTTTATATCACTAGTAAATTTAATGATATGTCGTATAAATACAATGGATATGATGATCAAAATCAAGAGACATCAAAGCCTTTTTCATAAAAATGGTATAAGAGGAAATAAAAAAAAGCCAAGAACCAGTTTGAAAGAAAGGAACCGAAGTGGACACCGACTGAAAGAGGATAGTCTAGCTTGTGAAGAAAATTTTATGTCAACCTGTGGAATGGAAGAAGGTACATGTTCATGAATAATATTTTCCAATAAGTGTTTTAGGCAAAATGAAGAAAGGTTGTGAGAACAATAAGTGCTCTTCATTTTCATTCATACTTTTGGCAGTTGAGTAAGTATTTGCTGTCTTTCCTTTTTTATGCCTCCGCTACAAAGTAGCCGGAGGCATTATGTTTTCGGGTTGTCCGTCCGTACGTCCCGTTCTCGTGATCGCGTTATCTCAAGAACTAATTGATCATGGATTCCCGCCAAACTTTTGTCATGTATGTACCTTGCAGAGCCAATGAACTGATTAGATTTTAAGGTCACGAGATCAAAGGTCAAAGGTCACAGGGCTCATTATGTATGCTAAAATAGCTCGCTTCTGTTTTGGTTTGTAAAATTGCTCCATGGCTTAGGCATCGTTTTCGACTGCGCGCGGTCGAAGGTCCATCCAAGAGGTAACTTCTTGGTCCATCTAGTTTAAATCAAGGATTGAGAGTTCGAATCCCATCCTGGCACATATTTCCTTTGTAAGACATTAATCATCACTTTCCTCTCTCTACTCAAGTGTAAATGGGTACCAGACAATTGCTGGGGTAGTGATGATTGCAGGACCCGCAGGAAAAACAAGACTGAAGCTGATGAGGCTTTCCTAATATGAAACTTTATCATTATGATTATAATTACTATTATTGTTATTATTATCATTATAATTATGATTACGATTATTGTTATTATTATTATCATAGTTATAATTATTTGTATCATCATCCTTTTTTATGGTTATTATTATGACTATTATTATTATCATCAAATTATCTGTATCATTTAATTTGCATGTTAGTCAATTATATTACACAGATTGCTGCAATATGAATCAAAATATTTCTTCTTCTTTTTTCAGGTCAGCAAATGTCACCATCTAGCAGGTTTAATTTGGAAAAGGATCGTCAGATATTGTGAAGCAAGACACTCTAGGATTTGAGCTATATTAGTCTTTTCCCATTGGTCGAAACTGCCGATAGAGAGCGAAGCATTTTTCTTTTCACATCTTTTAAACCACATAAATGTAGCTGAAGACCCCAGACTGGGATTAAGCTACGCTTCCTCTATTCTTCATTCCTGGCATAGTGTTCACCGAGTCTTCAGAGTTTAGTGCAATTATCTTGTAATTATCGTCATCAGATCATGAGAGACTTGCTGTAGACTAAAGGAAAAGACAGTCTCAATCCGGGGTCTCAATCTTCGAAATGTCAACCATGTATTGATTTTGAAAGTCAATGACATATATCTGTAGTGATTTGTGATTTTTCTAACCTTTTCTTTTTCGTGACCACATTTTGGATTGAGAAAGTTTCTGAAGACCTTCACCTTGATAAGGAATTATACAAATAAGGACATGTTGTGTCAAAGAGATCTTCATAACGGAGGAATACACTTTAGTTTGTGCTGTATGTAATACAGGAATTATTTGATCCCGTCTGACTTACAGCATCTTCATCTGCATCGAAAACCAACAGCTCGTCATTCCTTTTCGTCGAAACCAAGATTCCTAAGATGACCAAGATTTAGATATTTATATTATTTATAAAATTAACTGGCTGGAAAAAAATTATTATTGTGTAAAGACAGGAAGTTTGTTTTTTAGCAGTTGTTCATATATCATTGATCACTTGATAAAAGAATGTGTGAACTTTTTAAGGTCAAATCCACAAGTAGGCATATTGTAATATATTTCATTTTATTTGTGAAATTGATTGAATTCAAACGATGCGATGGTAGAATACTTACAGTGACGAAAGGAGAAGTGTTGCCACTTACCTTTCCGTATCCATGTGATAATAGCAAAATAACATTCCGATACGGAAACAGATCACCATCATTTGATTCTGCAGATCCAGAATCTATAACATTACCATCAAATCAGCAACTCACAATCTATAACGATACTCGAAATGATAACTGCTCTCTCTATTTCATCATCAATCCTGTCGTGGAAGATGATGCAGGTACATATATCCTCACTGTTTATAAGGATGGTATGTTTACGTCGGATAAAAAGATTGGGTTGCGTGTAGATTATCCTCCTGGTAAGGTATCGTGTGAGCTTAGTAGTGATTTCCTTGATGAGGATTGGCTGTCCGTAACATGCACAGCTTCTGTAGGAAGTCTTTCTGGACAGATTATGTGTTATCAAAATGACATAAGGCTTCCTCCTGTGGCTTCCCTAGGCCGAAATGGCCAAGAACTGAGTCAAAAGATATGGACACGAATAGAAGATCATGTTATATATTGCTGTTCATCCAGCTCTATTCAAGTTAAAGACATGAGTGAATGTAAAGATTGGGAATGGAACCCATTTCAAGAAAAGAAACTAACCAACATCACAGACCTACATAATTATACTGTGATTTCCATGAGGCCTACCACTGATTTACCTAGTACAATACCAATCACTACCGGTACCTTTCAACAGGACCAAAGTTGTGATAATAATTCAACGTACTTGAAATATGTGGAAATGATTGTTTGTTTAATCTTCATCGTGTTCTTTTTTATTACCCTGATTACATGGCTTGTTATTTCTTTGCAAATAATGAAGGGTTGTCAAAATATTAAGACGCCAACTTCTAAGAAAGTCGATGATTCTAAGATAGGCGAAGGGTCTGAATTTACAAGTTTCATAGAAAACGAATCAAAGAATGGGGCGTGTAATTATTAACCTGTCATGCAAACACTTTCCTCGCATTCCATTCGCTTTTTGACGGAATGGCATAATTTATTTATTTATTTATTTATTATGATATTTATACTGTACAGGGTAGTACATATCACCAATTTGGTAGTCTTCCATGTGGATTTACCAAAATAGGGTATTGCATTCCCCCAGTAGATATGGACATTATGTTTAAGCTACTAGGATATATTTCATACATGTTTATTTTCCCGTCATATAGAACATAATTCTGAAAAATTATTTCGATTGTTAAACTGTTTTTAGTTTATTGTTTGTCTCATAACAATATTTTATCATAATGATATTATGAGTATAGCTAATAATAATAATAATAATATTCATAATAATAATAACATCGACAATAATAATAATGATATTGATAATAATAATAATCATTATTATTGTGTTTGTAATTACTCTGAAAAAATGAATAAACATTGAATATAATGTAAATTTAGAGAAAATATCTATATAATGTGAATGTTAAAATGCTATATGTTTATTCTCTGTATGTAATCGTTTTATGTCGCATGTATCATGTTACATGTACATTTTATTTTATAATTTCTGTTAAAAATGCATGTAAACGCAAAGAATTTCCTTTTGGACCAATCAAATTTGAATTGAATTGAATTGTTCTTGAGTATAAATGTAATGAACATAAATGAAAAATTGGGGACAACTGTACGTTATAAATTGGCTGACACATTAAACTAGTTAAAATCCATGCTAATGCTTCGGGAATATCCGAAAATCT